GCTGCAGCTGGAGGGCGGCAACCAGCCCCCTTGCAACAAGGGTGCCACTAAGACCCATGAGACGAGTGGGAGGCCACGGAAATCCGTGTGGCTTGTGGCTCTTGCTGGCCCCTGCATCGCATCCGGCCGCCCTTTTGAAGTGGATACCGATGCAACAATCTTCCGTTGCACGGCCCTCCGCCCCGCCTCCGCTCTCTGTCAATTGGGTCGTCGTCTGCTTTTCTCTGGGCCAGGCGCTTCTGCGGAGAGCTTCTGGTCAACAACACGATGGCCCGGTGAGGCCCAAAGCTACAAGGTCGATCTGGATACATGTTTAGGCACTCCTCTTGGAAAACCTGTCACCGAGCGGGCTAAATCGTCGCCGCTCATCTATCCTGATTGACAGATGCCATTGCCTACTCCTTTCAAAACCTTTGACACGTCGACCAATCTGGCCTAATTGATCGTCTGTCGCCCTGGAAACATTGCCCAACCTCTGGATGAGCCAAGATTGCAGACATCATTGATGAGGCCAAAGTTGTTGGATAAAAGACAGTCGGGAACATGACTGCTCTCAGCACGATCCCAGGATCGTAGTACGATGCGAGGGACACTTGTCGAAGACTTGGTCTTTATCTGTGTCACCCCCGTTCTCTAGCCTGATGCATTTCACTATTTGTAAAACGCCTTCGTGCAGCATTGTATGTACCCGCCAATACGAGTGCTGTAGCCATTTGAGAGTTGTATCATAAGTCAAGGTAACCTGCTCGACCGGTGGGTGAGTTACTAACAATTTGTGTACTCGTTCCTTGGTCAGTACGAGGACGGTTGTTTTGCCTTGCTTCTTTTCTTTGTTCCTTTTTAGTATCGTGGATAATGAATCAGCCAATCACAGCCCACCATGGCTCTAGTGTTGACGTGCCGCTGGTTGTGGGAAGCCTTCGGTGTCACCTCTCGATGGATGAACAAACGTTTCTGAGGTTTAGGTAGCGCACGTTAGTTGCCGTTACCGACAGATATACCCAGGCAGATCAAGCCGCGATGGATGTACACTCATGTCCAATAAACCAGAAGCGTAGCGCCGAATGCTTAATGTTGAAAAACCTTCATGTGGCGCAGAATGCCTAATAGGTAGGTCATTATATACGTACTTCCAAAAAGTCGCAGATGAGTCCTCGGGAACATGTAGAATGAACTTTGAGAGTTGCTTGTCTAGGCTCCTTGCTGCTGCGCTACCTTGCCTGTTCGGTATCCCAACGCCTCTTGCTCCCGAACGCGACGTGCGCGAGCACGGTATCAACTGCTGTCCGCGTTTGGGGGCTCTGTCCAGCTCTCGCAAAACCAGCAAGGATTACCCTGCTTTGACCAACCAAAGGCTACGTATCCGTACGGATAGATGCAAACTCTGCAGGACATTTCTCGACAAGGTACCTTGGTTTTCGTCCGGAGTGAAAACTTTTCTCCGCATGTTATGAGGTCACACGTCAGCAATCGAATGAAATAAGACTGAAAGGATCATTCGATTATAATGATCTGAGATGCAGTAGCAGCATTTGGACTTCCCTGACTTCCATGCCAACTTCATAGGGCCTCCAAGGTTCCCGACGGGTTTGCGCCATATCTTGGGTCCCCGATAGTTCTTACATAAGGTATTTAACAATGCTGGATCTACCGGCGGCTACCTGACTTGGCGACACTCTACCAAACGTGTGCTGGACGTCTTGGATCTCCTAACCCCTACCTCTGGGCTAGACATCGTCGTTTGGTCATGCAAAGCGCAAGTGAGCGGAAGAGAATACATAATCTCATCCTTCCGTTGGTAAAGTGACCTAACTTATGCGGACAGAATGTAGGGACCGGGAGGAACAATGCTGAGGTAAGGTGATGCTGAACACAGTAGAGGTATCTGCATGAGAGTTGCGCCGCACTGTAGCCGCTCACCGCCTGCCGCGTCTGCCCCTCCTTCCGCCGGTCGCGCACCGTTCACCTTAAAAAATTTCCTGCGGGGTGCCGTCTCAAGATTTTTTTTCCCTTCTTTCTTACGGGAAGAAGAGACATAACCAACCTTAGTTTTCGAATCGACCAAGCTTTTGTTCCTTGGTCTTCTTTTCGAATTACTAGCAGTTCTTCGACTCCGTTTTCCTACTTTCTTCCTTTTACCCTGGAAGAAACAAGAAAACTACTTGTTTAGCAAAAAAGATGCCTTCCACCAACGGTATCAACAGCGCCAAGGTGCTCGACTCCAAGACCGCCCTCCAGGTCTTGAAGGAGTACGAGAGCCGCGATGGCCTCGATATCTACGAGCTCATGGACACCAAGAAGCACGGTGGTCTGACCTACAACGACTTCCTGCTCCTCCCCGGCTACATTGGCTTCCCCGCCTCTGCGGTCGTTTTGGATTCCCCCGTCACCAAGAGAATCACCCTCAAGACCCCGTTTGTCTCCTCCCCCATGGACACCGTCACTGAGCACGAGATGGCCATCGCCATCGCTCTCCAGGGCGGTCTCGGTGTCATCCACCACAACTGCTCCCCCGAGGAGCAGGCCGACATGGTCCGCAAGGTCAAGCGTTACGAGAACGGCTTCATCATCGACCCCGTCGTCATCAGCCGCGACACCACCGTCGGCGAGGCAAAGACCTTGAAGGAGAAGTGGGGTTTCGGAGGATTCCCCGTAACAGGTTTGTCAACCCCCCCTTCCATACTTTTCTCCCACAAAATCCTTCCTCGCTTTACATGATTACAAACCTTTTTCAATATAACTTTCGTTCCACCAATTCGACGACCATGTCGTTCTGAGGAGACACTTTACTATGATCAAAGCACTTTTACATAAATATTTATTCACCTGCAGCTGCTACAATGTCAAAATTGACATGGCTAACAATCACCTGCAGAAACCGGCAAGCTCGGCTCCAAGCTGCTGGGTATCGTAACGAACCGCGACATCCAGTTCGAGGATGACGCCTCCCTCTCCATCTCCAAGGTCATGGTCACCGACCTGATCACCGCCACCGACGGCATCGACCTGCCCGAGGCCAACAAGATACTTGCCAAGTCCAAGAAGGGCAAGCTGCCCATCGTCGACAAGGACGGCAACCTCGTCTCCATGATCTCCCGCTCCGACCTGAACAAGAACCAGCACTTCCCCCTGGCCTCCAAGCTGCCCGACAGCAAGCAGCTCCTCTGCGGTGCCGCCATCGGCACCCGCCCCGAGGACAAGCACCGCCTCAAGCTCCTCGTCGACGCCGGCCTCGACGTCGTCATCCTCGACTCCTCCCAGGGTAACAGCATGTACCAGGTTGAGATGGTCCAGTGGATCAAGAAGGAGTTCCCCGGCCTCGACGTCGTCGGCGGAAACGTCGTCACCCGTGAGCAGGCCGCCACCCTCATCGAGGCCGGCGTCGACGGTCTCCGTATCGGCATGGGCAGCGGCTCCGCCTGCATCACCCAGGAGGTCATGGCCGTTGGCCGCCCCCAGGCCGCTGCCGTTCACTCCGTCAGCAGCTTCTCCGCCCGCTTTGGCGTTCCCTGCATCGCGGACGGTGGTGTCCAGAACGTCGGCCACGTCGTCAAGGGCCTTGCCCTCGGTGCCTCGACCGTTATGATGGGTGGTCTCCTGGCCGGTACCACCGAGTCCCCCGGTACCTCCTTCGTCTCTCGCGAGGGCAAGCTCGTCAAGGCCTACCGCGGCATGGGCAGCATCGACGCCATGCAGGACAAGAAGGCCGGCAATGGCGGCAAGGACAGCCAGAAGAGCAATGCCGGCACTGCTCGTTACTTCTCCGAGGGCGACAGCGTCCTCGTCGCTCAGGGCGTCACCGGCTCCGTTGCTCACCGTGGTCCCATCAGCAGGTTCATCCCCTACCTGTCTGCCGGTCTCAAACACTCCATGCAGGACTGTGGTATCCAGTCCCTCAAGGAGCTCCGCGAGTCCGTTGACAACGGCACCTTGCGCTTCGAGCTCCGTACCGCCAGTGCCCAGTTGGAGGGCAACGTGAACATGGAGTCCTACGAGAAGAAGCTCTTTGCCTGAAAAACGGCAAAGGCAACATCACAGATATGAGGAACGGTTACAAGACGTCAATGGGGATCATTCACCACATGTGGAAAAGGGTTTGATGAAAATCAGACACGGCATGTAGGCGATTTGGGAGGATACAAAAAACGGAGCAAAAAAAAACACAGCCTCCTCTTTCGGGAGTATATAGAGACACCTCGAGGGGCGAAGTAAAGACGGCTTTGGGTAGGGCGGCAGTGCTTCAAGTATAGCGGAGTTTTCGGAGTCATTTGGAGAAGGCGGCTTTCAGCCCCCTTGAGATGGATGATGCAGCGTACTGAATACCAAAATCTCCCAAGGAGAAGAAAAAATCAAAACAGGTTTCAATGATCATAACTGTTCGTTCCCCTTATAAATTTCCCTTGTGAGCTCTCGCGAGCAATATTCTGCAATGTATTCATGTGTACCTCTCTGCCTTTAACACCTATGAGACAAAACACGGAGAATCAGCCATCATCTATTTGCGCAGGCTCATCTGCCTCCAGCCAGCAGGTCCACAGAGATGTGTAGGCGCAGGCTCGCTACTCTCACGATCCTCGACAGCTAGATTTCATGAGTAGAGACGCCCATTGACAAAGACTTGATATTAAGCTCTTATAATCGGATCGAATCGTCTACTTGAAGAGAATAATGCTCATGTAGATATATCCAAGTGCCAATGACAACGAAACAGACAAATGATGCTTTTGATAACCGACTACAATGACCCAAATGAATGCCCGACTGATAAGCACAGAACAAGCCGTTACTCAACCTGCGATGCTAGACGCCAGGCAATGATGAACCCAGATATGCCACAAAGACAGGAAACAACAAACCAATGCCAGTAACAAGTTGAATCCTCGAAAGAGCTGGCCGTGAATCTCATATATGCGTTTCGTTTTTGTCGTTCTCGTTGAAACGTCAGGTACACGCTTAAAGAAGCATGAAAGTATCATGTCCGTCTTCAGAGGATAGCTACTCTAAGACCGGGAAGTACTGACGGAATCGTAGCCTGGTACCCCATTCTTCGCACTCAGCAACGGCGCCGTCTCGTTTGAGGTGACATTTCCGCTGCCCGAAGCAACGACACTGCCATCGCTGGCGTAACCCTCGTCGCTGACGCTCTCCTCCTCGTCATCGCTAATGTCGGGGGTCTGGGTCAGAGCATCGTAGTCGACCAGCATGTAGATGGGGATGGCGCCAATGATGGCCGTGAGCGCGAGGAACCAGTACGCGGTGATTACATAACCTCTGGCAACGCCCCAGCTGAAAGCAGCGCCGGCAACCGCGGGACCGAAAGCACGGCCGAAACCGCTGAACATGGTAGCGAAGCCGTTGAGGGTACCCAGGATACGGAGCGAAGAGGCCGAATTGGTCAGGAGGATAGTCATGCACGGGAAGCCGATGATGACGGCACAGGCTTTGACGAACATGACGATCAAGAGAGCGGTGTAACGTCCAGCAGTGCTCTCAAAAAGGACCACATAGGGGGCCAGGATGTAGACGATGGGAAACGTAAAGGCTGAAGAAATTGTCAGTTTGAACGTGGCGTCCACAGGAAAACCAAGTATACGCACCGCACGCGCGGAAACAGCGCAGGACACCAAAGTAATTGCAGAGAGGCGGGAAGACGAAGAATTGGATCACGCCGCAGGTGATGCCATAGATGGTGAAAATGGTGCCGATGCGGCCAGAGTCGAGACCAAAACCACCAGAAAATTGGAATGGTAGATTCGTGTTCTCCGGGGTATGCTCCTGCTTGGGGTAGTTAAGGAACACGGGGAGAACCTGGTCAAAGGCCACGGAGTGAAGGGCGAGGAAGGTGTAGCAGAGCAGGTTAATACTCGTCTGGGCTGTGAAAACCTCCCTCATGCTTGGTGCCTCCAGGGTCTTATTGTCCTCGACCGGGTGGGTTGGAGGAGTCTTGTGAGGTACCAAGGGTGCTGTAGCCTCTCCATCAACAAACGACGTGCGTCTGGCCCCAGCATGGTGGTGGTGGTGAGAATGAGAGCGGCGGAATGAGCGGGTGATACGCTCGCCCATAAGCAGTCCCCAGTCGGGTTTGTGGCGCTTGCTCTCAAGCGTCTCCTTGAGGAACAGAGTAGCGGTGGTTACTGAGATGAAGAAGAATACCGCAGCTATGAAATTGGGCAGGGCAAACGGATACGCCTTAAAAAACCAGCTGTCACCAAAGACTGTAGGGAAGCGGTCGGCGGGTCTGGCGAAGAATCCGCCAAATGCCGGGCCGAAGATCGAGCCAACAGACCAGATAAGAGGCATAATCGAAAAAGCTCGGGGTTGCAGCTCCTTTTCTGGCACCATCTCTGCGACCATGGTACGAATAATTCCAACTAAACCATTGTCAGCACTCAAACGTGAGATACAAATTAGTCAACATACCATTTCCGTTGCCACTTCCGAGAATAGCTCTCACGGTGATTGCCATGGGCAGACTCGTTGATATACCCCAGACACAGAAGAAGAACATTGTCGAAATCAGGCCGACAATGATTGTTGGCTTCCTTCCAAATCGATCAGAGGCTCTGCCCCACGGCACGGCGGTAACACTTTGAGAGAGTGAGAACACAGCGGACGTGATACCAGCCCATTTTGCGACATCGTTCTGTTCAATGCCGAAACTGCGAATCATCTCTGGGAGGTATGGGAAAACGGATGTGAGGGCGAGGGGCTCCGCGAACCGCGCAACGGCTGTGATCTCATTAGCATCAGAGTCTAGAATAAAGATGAAGGATGCCTGTCATGAGGTGTCGGACCGCATCCTGAGCCGAGTTGATATCAAATCTGCGTCCATCTTTGTTGCAGCTCTTGTACGTGCTGGACCATTTTCGTCTTGGTGATGTTGTGGACCTCATCGGTTCACATTGATCAGGCAGCTTGAAGGATCAAGAACATGCTAGAGTCGCATTTCGAGGCAGGTTTGGAATACGTGTGTCTAAAGACAGAATGGCGGCAACATGGCGAGAACACGCAAATTTCCAATCGTCTATAACCTTGTAGTCCAGCTACAGGACGATCCCACGGTAGCCACAACCCTCCCGTCGAATGAACTCCAAGTTGCTCGGCAATTGATACACGTGGTTCCTTGGCACTTGCCAGGCTCTGATTGTCACCCGTACTATCGGATTTTTTGCAAGCGCAGTAAAAAAAGAAATAGGAAAAAACAGGCGCCTAGACATGTTCTGAAAAGTGAGGTTGCCTTACCCAGAATGGCAAGCTGCTTCGCGGGCAACTTTGGCTTCGTCGGTTTTGTCATTGTGACGCTGGAAGGAGGGAGTATGTCTTGCTGAGACTATCTATCGGAGCCTTGCAGCTTGAATTTGCGAGGTTATAATTCGACTTCGACTTCTGAGCAGATGAATTGGGACTAGGACGCGAAGCAAGTGTCGAAGGAAAAGCAGCGGGGTGCGGATACGGTGCGATCTGCTATGCAACTTGGCAACAATAATGCCAAAGGCAATGGCGAAACGTAAGAACCGGAGGCGGCTACCACCTTCTTTAAACCGAGAAAAGTTTATTGGAGAATTGGGGAAGGAGAGAAAGAGTCACGAGAACAGTGGTAGCGGAAGGAAGAAAAAGACGGTTCGTCAAGCGCAAGCAAAAAACCATTGGCATTGATCCACTTTCCAACTGCAGGCTTGCGGCTGCACTGCGCCGGGCAGGGAATAGCGTGGACATGCATTTCGTGGTAGAGTTCCCGTGAAGGGTGCAACGATCCGGCGTCGAAGGGGACCAGACTCAATTTTCCCCCCAACCTGCGCCGATCCCCGCTCCTCTGCTGACGGAAGTTTTCTAGTCGATGACTGGCCGACGGCGCTTTGTTTGTGAAGGGGCCACGGGGCTAACCACCGCGAATTGGAGAATGGGGCCTTGGACGGCCATGCCTCCCGGGGAGTAGATGGAGCCTTGGAGATGGGAATTCCCGCTTGTCGCAGGACTGGCTTGGCAAGGCAAATCAGCGCTAGAGGTATGGGCAGAGCGACTTGCGATATCCTAGCGCATCAGCTCTGCCGTGAGGGATAGCGGAGGCGAGCGCGAGACGCGAGCAAAAGTGGCCAACGAGGTGCATTACGATGATGAGCAAGATGGGATGACCGCGGACGTCGTGTGTCTCGGAAACGATCAAGTGTTATTACCAAGGGGACGCTGGTTCGGCTTGAGCGGTGCCCCGTGTCTCCTATTCTCGGCTTTAGACTTGTCCAAGGAGCAATGCGCTGCAAGCCGACTCCATCGCATCTCCCTGTTGCTGAAGTGAAAGGACGTTGGCCTGGTCCAGGCGGTACGGCAGCGGGCGGAAGATCGGGAGGATAAGCAGTGTGCTAAGGTAGTGGCAGGGAGCATCGAAGTGGACAGGGCCGGCGTAATGCTTGAAAGACCGCAGGAAAAGGCCATCCGTTGTCGGCAGAGGCTTGGGAGTAGAAGTCGGTGAGGGTGTGCGAGATGCAACGGCTAGCACGGGCACGGAGGAGGGCAGGGGTTCTCGCTGTAGCCGGTTGGTGCAGCCGAAGAAGCTGATGGTGGTGCTCCTCCGCCGCCTCAAAACCAAAAAAGATGGAACGAAAAAAAAAAATTCGTTACAGTGCTGGAGCGCGAAGCCACCGCCCCCGCAATTGCCATGAATTGCCATAACGTCTAATCGTGCCCGGTGGGGGGTTGTCTTTTCCTGGCGGCATTTGGCCGACTTGGCCGACGCCGGGGCCGAATGTCGGGGCAAGTGCGACAAAGCTGAATCATCATCACGAGCCGTCCGGACAGGGCGATCATCTGCTTCCAGCGCCAGCGAAGCACTGGCAGCAAATCCGAATATGCCTATCCCAAGACACACGTCCTGAAAGCTGCGAGACAGCACACCGCCATACGAGATACACTGCAAAAAACGAAAAAGATATGTCTGATTTAATTGGGTAAGCACGTAAGGTAGAAAGAAGCCTGATTCGGAGAGTGGTGGTTGACAGGCAGCGTACTGAAAAGGACTGATTGGACGACATCCACCCAATCAATTGCGTGATCACCGACGTTGGCCGACACACGCAGCCACCGGAAGAGGGCGCCTCTTGACTCCAATCCGAGAAAAGCGGCAAAGGCGCTCTTTAGCCAAAGCTTAGATAAGAAGATCTAACACGTTGACCGTGACGACTGATTTTATGTTTAAGCTTCGGCCTGCACTGCTATCGGCGGAATATGAGACGGCCGATGCGGCGTCACGGGACGGCATGCTGGGGCCGTCGATGCAATGTGCGGAAAGCCCCTCCGAATTCTCCTTGAAAGATTTGTTATCGCCGCCTATCTTGAGTCCGGGTTTTGCCAAAAATTCGGCACCGAGGCGCCGATGACCCGCTCACGTTCCCCCTCGCCTGAACGCCTAAATCAGGAAGGAGATCCAGCGTTTAGCAGAGCTGCGCAATCACGTCTGCGGTTGCCAGTGTCAGTGGAGGAATCACCAGGCGGCGGCAGCTGATTGGCAAAACCACGCTGATGCTGATAACATCGACGAAGCACGCAATGCTCGTAGCAACTTCAACTCTGTTTCAACTACATCTCTGGCAAAAGGCGCAGAGATAAATGTTGGCGACGTTTTTGGATTCCGTGTTGCAAGATGGCGCTAGAGTAAGTCGTTTTCCTCTGTTACCGTGAGTAACTAGGTAGAGTAGCTTAGTGAGAACGTACTTCAGCTTGGTGTGGCTGGCGGCGACGGGATGATGCAACCGTCTTCGTCAGCCACACGTGCTTCCGCGTCTCACACTCCTACCTACATCACATCATTCACCTCATCGTCGAACCGCTCGTCAATGAGCTATCAACGCATGAAGCGAGCATGCTTTTGATACATTCACGCTGACTCAAATTAGAAAGCGATCCGACGACAAAATGTCTAATGAGCGAACGCCGCTTATCACCAATGTCTACATTGGTGATACGCGCCGCAGGTACCCGAACCATGTCCTACGCCGCTTCTGCACCGTTGCGCTCTCGTCCATCCTCGTCTTTTGGTCCATTTTCTTCGTAGTTGCGCTCTTCATAGACGAGCCTCCTCGTCACCATGGCCACCACCACCACGGCTGGTCCTGGACGAACAGCGTCAATAGCGCCCCCATTACCCACGAGGAAGTGCAAAAGATCCTCTTTGAAGTCCCCTCGTCTGAGAAGGCCGAGGAATGGAGCAGATATTACACTGCTGGTCCCCATCTGGCGGGTCAAAACTACTCTCAGGTAACTCTCTCACAGTAGATATCAAGGCAACACTATCTTACAAGGTGTAACAGGCTTTGTGGACCAAACAAAAGTGGGATTCCTGGGGCGTGCAATCGGAGATCGTGTCATACGACGTCTACCTGAATTACCCCATCGATCACAGTCTCTCCCTGCTCTCAAAGACCAAGGAGGACGAAGAGTCTACCTGGACGGTAGAGTTCAAGGCTGCTCTTGAGGAGGATGTCCTCGATGAAGACCCCTCTTCGGGCTTGGAGGACCGGGTGCCGACTTTCCACGGCTACTCTGCCAGCGGCAATGTCACAGGATCTTTCGTCTTTGTCAACTACGGCACGTACCAGGACTACGAAGACCTCATCAAGGCCAACGTCAGCCTCGAGGGCAAAATCGTCATCGCCAAGTACGGCGGCATCTTCCGTGGCCTGAAGATCAAGCGCGCTCAGGAGCTAGGCGCCATTGGCGCTCTTCTCTACAGCGACCCTGGCGATGACGGCAAGGTGACCGAGGAGAATGGATATGAGGCTTACCCCAACGGCCCTGCCCGTCACCCGAGCGCTGTTCAGCGCGGGAGCGCCCAGTTCCTCTCCCAGCGCCCCGGTGACCCATCCACCCCCGGCTATCCCTCCAAGCCCGGCGTGCCTCGTGCTCCCGTCGACGACGCGACGCCGTCTATCCCATCTATCCCTATCTCTTACGCTGATGCCCTTCCTATTCTGAAGGCTCTCAACGGCCACGGTCCCTCCGTCAAGGATTTCAACAAGTACTGGAACAGGAACCTCGGACTCAAGTACAAGGGTGTCGAGTACAACATCGGCCCGACTCCCGACAACGTGGTACTGAACCTCTATAATGAGCAAAACTACACCACCACGCCTTTGTGGAACGTTATCGGCATCGTCAACGGTACCATTCCCAACGAGGTCGTTGTCGTCGGCAACCACCGCGATGCATGGATTGCTGGTAAGTTGGCTTCTGTACTAGAAGACGATCCAAGTACTAACACGACGCAGGTGGCGCTGGTGACCCCAACAGTGGCTCCGCCGTCCTGAACGAGGTTATTCGCGGCGTCGGCGTCGCCATCGCTAGCGGCTGGAAGCCCACTCGCACTATTGTCTTCGCCAGCTGGGACGGCGAAGAGTACTCCCTGATCGGCAGCACCGAGTGGGTGGAGGAGTACCTACCCTGGCTCTCCGAGGCCTCGGTCGCCTACATCAACGTCGATGTCGGTGTCCGCGGCCCCAACTTCAACCCCTCCGCCGCGCCTCTTCTCCACCGCGTCCTCCGCGAGGTCACCCAGCTGGTCCCCTCGCCGAACCAGACCGTGCCAGGCCAGACGGTCAGCGACGTTTGGGACGGCACCATCAGAACCATGGGCTCCGGCTCCGACTTCACCGCCTTCCAGGACTTTGCGGGCATCCCCTCGCTCGACTTTGGCTTCGGCGGCGAGAACGAAGACGTCGTCTACCAGTACCACTCCAACTACGACTCCTTCCACTGGATGAAGGAGTTTGGCGACCCGGGCTTCATCTACCACCGCACAATGGCCCAGATCCTCGGCCTCGTCGTCGCAGAGCTCACCAACGTGCCCGTGATCCGCTTCAACGCCACCGACTACGCAGACGCGCTCACTGGCTACGTCGACCAGGTCGAGGCCAAGCTCACGGCCACCGCCGAGCACGCCTCGGACGAGGAGGAGCTTTTCCGGATACGCGCCGCCGTGGCCGTAGCCGACGCTGACGCCAAGGGATCCCTCTCGCAGTTCCGTACGTCGCTGCAGATCCTCCGCACATCCATCGCTGCTCTGCGTGAGAAGACGGTGAAGCTCGATGCCACGGCCGGCTTCGTTGACTGGGAGCTCAAGTACGGCGATATCCCCTGGTGGAACCTATACCGCAAGGTCAAGCTCGCCTTGGCCTTTGTCTGGGTCAATAGGTCCTACAAGGGCTTTGAGCGCAACTTTTTGTACCCTGGCGGCCTGGACGGTCGCTCTTGGTTCAAGCATGTCGTCTTCGCGCCTGGTCTGTGGACCGGATACTCTGGAGGTAAGTTTATTTATTCCCTGTGGTTGTATCCTCTTGGTAGTTGGGATTGATACTAACCTCGATGATAGCCGTCTTCCCTGGTCTGCAGGAAAGCATCGAAGCCAAGGACTTCAACAACGCACTCAAGTGGACTGGCATTATCAACGAGTGTATTGCCTCTGCCACCAAGAGTCTTTGAGCTCGGGTTTGGATGACAGCAGCCTATGTGCCATCTCGACACAAGCAATGAGTATATTGTTGAATAAATGGCAAGACATTTTTGTCAGATTCCATCCATAGTATATAGGCAGAAACTAGAGTAATGTAGTTCTCTAGTAGTACAATTAATCACTTAGTGAAACATTCACAAAATTCGTTGGGACATCATGCAATCATCGGACACATGATTTTGGTCTCTCCCATGGTAATAAGCGCAAATCGCTAGTATTTATCGAGGAATTTATGCGTCTATCGCCTTGGCTATTCATACAATAGGAAGAAATTTCCTCTCCTGACGCTCTCACTAAAAACAAGAGAAGAGATACTCTAGAACTTGTAGACCTGGTCGGGAGAGTATCCCAGCTCCTTGAGAACACCAACAAGCTCGCCCTGGTCCTGGGGGCTCTTCTTGTTACCCGAAACGGCATTCATCAGCCCAGGAGGACCGCAGACAAAAACCTTGATGTTGTCGCTCTTGGGCTCGGGGAGAACCTGCTTCAGCAGCTCCTTGGTAATGTAGCCCTTGTTACCAGCCCACTCCTTGGGCGGCTTGTCCAGCACGTAAAAGGCGCGGAAGCGCTGCGGGTACGTGTTCTCAAGCTCGGCAAGCTCCTTCTTGAGAAGGATGTCCTCCTCGGTGACGTTGCCAAACACGAGCGTCACCTTGGTCTTGTCCTCGGGGTTGTTGAAGATGGCGCGCGTGAGCTGGTACATAGGGGCAATGCCCGTGCCGCCGGCCACGAGGGCGATGTGCTCGTGCTTGTTGGGCGACCAGGGGTACTTGGGAAGCGGGCCCTTAAAGTCGAGGCGCTGGCCGGGGGTCAAGTCGTGTAGGTGCGTCGACATGGGGCCGTTGGGGTATTTTTTGACAATGAGCTCGAGGTAGCCCTTGGCGTCTGTCATTTCTTTAGTCTCAGGGGACTCTCTCTCTCTCTCTCACGTCACATCGTTGCTCGCTGGTAACATCTCATCACCGCGTCAAGACAAAAGGGGAGGGGGGTTACAAAGATGTAGACAGAATAGACTAACCCTCATCGCTGGTAGGAGTATAAGGCCTCAGCGTAGGCTTCTCGTCCTCGGGGCCCTTGTACTTGGTCAAGATGGCGCTGGCAACATCCAAACCAGAAACCATGTCGTCTTCGGGCAGCTTGAAGCGGAGCTTCTTGGTGTTGTGGTTGATAATCTCCGAGTCCTCGAGCTTGAGCGACACGAACCCTTGATCGCCACCCGTGAGGGCCTTCTTGGGCGCCGCGCCGACGGCCTCCTTGACCTTGGCCTCGGCCTTCTGGGCCGCCGGAGAGGAGCCAGCAAGGAAGTAGTAAGCGCCGCCCGCAACGGCGGCCGCGGCGCCGGCGTAGAGCGCCGTATTGGAGCTACTGCCCTTGGCGGCCGGCTCGGTAGCGTAGCGGCGGGCTTGCTAGTACGGAATTTACGTCAGCTTTCAGGTGCTCATCATTTCGAGAGGATTGAGAGTGATCATGCGCGTCTTTTGAGGCTGGGGGCAAGGGGTTGTGATGTTGCCGTGGTGGTGTGATGTAGTCGGGGAAACGCTCCGCGCGCAGCCGGAGGAGAGAGAGAAACGGCGTCATCAACAGTTATCTTACCAACTTAAGGGGTTGCGCGGCCCTGAAAGCAGTTCGGGCAAACATTGTGTTGGTTCAATTGGGAATTTCAGGGTCTGAGGAAGGGTAATTGACTGCGTCAAGAAGCAAAATTTGGTGTTAACTCGGAATGCACCAAGGATGTTTTGGCTGGGAGAGCTTAGGTATCCAAGACTCGCAACAGAGCTCGAAGCCCGCCATGGAAAGCTTTCACCGGGAGCAGTGCATGACGTAAAATGTCACGTGAGCTACTCTTTCCGTGCCCGATCCCCGCCGAACTGGCCGAGAGGTAGGTACAGTAAGCGGCCAGCATGTTGGAATCCCCGATGTGCATTTCTAAGCAGAACCAACAACATGCTCAAAGAGGCTCAGTGCCAATTACGCCATTCCACTGCGCACTGGCGAGGTGCAATCGGGTGTGGATGTTGAGAAGAATACCGGTACCTAAGCCGTTGTAAGTCTTCCGCTTTGGACGACGGGAGTTGACAGAAGGATCCACAACACAATCAACAAGAAGCATCATGCCGAAGAAACATTTCTTGACGTTCCCCGGGGGGAGGCAGTAGGGGGTTCACCCCGGTGATTATATACAAGCCAACAGCTTCAATCGCTGAGGACTTAAAAATAAGATAGAACTCCTCCCATCTTCAACAGGATCTAACGAGGTCCCGGGCATTCAAATGGCGAACCTTGCCGTCTTTCATCCTCGTTTTTGAACATTGATGCGTCCCTCCACCAGGCCTTGATCATAATATTTTCCATCATCCAAGTTACATGCTGAAAGCGACCGACCAGGGGCTCCTCTCTTTATGTCTCCCGAAAAATAACAACTATACGCCTCTTGATCGTCAAACCGAAACCAGAAACGCTCCTCCCTAACGTTCCTCATAGTACATGATTCGTGACAGGTTCCCAGAGGAGAAAAGAACCTGTCAGGCAAGAAGAAGCCTAGACTCGGAAGTCCGACATGAGTCTATGCTTCCTGACCGTCTCTCATCACCGCTCTGTGTCCATGGCATCGGGGTCTGCAGGCTTCTCGGTGGGGTTTGTTGCTTTGGGTGTGCTCGATCGATCCACTAGCTTACTCTCTGTCGTCGCCTCCGTCAAGGGGCTGACTTGAGAGTCCGTCTTCTTCGCCGTTGTGTCCTGACTGCCCCGTCGCATCATGCCGATATCCTGGTGCGAGGCCAGAGTTGGCGTGTTGGCCTGGCTGCCACCTCTCTGGCCGTGGTAGTGCACCACCTGTGGAGGGGGTTGGCCGGACTGGATGCCAAGCTGCTGTGTAGGGTACGGGTCCAAGTCCTTGCTGGACGTGGAGAACGTCGAGACCACAGGTTGGTGATATCCGTTGGAAGAGGATTGGCTTCCTGTCGGTGTATGACCCTGGGGGTGATGTTCCGCCTGTGTCGGTGTTCCAACATCGTTCGGCGATGTAGAGCCCTCACCAAGATTGCCGGTAAGACTATTCATTCCGCCTTCTATATCTCGTAGCAGACGAACGTACTCTTCGGGAACGAGTCCACTCTCCTGAGTTTTCGGGTCCTCGGCTACAAGCCAGCCTTGGCCGTGGCGATAGGAGACCCATATGATCTGACCTTCCAGCAAAGGCAATTCATTTTCGTTCTCTCTCTCAAAGTCAAAAAGTGCAACGGCTTTGCCGTGCATTTCTTCGTCAGGAGACGTGATGGTGAACTGGTAGTCCCGGGAGTATCGTGACTGGTCATCACCGCGGAAACCTGGAGAGGACGCGGAACTCGAAGCGTCAGAATAGGTCTCATGCTCGGCGTACTGCCGCGGGGGTAAGTCACCCAGCTGGTATGCGTGGCTGGAATGCCGTGCATCGCCGGGAGGGTAGGTGACATATTCTCCGCCAGGTCCATTCGCTTCCCCTCCTTGGTTCAAGTAGTATCGTTCGCTGCCATCACCGCTGGTTCCGACGTAGTAACCGCGTTCCCGTTGTTCGTAGTGTGCCGGGTGCAACATGTCGTTGGCTTCGTCGCGAGAATTTCTCAATCTTGCGGTTCCGCCAAGGGCTGCTGCGGAAGATTTGTGCTTTCGGTGCCTGGAGCTGACAACAGGGCTCGCCAAATCCTCATCTTCACTCCAGGGTGGGCCATCCCGAAATTCCATGGGTGGCAGATCGTGGGCCTTGCCAAAGCCTTCGGGTCCCCATGATCCAGTATCCCACGTCATTTTCGTTTCCCAGGCAGCGGGAGGATCAGAGAGACGACGAGACTCGCTGAGGGGAGTGCTGAGGCCAGAAGCAGGATGCGACGGCTCTGGCGGGGGGCCATAATGCATGGGATGCATAATTGGATATGCGAAATCGCGCACCAGGGTGTAGGAAAGGCTCGAAGGAAACATTGGAAATACGTGAGAAGGCGGTCGCGACCGCGACGGGACTGAGCCCGTCGAGTACTGCGACAAGCGATTCTTGGAAGCGTGCGACATTGGTCTCGGTGCGGTCGAGCGACGGCTGGGTGGTGATGTTATTAGTGGCGGTAGTGAGGGGTGATTCGGGTTGGTGGAGGGAGAGGCAGCTGCAGGTGGGGATGTCGCGGGCGAGGAGCTCTGGGACAAGAGTGTGGTCATTCTGAGATTATCGCAATCGTTGAGAAGCCAGCGTAAGGATGATAGGCACCCGATTCGCGGATCCTACGGCCTCGTGTGCCACCAAGCAAGCCGAGCGCTCAGCGATACCGTCGACCGCGCTCGTTGGCGAAAGTGAATTGGGAGTTGTATTGGCAAAAGCTAGTGTCGGGGCCACCAAGGCATAGATTTTGAGGGTTTGCGCAAGTGTTATCGTGAGTTCTGCTGCGCCGAGTCGGAGCGGGTTAGGCTATGCACGCGGCAGGCAGACTGTGTGAAGCGCAGTTTCGAGCGAGGCGAAGACGAACAGACAGAGTCGGGTTGAAAAGAAGGCGGAGCAACAGCAAGCGGACTTGCTCGCAAGGTGTCGCAAAACGAAAGTCGTCGCACGCGACGCTGAGGGCTGGAAATCGAATAAGGAGCGTCAAGAACTTAAGGCCGGGAGCGGACGAGCAATGGGATCGGCTCGCGGGATCGCTCGGGGGTTACGACAACAAGGAAGATGGAAGAAAGAAGAGCACAGGGTGGGCAGAGCGATGGGGGGGGAGGGGGGAGCGGTGGAAAGAGAAGAAGATGGGAAGAGGAGGAAGAGAGGAAGAAGTGAGGTTGGGAATAGTTCGTTTAGGTTCAGGTCGCCGGCGCTGCCCTGGTGCTCTTGTGCTGGGCAGCTGCTGCGCTGCGGAAAGAGAGTTCCAATTGTCCCGTCGCTTCTGCTGGTGCCGCCCTGGTTGGTGGTTGGATTGTGAGGCAAGGTACCTTAGGGTGCCAGCAGGAAAGGGAATAAAAAAGGTATATTGGAATATGCGTGCGCGAGGTAAGGTAGGTACTCCAAAAGAAAGTCGTCTGGTATGGAAGGTATCTGTAGGTAGGCAGCAGGGAACAGAGTGCCGCACCCAGAAAGCTAGAAGCGGCCGTGCCTCTTTTCGCTCGCACCAGACGATGCAGCAGTGAGCACAGATGGGACTGGACGTGACCCACGCTGGACTGCGACTAATGAGTACATGTACCCAGCTACCTCAGGTGTCTGTCGAGGGATTACACAACCTTGAAGTACCGAAGCTGTATGGAAAACTTCGTCTTCGTGGGGTTTCTTTTGGTAGGGCCAACTAGGTCAGTGAGCAGCCAAGCCAAAGCAACAGAACTTAGAAGAGCCTTTTCTAACGGTAGCCACCAGGAAGTGAGCGGACCACTTACCCCTTCCACTATCTCCAGCTACTTTTGAGTTTGGATCTTGAATAGCGACGAAGAACAGACACTGGACACCGACAATCGACCATCGACCCCCAACGCACTGGGACTGCACCTTGCTGCTTCTAAGCGCGTCGCGCAGTGATCCTACTGGCTGTGTGCAGTTGGAGCTGGCGGGAAGGGGGGGTGGAGGGGTGGTTGATAGAGGGGGGTAAGAAGGAGGGGAAAGCGTCAGGAGGGAAGGGGAGGGGAGGAGAGACAAAGGCCAGCACAACAGCGGGCGTGAGTAAGAAACCGAGAGCGGGAGAATGGAGGAGAGACAGACAGAAGGGGACAATACAGTGGTGGGAGGAGGGAGATGCGTGAGACGAAGAGGCTGATGAGCTTCCAGTGAGGTCCGACAATTGAGGAGAGAGGGACAAGCGATGCAGGCCACGCAGCAGTAAACAACTGACACCAAGCGGGAACAAGAGAGCAGCGACAGCAGCAGGTTCAGAACGTCGCGTCAGACAAGGCAGGGCAGAGCCGGGTGCGAGAGAGGAAGAGAGGGGGCTGAAGCCTGAATCCGGATCGATATTAATTTTGGCGGCGAACTCTCTCAAAGAAACTTGAACACAGTGACACAGTAGCCAGCAGATGCCAGAACGAGAGACGCCCCGAATCGAGTCAGCGCCAACAACGTCTCACCTCTGTCCTCTGCAATCGGCAGGCGTGTACTGGAACTTACTGCATCTGCCAGCTCTGCCGCCGACTGGCCCAGCCGGAAGGAATGCTCTTTGCGCTCAACTCTACCAATGGAAATCCCAACTCACATGGGTACCATATTCTGGAGACTTGTTAGAAAAACAGTAACAGCTCCACGGTCTCCAAATGCTGTGCAGCTCTTTGCAGGGGTCCGTCTGGTCCAACATGGTAACGCCAAGACCGCAAACCTCAACACGCCCCAAGGCAACGCCTACGGATATTCGTACCTGTTTACAATGTCCACACACACACATGCTCACTAGCATTGGCAGAGTACGGGGAATTCGTGTCCCCCGTCTGTGTACGAATACGCCCTCCACCGCTGCGCAGAACCCACGGTACCTTCGTAGGGTTGCCAGTGGAACTAAGATGAGGTACCTTGTATCCGTAATCCGTACTGCCTCACAGATGCTCACCTCTGCTTGCAGCCGTTGCCACAGGCGGGTTCTCATATTCCCGCCGTATTTTGCATTTGTCTGGCAGTCGATGACTTCAGTCCATCCGTCGTGAGGATTCTGGACTCCTACGAGCCTGCTGTTCATTCATCAGATTCAGGACTTATTACGCACCTCACGTTGCCCTTTTCCAACGGTCCCATCGTCAACTCAAGGGGATCCCTCGGTCCGCCTCACACCTTCTTCCCTGTCGATGGCTTTGCCTACGCGTTCGTCGCGGGTTCGGTTACAACCCAGGTACCAGACTGTATCGACCGAAATGCACACCAACGACGTTGAGCTGACCTCTTCCCCGCGTGGCCATGTGCCGGCCGCCGCTTCGCACTGCTTCGCAACTGCTCTCTTATCCACAAACAGCCAATTTCCTTGATCGTCCGTAGTTCAGACCACCCCCCTCTCATTAGGCATACCTGACACCATGATGGCCGTCCGCGCGTTAGATACGAATCACTGGATGTCTCCTCCCCAGGAAATCTCGTCTACAGCGTAAACTTAAATCTCACAGAGCCGCCCGTGCTCTCCGGTCCTGTCCAGCAGAAATCTGGCAAAGGACTGCTTTCACCTCCGGCCCGACTTACCGTGATATCCACTGTGTAGTCCGGCCTACACGGAACGGAGAAGCAGGCAGCAAACAGGGGATCGTCCGTATCTGAATGGCCAATGCTGGATATCTGGATTGGAACCCTTTCGCAGTATCCGTATGCTCAAGTTTTGCCCACTCTTCTCCCCGGCAACGGCCTAGAATCTTCACCAAATACAGAAGGAAGAAGCTTCGAACAAGGCACAAGCGGTGCCAGATGCTATTCTTGGTCTTTGGCCGGGCTGTCATCAATAAACCAATATTGGGTGCTCCAGCATTGGCCGGCGCAGATTCCCAATCAGGTCGCACCAAGGTCAGACAGCGGCCGGCCCACAGCTGATTAGCGAGGACGTCCCTGGCGCAAATCACAAAGTATCCAGAAACGGCCGTCCACTGTCATCAGTCTCGCTCTTTAGCCCGAACCGTAACAGTGGGAATCTTTGAATACACCTGCTGGGGGCCCTGACTGCTGCTCGCTCATCCCAGTATTGCGCGAACAGACATGGCCAGACCAAAAGATGACAGCAACAAAAGATCGATAATGAACACCGCGTTGCCCCCATCGCGATTTGCGTCGATGTGCCCAGGGACTTGGACTTGGACTTCAACATCAAGATGGCACCGAGTGCTGGATCTGTGCAGTCTTTCCCCCCACAGTGGACGGACAGCCTGAAGCACAAACAAAGAGCTTTTGTTTAGCCAAGCGCTATCTAGTTAGCTGCATCACCCGATCATCAGTGCGAACCGTGGGGCAGCTCGCAAGCCGACGGATGGCTTTGGTCGAAATTGTGGTATCAACCTCAGCCACCAGGGTGCCGGGTGGGAATGGGTACGAACTACGAACGATGGCGAAACTCGAACGCTGATCGGCGGGCTCCTGTAGGTAAATCCTCGACGCTTTAGCAGCGGCTGCAGCTTTTCGCTGTCGGCGGCCACGTGCGAAACAGCGGTCACCGATGGTTCCAATAGCACAATGGAACTGTTGTAATCAAGGATGGGCGAGAGAAGGGTAAGGCGATTCACAACTCATCAGCAAATCTCATCCTTTGCCGGGATGCAGCCAACTTGATGTTGGACCGCTGCCCGTCAAACTTGGGAAGCATCTGGACACCAGCAGGATGCAGCACAGCCAGCAGCGCAAGCGACGCTGCAGTGGAATAGTGATGCACAGCCTGACTGGGCCTAGGGCGAGCGGGAAGTGCAAGCGCTGCATTAAGCTGGGAGCAGCATAACACCTGGGACGGACGGAATCACAGGCCACCTGCCAACCCGGACGCCGAGAGACAGATATTCCTCCGATGATTAGACCCAGTCTGCTGCTCGCTTCCATGGGTTACTAGCACCGCAGCATACAGTGGATGGGCCGACTGCAAGTTCCCGGGAGAGGTCTAGCCCGTGGATCCTTCGAGCACGAGACGCCATTTCGCATGCGATCGCTGTGCTTTGCTAGAGGCGAATCAAGCTGCCAATGACTTTTCCTCCCACGCGTGACCTACGTTCGGTGGAGAGCGAACAGCTGTCTCAAACCAACGCCTTTTGGAACCTTTTCCCAAACTTTGGCCTGGTCCCCCTTTTGGCTGAGCTTCCAACGCCATCAGATGTCTCTGTACTCATTGGCTATTCTATTTCTGGATATGTGCGCCATGCACGGCAGCTGCAATTGGGATGTCGGAGTCGTGCTGATTGGTGCCCTCGAAAGTGTCGTCTGTTTCAGAGTATGTGAGCGCCTAACAGCCAATCATGCTCGCCCATCGCAACCAGCCACGTGAGTTGGGCCGTTTTGGTCTGTGAAGCACCTCACCTCAAGACGGCGCTTCCGGCTTTGATGAGCCTCAGGCAGGAATACTGCCTGGATTGACAGCCTGAGGCCAAAGCGGCGCCCCGCCATGCCCTGCTTGCAAGGCCCGACGTTGAGCCGATAGCGAGCTATCCGTTCATCACTCAAAAAGATGGAACGTCATTGCCGCCGGGTCAGTTTTTTATTCTTTCACAGCAAAATTCAGCATCGGGCTTGGAGCTCTCAACAGCCACGACCGACATCATTGGAGGTTAAATAGACTCTGTCAGAGCTCCGAGGAGGCAAGGCAGAAGATGGGGGGAAAAAACGCTGATCAACTTTGATCAGATCATACCAAAGGTGAGAAATAACTCGCGACGAGCAAAAATTATAGCCGTCCTTTGAGCCTTGCATGATGAGATTTTTTTTATTGGAGCTGTCTAAATTCCCCATGTTGAGACACTTTATTACCTTATACGCTTTGTCTGAAATCGCGCTCAAACACTTCTTCTGCCTCTGCGCATCTACTTAGTGCCTGGATTTTTTTGGCTAATTCGGAGACACAGATCAGATTCCCTCGTTCAACGACCGATTTCGACAAACGGAGGCGACGGCCCTCGCAACTCAATTAATTTTTTTTTTTCCCTTCTGATTTTTCTTGCTGACTTAAACATTCCCATTCTGTTTTGACCATTTGCGGCCCCACGTTTTCCCATAAGCATCCATCCATTTGACTGTCTCACCCGCTGAACCAATCCACTTCCACGTCGTGGAGCTCCCGTTCTACCTACCTAGTACCTACCAAGCTGCCCCACACTCGTCGTCACTTCACATCGCCATAAAACATCGTCGCAGCCATGGAGATTGCGAACGGCACAGGCGCGGCGCAAGCTGCGACTGCGACTGCTGGAGCAACCTCGACGGCACCCACTAATGGCGATGCTGGCTCCGGCGACTTCAAGCTCAAGTTTTGTACGGTTTGTGCGAGTAACCAGAACAGGTACGATAAGACAAAACTCTGTCATACCCCATCCCCCAGTCGAGTATCAATTAAGCTTCCTCCGTATACCGCGAAATGCCCGCACATGTCCATGGCCAAGCCAAAAACAAGTTCATGAGTTCCAAGGTTGACGCTGTCCCCCCAACAGATCAATGGTCTCCCACCTCCGCCTCGCACAGGCAAACTATCCCGTAATCTCCTTCGGCACCGGCTCCCTTGTCCGCCTCCCGGGCCCGTCAATCACCCAACCCAACGTATACCAGTTCAACAAGACGTCCTACGACTCCATCTTCAAGGAGCTCGAGTCCAAGGATACGCGTCTCTACCGGGCCAATGGCGTCCTTAACATGGTCGACCGCAACAGGCACGTCAAATGGGGCCCCGAGCGCTGGCAGGACTGGCAGGTCGGCATGCCGCGTCTCACCCATACCGAAGACCGTGGCAGCGTCGGCGTTGAGGGCGGCATTGTTGATATCGTCATCACCTGCGAGGAGCGCTGCTGGGACGCCGTCATCGACGACCTGATGAACCGTGGTAGCCCGCTCAACCGCCCTGTCCACGTCATCAACGTCGACATCAAGGATAACCACGAGGAGGCCAGCGTCGGCGGGCGCGCCATCCTGGACCTGGCCAACGCCCTCAACGCAGCTGCCACCGAGGAGCGCGAGGCGGTGGGCGCGGCTACATTTGATAGCGGCAGCGCGTCGAGTCGGGCGAGCTTCGATGAGAGGGTGCCGGATATCCTGGCCGCGTGGCAGGATCGGTGGCCGCACTTGCCGGCTGTATGGACTCTGGCTTGGTTTTGAGTCGTGTTGGACGGAGTTCCGGCGGCATATATGAGAGCGGTGGGAAACACATGCTCTCGCAGTCAAGATGAGAACCTGCGGGCGCTGCAGTATAAGGCCACGCTGTGTTCGCCAGTGTGGAGCTCGGAACCCTACGGGATACTGGTGTTTCACTCCAGGGCAGCACGGCTACGCCGATCACGATCCCGGCGCACGGGAGAGGACAAGGAAGTCGTGGCTAAAGATTGTGAGGAGGTTACGGTGCGCCTCGTTGCTGATCGGCACGGCTCCCCGGCGGCTCTCTATCATTTATCACAAGGCAGGATGATGCGAGGCCAGGATTCCCGAAACGAATTACAAGTCGTGGGGAGATGGAGCTTCAGTTTTATGTATGAACCAGACCTGCCAGGACGACCATCAGACGAAGGAAGTAGAAGAAGCAGCGTTGAAGTGGTGGAACGGGCACATGGCATTCGCATGCAAACGCACGGAAGGGAAGCCTTAGCCGAGATCGCAGTAGGAGGCGACGAGAGATTTTTGCAGATGCGGCTCCGCCAATGATGGATGAGACGGTGTTCACTTGGCCGTGTCATGGACGCGATTCATGAGGACAGATGAATGGGGCTTGCATCGAGAGCCAACTTCAGCCGGAAAGAGAGTTTCGGGAGAGTATACCCGCCCCCACACGCAGACGAACTATGAAGTAAAGATGCCACTAAAATCACAAATCCTGCTTTGGAATGAACAAGCCGTGCCGAACCCAATTTTGCCTCGTTGTGCTTCTGGCCGAGCGAGGAGGTTCACGGCTCGGAACTCTCGAGAGTTCAGTCACGTCCGCGTGCCGTTGCCGTTGGGCCCCTTTAAGCTATGGAGGCCATGTTTCGAGCTAGCCTTAGTCGGGGCAAGTTTCACGAAGCTTGAATATCCCGTCGTGGCCTTTACGATGTGGGAGTGTCGTGTGTGTCTTGCTGGAACGTGCCGGGGGCTCCCTCCCTTTCCACCATGAGAACTCGGTGCCAACGGCAGCCCTGCGGCTTTTCCATCTCTGGGGCTATCCGTACCGGGTGTGGGAAGAATATTGGCCCGTGAGATTTGTGAGATTCATTAGAGTCTAGACTGTGCCACGGACCGTGACGTTGCGTTGAAGACACTGCCTTCTAGAAGCCTTTTCCGGCTATAGCCTCCTGGTAGTTAACCGAGAGCACTACCGACATTACTGAGTGATAACCGGACTAAAGTGACTTTGGCGTCAGCTTGCGTCACTGCGCGTAAAACAGTGGTCGAAATGCCTTCCGGCTAGACGGCAACTTCTGACTAATATGGCGCGACGTTTTGCGCACACATTGGCGTTATCATTGCTGGTATAACTCTGGCCCACATGCAGATTTTGGTTCCCGGTATAGCAAGCGCCCCAAGAATCCAATCTCAACGAAGACTGTCTAGGGCTCGCCGCTCTTGGTGGAGGGGAAATGGCAAATCCTACGCATCAGCAGATTACAGGCGGATGAACCGGACAGTCAAGGGCTGGCAAGTTTTGGAGCGGTCGGGGATGCGTACGCGAACCCGCGAATACTCGTGTAACTCAACGAACATCCGGCGAGGCCTTCTCAGCCCGTCGAATGTTGGATGGCATGGCTAAGCTTCATTCCCGTCTCAGGGTGGGCAACGGGAGGGGTTTATGCGCTCAGATGGTACCTTGCAATGTCACAAGTCCCTCACCTCGTGAACGGGTATCTCCCACCCTGGAGCGTCTGGCTCGGGAGGGTGAGCACAACCATTACCGAATCTGGATGTGCTCGAATGTTGCCGTGAGGATGCGTGTAGTTTAGTAGGGGAAAAGCACTGACAGCCGGATGATCCCGGCGGTAACGATGCTGGCCTGAGAGCATCGCCAGCGACGGAGGCCAACGCCCTCGAGATGGGTGCCAAACTGCGGATCTGGATCTTGAGGAATGGATCCCGCTCCGTGGTCCCAAGAGGGCTGGAACAGTCGAGACTCTGGTGAGCAAAGTGTTTGTCGAACCAAAGTGGGAAGCGCAGGGCGGGCAAGATGAGATGTAATCTTAGGTGCAATAAAACGATGCATGGGGGCCGGCGAGGTTTACGCACCGGTTGTCCGGGCAGATGAACCAGGCACAAGAAGAGGTAGCGGCGGCTGAACGGTGTGCCTGCATGGGGCACCCCGTCCTGGAGGTATGAGATAGCAGAGCACTCATCGGCATCAAGGAAAAGCATGTCCTCGAGATGGGGCTGTTTCTGAGCACGCATTTTCCTGCCATTCATGGCTACGCGCGCCTTAGAGTCTTGCCTTAGAAGCCGGTGAAAGCAGAGCCTAGAGTCTGGGGTTGTCTGGGCCGTTCGCTTGCGTAGCAGCGTAGGGCGGAATCTGAAGCGCAGAGACGGACGACAGGCAACGGTGACAGCTTGTCAAGGGGCTGCAGAGAAAGCTAATGCCTCGTCTTGCCACGCTCATAAGCCAGCATCCCGCGGTCTTGACAGGGTACGGAGTACGGATACAATACCTACACCGTAGATTATCGAGCTGGGTCCGGCACCCCCTTGCGCAAGGATGCAAGCAAATCGCATCTCCACCATGCTTAAAATCTATCCATGTCAGTAAGGCCAGGGGGATGGAGGCAAGCCGCAAGTCACGTTTCTTGTCCGGATATGCCCATGCCCATTGCCCAAAGCTCTGCGAGGCCCTTGTCGTCGTCTCCAATTCTTGTCCTATTTCCCACAGACACTGCCACTGTCGAATGACAGGCTGTGCCCTGGAGCAAATCCACCTTTGACTTTTGCTGCTAGCGCGCGCCAGGTGTGATGAACCAATGGGTAGTGGAAAGGCCGCGCCATCACGGCATGGGTAGACATTTGCTCAGGGTTGACGGAGGGTGCGTTGGTTCTGATCTGGGCCTGCAGAGCTATATGAACGGGGACTGGTTTCTGAAAGTCCATTTTCCGTAATAAAGAGGACAAGATGTCGATGTGCAGTGGACGTGGGAGTGTGTAGATGGATAGATGAATGAATCCAATCATGATGCTGATGATGATGTGGAGGAGAGACATGGGCAAAAACACCAGGTTGGAATGTTTACGTTAGGTACGGATCGTAGGTATGTGCAGCTGAAAGATGCGGGAGAAGCCATCAAGTACAAATTGTCTTTCGGCAATGACGGTCTTGCAAAAGAGACAGGACCACTTCCTTGCCGCTGCCGAATGGGTGATAGGATTTGTGGATGAACCCGCGAATCGTTCATAGCCTACCGGCACGGTACGTACAACATCAAAGTAGCAGTGGTTGTGGTTACCCTCATGATGAACGATGTACAGCTCCTGATCCTGATTTTGTGCCTGCCAATACCCGCGTAATGTGGTAGCGAAACCCACCTGCCCATTAAGACAGCGATGGCGCAGCAAGATGGGAATCAGGAATCCACGCCCCAAATTTCTCGTCCAGGACCTGATTCCCAAAGGTTGAATGAATACCTACTGGCTCATTACTCTATCCGGAGTAAAGTATGTCCTGAATCGTGCCGTGTCTTTGAATTTGTCTCGTTCAAAGATCATTGTGTCTCATCCCCTTTGCAGACTTTGCCAATCATGCCGGAGGACACACTTAGGGAAACCTCTAGGTACCCGCCATTTCAGCTGGTCTGGGGATGGATGAGGACTAGGGAACCTGCGGCGCGGACATTCCAAGGTGGAAACCAACATGTAGGACGACGATACTTCAGCCAAGGCGATAGGCTTCTCTCTTCCGGTATCCACCAGGGTTAGCTTGTTTTGACCGATTTCTGGCTTTGTGCCAGTGCCATTGTGGGAGCTGCCCGACCATGACTCCTGGAACCTCAACTCGAATCACTTTAGCAAGTTTGGGTTGTTCTCTGAGGTTGAGGGCCGTCGACGACAACTCCTGTCTCTCCCTCCAACGTGGAAGAAGAAACGAGTGTTTGGTGCGCGGTGATGATCAGAGCTGCTTCCCTCCATCAGCTGGGACGGCGCCATCATATGGACGGGATGATGGTTTCGCATCAGTGGCTGTGCTTATACATATGCATTGGGCGAAGAGCTGGACGGGATGATAACATACGAAGTATCCGTGCTCTGCCGGCTATCACCACCAGTGACTATTATGCGTCGATCGTCAAAGTCATGAATGATCATACACAATGTGGACGGAGTCGGGACGTGGGCATTGGAGCGAGTGGCCCCCAACATGATCCCCGGAGGTGACCCAAAAGAGATTGATCATCGCTCAACCTGGTGGAGAGTCGCATTATCATCATGGGCAATTTCACAAGTACAGAGTACAGAGCACCGCGCGATGCATTCTCCAGCATCGATCGGGTGTCTCTTCCAACCTTACTATGTACATACCTAGGAAGTCCCCCGAAGGGCCCCAGACACACCAGGGTACAAGTCTACAAGAGGATCAAGACATGACAACGGCGGGCTGTGTTCTCCAGCGTCATTTCCCCTCCTCCACCCCCTTACCCCTTCCCGGCAGCGGCCCCCTTCCCATTGCACTAAGGTTGCCGTGTGTGCGTGCGTGCCTCCCACCCACACCACCCCATGGACATGCCCATTCTTTTTGAGGTGCGCGTCCTCGACTCCTCGTCCTCCCGCGCCCCATCCCTCCCTCCAGCAACTACGAACAGCGCTAAGGACAAGCTCCAGCGCCCAGAGCAGTCCACCATTACTGCAATTACTGCCCGCAACCTTTATCAGTGCGTCTACGGAGTACCTTATCTACTAACGGATGGTGCCTAGGTACCTTACCTTAGCCTAAGCGACTCGCGGGTCCTCCACTTGTGGCTTTCCACAGCAAACACGTCGCAAAAGTACATTGACCGAGATGGTTCGTGGCCCAGATTCCCCCAAAATCCACTGGACTCACTCTTCCGTTCACCCTCCTTTTACCCAACCCCCAGCAGCTCCTCTTCCGCTCCGTCCATTGGTCGAGGCATCCCAGCCAGTCACCTCGACGTTTCATGCCTCACCACCTCCGTCGCGGATTCTGCTCTTTTTCTGCGTCTCTACGTCGTTTGCTTTGCTGCATGCGCTGCGTTGCTCTCTGCCCTCAGCTTTGCCTTTGGTCTTTCAACCTTTCTTTCCACACTACCTTGTCTTATTCTATTTCGGCTACGCCCTGTCTCTGCTGCAATTGCACCTAACCGCTTTGCAGCTTGTCCCACTGCTTCTCTGCATCCGCCACTCGTCAGAATATCCCCTTTTGCCACGACATTCATCATCCCGCCCTGCCATGCCGTGTCGCATCCGCTGTCTGTCTTTACATTGATGCTGAAAGACACTGACCGGGAGAAGCCAGAACCCCCTTCTTCCTTCCACGCCCCTCTGCCGCGATATCTCAATACAAAAATCCTGCGACACATTCCTCGACCTTCTCCAATACTTTTTTTTTTTTTTTTTAAATCCGCCACCCATCTTTAGACCTGAACCACAGGCAGTCCAGTCCGCACACCCAACCTTTAACCGACGTACCCCAAAAACAGAGAGCGAGAAACAGGTCCTGCGACAATACGTATTTAGGTTGGCTAGTGGGTTTTCGCCTTGGTTTTGGGTACGAGCGTATACCTGGTTGGATTAGCATTCTGTCACACGTCAGGCGAGTGTGTGGCACCAGGAGGAAGAGAGGTCCTGTTACTGCTGCCCCCGAGCGAATTGAAAGACCCGATACTCGACCTCGACCTCGTCGTTGACCTCGACCCTCCCTTTGTTCGCTGCGCCGCGTCTCTGTTCTTTCGACAGCCTGCCGCCCTTTTACGCGCGAACACGGCCGCATACGAAACTTGTCTAGGTCTACCATGAATGGTCGCAATGCGCCCCTCTCACCTGTCTCTCTAGGTGGAAGCGAATGGCCTGTTGGCAAATACCCGAACATTAACGACGACCCGTACGCAAAGAATCGCGGCAACATCGTATCACCCCCAAATTCAGGAGGCTCCAACGGGGCGATGAATGGTGCTTTCCCCCCCGGTCCCCGGAGCGCCGGCGGTCCCTCACCACCGCCATCTGTCGGCCGATCTAGCAATGGCACCAACATGTATGCGAGGAGCGAGAGCGGACGGAGCATCCGCGAGGAGCAGGCCGAGGGCATACTGGGCGAACACTATGTCGCTTTGAAGAATTACCTGAATGGCGGTTCAGGGGGTAAACCAACGCCGCCGAATAAGGCTCGCGACAAGCTGTTGCGCTTATCGTCTGTCCAGTTTCTCGAACTCAGTACCGATGTCTTTGACGAACTGCTGCGGAGACAGTCTCTCGGTCGCCGTCCTTCGGGTCCTGGCGGTCAGGGGCCACCCCCTTATCTGCTACCCGAATCCAACTTCCATCCTAAACGCAACCAGGCGAGGCAAAAACTGTCATCTCTTGGCCCCCCGCGATTTCGTGATCTGGCGACTGATGTCTTCTGCGAATTGGAGAGGAGGTTTCCCCGCTTTGCCGCTGGAGACATCCCAAGAGTGGGTAGCCCCGTATCGGTCCGCTCGCAGGCCACAGTCAACGGGAATGGCTATCCCCCCCGGAGTCAAAGTCGGATGAGGCGACCCTCTGATGCGAGTTCCATGAGAGGAGGACCACCACCACCCGATCCCTACGGGGTGCCTCCCTCCCCGGGTATGCCTCCCAATGGCGACTACAATCGGCCGATGCAGAAGCAATTCCAAAGCAACACGATCGTGCCGAACAAAAGTACAATGGTGGAAGAGGACGATGATGGCAGCCCGAACGAAGATGAAGAAGCCTTCGGCCTCGAACGAACCGCGACTAACCGCAGCAAGAGAAGCGAAGTCACGGAGCGGAGCGGGGTGGCATCAGAGGTGATCTTTACCCAAAATAATCTCGTATCGAGTGGAGATGTTAACAGCTATGGCAGGCCGACAAGAAGCTTTTGGATGAATACCAAACTCAAGTACGCGACCTGCAGGAAAAGCTTGACGGTATGGAGGATGCCATGAAGAAGAAGGACGACGAGTTGAACAATGTCCTGGACGGGGAGAGATCACGGTCAACAGCCGCGAATATGGAGAAGAAGGAATTCGGCGATCTCCGTCTCGGCCTGGAGAACAAGCTCGCGGAGGCTCAAGATCTTAACGCGTCTTTGAAGCAGGAGTTGGATCGCATGCGAGATGAACACGCCAACGAGTCCCGGCAATTAAGAGACCAGATGGACGAAGTGCGACAGTCTAGTGCAGCTGCGGGTGCCATGAATTCCGGCAACGCGGACAGGGAGCTGCAGATGGAAAATCAAAAACTCCGCCAATCCCTACAGGAGCAGCAACAGGTCACGGAAGAGGCTCGACGCGAGGCTCGGGAGTTCCTCCGTGAAATGAAGTTGCTTTCACAACAGAGCGGGTCAACCTGGCAAAAGCAGGAGGAGCTGGAGAAGACGATCGAGCAATTGGAAGCAGAGGTTCGCGACTGGCGTAACCGATACGCGCGGACAAAAACTCAGCTTCGCAGCATGCGTGCTTCCTCACTTGGACTGACCGTCGAGCAAGATGCCGCGAAGTACATCAGAGAGAAGGGATTTGCACAGGACGGAGGTGCAGTTAAGGATGTTCACGTCACCAAGTTCCAGATTGCCATCGACGAACTTCTCCAGCGCGCGCGCGCGGAGAACCCGGACACAGTCATTGACGCTATGAAGCAAGTTGTTGTCAGCGTTCGCCGCATTACTAAGGATATCGACGAGGGGGTCGCTAGCAACGAGGAGCTCATGCAGCAGCGTTCCAAGCTCAAGGGCAAGATCTCCTCTACGGCCAACCACCTCATCACGACGTCCAAAAACTTTGCTTCGTCGGCAGGCATAACGCCAGTTTCTCTGCTTGATGCCGCCGCCACTCACCTGGTTGCAGCTATTGTCGACCTCCTTCGAGTGGCAAAGATTCGATCCACGCCCGCTGGCGAGCTCGAGGATGAGGATGATGGCACAATCACACCCGTTGACTCGACCGGTTTCTTCTCCCCTAGAACTGCTTCAAGACAGGAGTCAATAATCCAGGAGTCGTTGCCGCCACTGGGACAAGCACCAGCACCGTTCCGTGGACTTGGTGGTGGCCGAACCAGCATGGACTCCTCCGCCTACAGCCCCATCAACTCCCCACGCCAATCCGCAGAAGCTTACAACCAGTCTCGGGGAGCCAACGGTATGAACGGAATGGGTGGTTTTGCGGGCATGAACCAAAATGGGCCAGCCAATGGCTACGGTAACGGCATGAGACAGCAAGACAACCGGGCTGAGGACCTCAAGATCTACCTCGAGGACCAGACCGCGATCTTGGTTCAGAATATCCAGAACCTGGTCGGCTCTATCCGAAGCGATGCTGCCATCAACCAGATCACATCCGAGATTAATGGTATCGTAGAAGTCGTCGACAAGGTCATTTCCGAAACCGAGGTATCTGGCAACGGCGGCATGATTCCCCGACTCGTCGCTTGCCGGGACCGACTCTTGGAAGCCAGCGACCGCGGCATGGACATTGATCGCGGACAGGACGTCGGTGCCATTGGGCGTAACGATCGCGAGTGGAGGATGTGGACGCAGACCCTGCCGCCAATTGCTTTCGAAATCGCTCGGGAAACCAAGGAACTGGTCCAGCGCGTGGACCGAATGGCCAACAACGGAGACGACGACTTTTCATAAACTGATTTCCGAGGCCCTGCGTTGGAGTGTTACGACCACTGGAGGGCCGCAGAATCACCGCCAACTATAACCTTTTTCGAGGATGCGCATAATCTTGAAACGACAACACAACCCTCTCTTCCACTAGTGAAAGAGAGTTTTGATACCCCTGCTGTCCTTGGGGCGGCTTTGCTTCCATTTATGGGTTCTGCGAGGTTTGAGACGTTGACGAGGACGAATAAGAGGTCTACTTCTTCTCTTCCCTTCCTTGTTACTCACGTATATGTATACACACACGGCTACTGGAGGGCAGACGCAGCCCCAGACCTGATTTTTTTTTAGAATGGGGCCTGCTCGGTCTCATAACAACCTTGGGGCGTTTAATTCTTCTCAAGGAGTTCTTGTACGCGAAGCATGAGAGAATGGGATCTGAGGACACTTTGACGGAGGGTTTTCTTTCTTACGTCACGTGAATGAGTCGAGGAAAGAATGGGGAAGGGGGTCCTTGGGAGTCCTGCTCCCCCTTGTTCCCTTACACACACCTGGCTATGTAATTCAGAAGGGGGACCGGGGGTTTTGCCAAGGACGTTTTCGGTGATGGCGATGAACAAGACAGGATAGCCCTTTTGAAAGTATAGCTAATGCTAAATGTGCCCCGCGAGGCATGAGTACAATCTCGAGATTCTGCTTTGATTGATATGGGGAGTGAAGTTAGAGGAAAGGTGGGGATGTCGGGCGGACCCCGAGGCAGGTTATTGAGCACGAGGGCAAAGCTTATAGATTGGGAATTCGGGCACATGATATCCACATTACACCGTCCATTGTCGAGCTGATTAACGGCTTTCCACGTGGCGACGCGGCGGCGGCGGCGCGGACGAACCGGTGCGGGGAAGGGGGCCTGCTGAGAGTTTCTCAACAGCGGACTGTACAAAACTTTGAAGTCGGTGTTGCGGGGAAGGTGATGGGATCCTTGCCCCTTCTTTTTTTCCCTGTTGATCGCCTTAGAATCTCGAGCTACTTGGCAGCAGCGGTGGTTTCGTATTCCCCGAATCTCCCGAGGTCTTTAGTATCGTCGTGGAAGCGTCGTTGCCACGGAGGGCCCGCTGCCCAGGTTCATCCCTTGAAAGTGGGGAGGAAAGAGAGAGGGAAAGAGGGGGAGAGGGAAGTTCTGGTTGACAGCCGTTCTCTTTTCTTCCCCCGGAACAGATAACTTGCGAGCATTTGCGAGCAAGGGTGTAGGCAAAACCCGTTTTCATGTGCCGTTAACCCTGTTGCTCGCCGTCGTTCCGTGTGGTAAGATCACCAACCATGGCGTTCGATTAGAATATCGCGGATGGCTGCTAGTCCAGTAGGGCTGACGCTTCGCCAAGGTTGGATGTCAGGCCTGGCTTCGAGGTTGGTGGTTGGGTTTATCTGGCATGGCCTGGCTCGTCTTCATCGGGGTTCCGCCCCAGCTTTTCCCTTGTGTTGTTGGTTGCTCCCGGTTCGTGCTGCGTGCGTACTACTGCAAGTGTCAGCTTACTTCCGCTTTACTCGTTCTATGCTTTAGGGAGTCCGATCCTGATCCAACGGGCCAATGGATCGATCTCGTTCCCTTCCCCTTTCCCTTGTTGGCTTACGACGGTCCTTGAAATCATTGGAGAGCTGGTCGGTAACGCTAAACTGTGGCCCAGCCCCAATGTTTCTTTGCTGGACAGCTGGTTTGGGCGAGGAGTGAGACCGACTGATGGTATATGTTGAACAGACGCCCTCGTTCTCTCCATCACCGGAAAGTACTCATCGTCTTCACAAAAAGCCGATTGATTTTTGGTGATGAAATCCGCTCTGTCTCGCGATTGTGATTACTGAGCCGTCTAGGATCCGACACCCGCGATCCTTGGTTTGGAACCCGATGGCTTGCTGGAACCCGCCTCCCACCAATTCACATAATGTCCAAGAAACCACCCGTGGCCAACTTGATGTCGCTTCGAATACCTCAGTGATGGAGACTATCGCGATCTCAGGTGAGGAGACCGCCGCCACGACAGATGTGTCGAGAAAAGAGCCGCACCTCCTTGGCCTGCCCCTTGAGATCCGCCTACAGATATATGGCTGGATCCACGCGGCACACCCGGTACAGCACGCGCAGCTCGCGCCGTGGTATCCGAACCCAATACATAGTGTGTACTTCCTAGGGCCTGTCAACCCCCCCGGAGTGGAAACTGAGGATCTTGCCGTACCAGGGAAAATCGTGACAGTCATTGACGGCCCCGCGAGAGAGTACAATCACTCCAACTCTAATCAGAAGCATGAAGAGCCGCCGCTGCTGTCGCCAAACCGTCCCATCTCAGGTATTCCCTCAGCGCTCCTGGGAACCAACAGGCAAATCTACAACGAGTGCCGTTGTCTTCCCTTCCACGCCAACGAGTTCGTCTTCGTCAACTGGTTCTCTTCGGGGCTCTGGGCGGCGCGAGCATTCACACGCGGCCTTCGGCCGTGGCAGCGGGATGAAATGCGATGGGCACGGCTTGAGATGCTCGGGCGGGACTTCACGGGCCCGACGCTCAAGGAGTGGATCGAGCTGTGCGGCCACTGGACCTCTGGGCTGCGGGGGCTGAGGCTTAAGATCCTGATCGGGGGTGGGATATTCGAGCCCACAGCTCCGTTTGCCGCACTAAACAACAATGCAGAGGCCCAGGCTATGGGGTTGGGCTCTATAACGACACGGCCGGATCCCAGGCTTGAGTGGATCGAGGAAGGGCTCCGGAAATTGGAGGCGTTGAGAAGGCTGGAGGTCGAGCTGTCGGTGCTGGATTGGGGGGATGGGGAGAAGGTCGAATGGTGTACAGAACTTGGGAAGATGTTGAACGTCGGGAGAGAGGGAGAAGAGGGCATCGTCGTTGTGAGATGTGTTGAGAAGCTTGAGGAGGACCGCGGGCCAAAAAGGCAAGTCTGTGAAGGCATCGCGAAGAATTGAGCCCCTGCTGAGTTTGCTTCAAGCATCGATTAGAATATCTGGCTTTCGGGGTAACAGCTGTTAGCCATTGACTGCCAGATTTTGGAAGACGAAAGACGAAAGATGGGTCCGATCGGCTGGGTGCCGTGATGAGGATGAAGTCGAATGGGGTGGTCGCCACGCAGTTAGGGGCCAGCCATTCAGGAGATGCAGTTAGGAGTATAATTTCAGATACGATTTTAATCCAGGTTTGGGTTGATGGGGATGATCCCTCAATTTTCATTGAATGCTCAGGTTATCCTATCAACATACCTGTGGTGAAAGAGGCACAACATCCACTCTTCAAGGACAGAGGTAGGTGCGATTATTTGTTCCTTCCTTCCTTCCATCTGAGGTTGCCCCATTGCCGCTGCACCTTCCCCTTCACTCAGCTTCTTTGAAAAAAATCCCAGCTGCTTTTCTTCTTCTTCCTTTTTTCTCTTCAAAGCAGCCAGCCGTCTGCCAACAAGAAATCTTATTGTCCTCCTCCACCTCCCGACCTCACTCTTCTCTTGGACCCTCGACTTGGCCGTTCAGACATCATCTTCTTGTGCCCATTGCCTACTTGCTACCTTACACAACATCTTCAACCTACAGGACACCGACGATTCCTATTTGCAACGTTCAGTCCATCAGCTGCTTGGGCCGATTGACAACAGGAAATTTCTTGCCATCCCCTTACTACCTAGGTAGTACGACATCTCTGATCAACGTGGATGTGAAGGGTAACTAATCAGGTCACAATCAAGATTTTCCGTGATCTCGTCAAGGGGATCGCATACATTTTCTTTGGAACACATCACGAGAGCTTCCTATTCAACGCAAACAAACCCTCGTGAACTATCTGGTAAGTAAAGAAAATTTCCAACAGTTCTGAATAAATACTTACCTTGCCCAGTAACAATGTGCGGTCACGTTATGCGCGGTCGCTTCACCCCTCGCTGCCCCGAGCTCAGCGTCGATTACTCTACCGCCTGGTCTCCCCAGGTCCGCATTCCGGTCCTCATCCTTATCACCCTTTTCTTCATGTGTATGCATCCGGCTGTTGCCAATGCCACCAAGCGCGCCATCTGGATGGTCGTCAAGCCCATTGCTCTCCTCATCGGCTACTTCTCTGTTGCTATCGTCCGCACCTTGATCTTCGCCTTCATTGATGGACCCAATATGGTTGTCACGGTCCTTACTCCAGATAAGCGCAACGGCATCGACTTCCTCGACATCGATGTCGAGAACAACACCAAGCTCAATGCCATCTGGAGCCGTCTCCACACTGAGGAGGAGTGGGTTCCTGGTGGCGTCTTCGACAAGAAGTACAAGCCCTTCCTGCCTGCCAGAAATATGAAAATGGCTGGCCCTCGTCAGAAGAAGGTCATGACCCGCGACCGTGGCCTGTCTTGCTAGGTTGAGTTTGCTTGGGGGCGCATTGTTAAGTCGATAAACAAAGACACTGTGGAGGAACTGGATCTTCTGAGGAACCGGACCTTCTGCTTGGCGACTGTCATCGACTTATTCGACCGTCCAACTATTCAACTTTTCAGTGGTATAACCAAAAGTGGTATGAGACACGACTGAATGAATCTATGGCCGTGGGGGTTTCTATTGGGGAGATTCGGGATTGGTATGACCTCGCGATTCATATGCGAGCCACTAACCCTATTATCTTGGGTGTCTACTAATCACATCGGATGCTCGACAACGGAGATATCTGCAATGGACTTGGTGGTTCTGCGCTGGATGATACGGATAGATTGGGGATTTCATAACCGTCTTGGAGCCAGAACAGGATAGAGAGAGATACCCATGGCCGTGCGAGCTAATGAAGCTCTCGACCATTAGACGTTGGTCAAGATAGGGGTCCTGACGACTCAGATGGGATAGAACGATATTGAGACTCTGATACATTGCGAATTGATCTCTCGTGTCGCGGCTCGGTGCGGTTTAGTGTTCAGTCAGACTGGGGAGAGATGTGACGTTGAAATGGACATCCACCCAGCGCGGAAAGGTCCCGCTAGTGTACAGGGAACTATCATGAGACATTGGCCAATCGGAGCATGGCGGCGAGCGTCTGTCGTCTCTGCTTTATGACTCTCTAGCAGCTCGTCTTGGAAAACGCTGCCCCATTGCACGCAGCATTTGTAATACAATTTCTTCTTCGTGAAAGTCTGCCATCTTAGGTTTTGGTTTCCTGTGTCCTCGTCGGTCAGTTACTTCAAAGGAGAGTTTACTGTAGGATTGAGAGTATAGAGGCTCCTTGCTTCTCGCAGCCGTGTAGACATCTGTAGTTACAACGCGCACAAGCCTACTGCTGAATGCTTCCCTTCCGCGAGTATAATCCCGAAGTCTGAGTCAACTCAACAGAAACCGAGGGATTTTGCACCTCTGGGTAGTGATTCGCGAAGCTCCGCATACTGACTTCCGCTAGACCCCGTCAAGCTGCCGCTAAACCATGTGACTTCGCGCCAGTCTCGCACCAAGCGCATGCCCCTCTCGTCCCCGACATCCGCTTCAGCCCGCCCCGCACTCCCCTCACCCCCCGGCCGTGACTCACGTCCCCCCCGGTCACCGCTGCAAGTGCATTATCTTTGTCTCGTTCCAATTTGGATACCGCGTTCAGTGACGCGTGCCTTCATGTTGTATTTTTTCAAACGGCGGGTTGGGTGGTAGAGAACGGCGTCCGGTTGGTAAGGTAGTCGTTTTTATGCGTAGTTTTGTGTCATGTGGTTTTCGAAGGGTGGGAAGGTGCCACTAGTTAAGTACATAAAGACGGGAGGATCCCGCGTTACATGCGTTTCAGGCGACTAAATTGCTGACTCCTCACACATCAGAACATTCTGAGGAACTGATTTCTTTACAACACTTACACGTGGGATTGGGTCGTACTGTCCTTTTCCCATTTTCCCTTACTCTATTTTTTTTTCCTCACAAGAAGACGGCCTATTAGACGTCGACGGTGCCTGAAAGCTTGTCCCATTGAGTTCGAATCCCACTCAACGTTTGAAGGACAGTCTGACGTCACACTATCACCGTCACTGCCGGACCGCTCGCGTATAGCCTCACCCACGCATTTCAGTCCAGAGAATAGCCGAGATGGATGCCCGATGCCAATGCGGTGCCGTGTCATTCAAGACGCCACTTCCGCAACCTCTACGTCTCTACATTTGTCATTGTGAAGAATGGCATGTTTAATGACCCGAGCTCCTTTATCAATGGCGACAGCAACGCAGTCATACTGACTTGTGCCCTCTTTGGTTTCTAGTAAGAGGCAAACAGGTTCCGCGTTCGGAACGTCTGCAATCTTTCCCAAATTCAAGCTACCAAAGGCTGATTTGATGGGTGTCTACGCGTGAGTCTCCGCACATACAGACCAAGGATGCAAGGACGATTTTTGCAAGTCACGGGAAGTGAGGGCGAGTCTTTGGAGCGTGATAGTGAGAAGTTGTGAAGGATCCAATTCCGTTGCTGACCTATGGACATGTAGGAGGCCGACTGCTTCCGGCGCCACGCTGTATTGGTGAGTTGTCATCTCCGATTCGGAACCTGAGGGGTGTTTTGCTGATTTTTTGTGATAGTTACTTTTGCCGAAACTGCGGGACGCGACTGATCCACGCCACGCCGGTGAGTTTACGCAGAGCGCGGGACCCGGGTGGACATATACTAAAGTTGAGGACATCAGGATAAGAACGTCGTGTCCGTCAAGGGCGGCTGCATCGACGGCCTCGACTGGAAGACGGCCGTCCACATCTGGACCAAAAACGCCATGGTCCCTATCCCCGAGGGTGCGGAAAATCACCGTGAGGAAGCTGAATACACTGATTATGGTGATCAACAAGAGGCGCTCGATCAGCCGACTGACCTGCGCGGGAGCGGTGGAACCCCAGAAACGATATCATTTGATGGCCGTTGTGAATTGAGCGGCACGTTGAAACCCGCCGTTCCCTGATAGTTGAGGCGGAGGCCGTGTCATGCGGCCATAGAAATGCTGCCATTGAAGTTTATATCATCAGGTCATTAGAGACGTGCCTTGCTTGGGTCAGACACCAGACTAGGGTTGATGGAGGTAGTATTAGTCGGTTCTTTGATATCCCCGAAATTGAGTATTATGAAAAGAGGCGTCTAATCGGTAATGCTGCCAAAAGAAAAGTTGAAATTGAGTATCCGTAGACTGCTTTCTTTCTCCAGGTACATCTTTGGTAACCAGTTCAGGAACGCTGTCCGACCAGGGATTCTTCACCACTCGGTCTCACGTTCCCGTGCGTGGGCTTGGCGATGGACTCTTGCTGGTGGTGGCCCTCCTCGGCGCGAACCCCAGCGTCGGAGTGCTTAGCAGGGTCGAAGACGTACATGGGGAACTCTAGGAAGACGGTCCGCTTCAGAATGGTAGGCATGCGGGCGTACAGCTGCGGCGGGAAGGGAATGAGGATGCTGGTGCGTTCGAGGTAGCGCTTGTAGCCCTCCCAGTTCTGATTTTTCTCGTAACGCTTCTTGGCACCGGGGCGCTCTTGAAGGGTCAGGCCCGAGACGAACATGAGGAGCAGTGTCAGGAAGAAGGGGCCCAGGATGGTGGCGTATAGGGCTTTGAAGGCTTGGCCGCCCACATAGCCGTCAGCGGCTGACGATACGGCGATCATGTAGATGCCTAGGTGAGTGGATATGTTAGCTACACAACATCTGTGGAGTAGTCGCTTCATCGCGCTGACAAGGCTCGGAAATTGGCGTGTCTAAGACGTAGCACTTGGCAAAGCGTCATTGCGTGGGCAGCAAAGCGGACTTACCGAACTGGATGATGATCTCGCCGAAATAATTGGGATGCCTCGAGAACTTGAAGAGGCCCTTGTCGCAAATGACCTCACGGCTCGGGTTGTCTCTGCGGAAGACGTACTTTTGCGCGTCGCTCAACGATTCCATGGCGAAGCCGACAACGAAGAAGATGATGCCCACAATATCGCGGCCGGTACCAAAGTCGTGCTGCGCGTAGCGGGTGACGTTGGGCGAGTTGAGGACGGTGACGGGCAGGGAGACGGTCCAGACCCAGATCATCTGAAAGACCCAGAAGCCGAGAAAGGGGAAGAATTTGTCGCGCTTGTCGTCGAAGCGGTCGTCCTTGCCCGTCTTTAGAATGCGGAAGAGCAGGAAAGCCGAGAGGCGGGCGCCCCAGAGCATGATGAAAATGGAGGCGACGATCTGGCGCGCATGGTTGTGGCCGCTGATAGCGAGGGTGATGATGGAGAGAACGACAAAATTTGTGCCGCCGGCGAAATCTGGGGTGAGTTGTCAGTTACATTCGTGGAAAAAGGTGAGTGAATCGTTGAGTGAGCTTCAGAGGACCGGTTTGTGAGTTGGGAGTCTTACCGGTGAGCTTGTCAAATTTGAAGCTGAAAGCTATTGAGAAGAAGAATAGTTGGTATGCTACTGTGATGAGAGCCGTGATAGCTAGATAGTAGTCGTCAAGGACATGCACTGTCGCCATCTTGGGCCACCGCCTATCCGTGTGTGGATTGTATGCGAGTTGTTATTGTTGTTGTTGTGTGGCAGCGGTCCAGAGTCTGAGACGCTTGGGGATTTATCGAAACACAACTGGACAACGGTCGCCAGTGTTGTAAGACAAGCCGGGTTGAGGTTAGGTGATGTGAATTAACACGAGTGAAAACGAATGTTTAGCAAGCCGCTTTAAACCACCATGTTACTATCGTTGGCTTCGGAAGCTATGGAAAACGCCTTCCAAAACCCACCGACGATTGCAATTGCTCACTGCTTAGCCTATGCTGGTGGTTAAAGGAAGGCAACACTGTCGTCATTGACTTCTCTAGGCCCACTGCTTTGGCTCAGCTGTGTCAGTGCCTGCGTACCGATGTATGCCAATTAGTATGATGAGGGTACATTCCACCAAAGCATCGATCGGACTTCCATGGTCACCGAGGGCCGCTCTGATTGACCAGCCACATGCGGGCAACTTAACGTGCCGAGCTTATGTAAGGTAGATACCTACATGTGTGAGTCTCCAGCCACACCTGGACAAATAGCCTACCTCACGTTACCTAAGGTATCCGCACCTTATACGCAGTAGGCGCCTTCTTTAAGCTTGTTCGGGGTTGCCGCCGCCACATTCCCGGGCTGCCTTACATCAGCATGCACTCGGACCATTTTAAGGCTCTTTACCCACTGAATTGGGTGAAACGAACGAGACTGGGGTCCCGTCTCCCGATCTTGACATGCTGATCCCTAGACTTAATCGCGACATGCTATTGAAGCAAGACTTGGAAGGGGGCGTTTGTCCAAGGTATCACGCTGTCTTGGATCCCCCTTCTTCATCCAGGGCGGTGCACACTGCACACTCGGTGCTTCGGGAAGCGCTTGCCTCCTCGTGGCCGGGAAGGTCTCGCCTCGACACCAAATACCGTTCCGGTACTGATACCCCCGTGGATGAAGCTGCTGCATCCAAGCAACGCAGACTCACTCACCTCACCCACAATGTCTGAGGGGCGGCTTCTTACTATTTCTCGCCAAAACGTGCTATTATCTGGGCCGGTATCACTATCACCAACCGCCAACGACGGTCCTGGTTTTCCTCTGGCCCGTGGCGTGTTCGTCGCCTGCAGCATGCGGCAGAACGCACATTATCTGCATGCCATCAAACGCGCCGCCCGGGCTCTCGCTCGTTTGACCCATTGCTTCAGCACGCATGTATCCCCAGCCACTTGAGGCAAGAAAGCCCACGATGACGACAGCAATGTTGTTCACTTCTGCTCGCTCGCCTTGAGACGACCCTCGTTGTCTCAATGCTGTTGTCCGTTCTCCGAGCACGAGATAATGCCTGCTCTATGCTAATACTGCGTACGCAAGCGCAACGTGTTGGCGACAGAAGTTGTCTCAGCGATGGGCTGCTTCGACTACCGAAGGGACGTTGCGGAAAAAGGGCAAGTTGAGACGAAAACATCCATGGGCTCAAATCGCTCGTCACTCATCACTAATCCACACACGGCGCACACCCTACGAAATTTGCATCTGCGCCTCGCCTGTGGCCTCTCTGTGTCGCGATGCTCGAGAGAAAGAATTGTGCAGCGACCATCTCGCCCTTCGTTGCCTTGCAATGGATACTCCATCCGAAAAGCTCATCCCACGCTGTTGATCTTCACGTGGATGCGAGGCATAGTGGATGCGTGCGTTCCGCCTGTCGAGGCGTCGATGAAGCGCTGACACCTTTTTGTTTTATCTTGGGACCCGGCCCGACCTATCCCAAGCCCACCAGTCGCGATGTATGTCGTGCAGCGGTAGCCGCCTGGGATTCTGGGGAAACCAAATGAGAGTTTTTCATGATGGCGACCCTGCATCTATTTTCAACGATCTTCACCACGAACACGAGTCAAAAAAGCAGTTTGCAGCGGTTCCAACAATAGCGGCAACGTTGTTGATGGCAACATGCTGGGATCGAACGAAAGCCAAAAAAGAAGAACTTCCCGCATACCCATGGGAAACAATGTTTCACTCACCTCCGCGACTTAACTTTCGCTGGTTGTTGTATGGGTTGTAGTAGAGTGGCCACCGAGATTCGAAGCCGCCGTCGTCCTTTCGCTTCACCCCCTCGCATGACTTCCTCATCAAACCAGCATCACGTCACACCTCAGAGACACAGACAAGATGGGACGGACGGTAGACGGTTTATCGCTGCAGCTGTCCTCCAGGAGCTAGCGTTGCTGTCACTTGGGCTAGTGCCCGAAGGGTAGGTCTGGCGCTCTCGCAGTTTCGGAGCCCTTGCGCGGCCACTGTGCCCCCATCTCAGACGGCCTTCGTCTGGGGCATGTCTCACACCCTTGGGGCCCAGCAGGCCCCGCTCAGGGTTCTTCCTCGCCAGCGCCCTGGAAGGATCGGAATGCTTCTAACCTCTCTCGACTCCCCTCCCGGACCCTTCTGCAGCGGCTCCACGGCACCTTGCTTCACACGGCCTCCATTTCCGATCGACCTTTCCACGATCCCTAGCCCAACCAGACAATGAAGTGGGGAGGGGGCCCCTTGCGTTTCTTGGCCGCCCTGAACCGCACCGATCGAGTCTGCAGCGTTCCTGACAGAACCCTGGTTTCCCTAGCTCCGTCGAATCCAATCAGTCAAATCAGAAGAGACCTCGCCTTCAACCAGACGTCCATCGTACCAGTTCTGGGCCCCGTCCAGTTTCTTTTTGCCCTGTCTGGTGCAATCGACCGTGAAGCCCACCCTGGCTCGCCATGGCCAAGCATTAATAGCAAGCCTTTTTGAAGCATTTTTGGCAATCGGTCCGCCAATCCGAGGGTGCATGGCTGAGCATTGACATGGGCCGTTTGGTGATTCTGGACGGTGGTCCCCTTTTCAATCTATGCGGCTATCGCAACTCAAGGCTCGTCTGTTTTTGTGGTCTTGTGGTTCTTCGTCCCATCTTTCCTTTGCTTCTCGCTCTCCTAACCCAAACTCTCTGCGTGTGTGTGCATGCCTGTTTCTAGTGGGATATACGGGAAATACGGCATTCGCTCTCTGACCGAGATTCACTTCTATCACTCTCTCTTCTCGTCACACCCCCCCATCCGACCCGTTTTGGCCGCATCTATCATCTTTTCTTAGTACCCGCACACCCTCTTGCTCACTCTCACTACTTGGGGTTCTTGGCCGTCTTATCTCATTGAACTCTGGACATGGTCTGCAGGCCGCCATCTGTCTGCCCGTAACTCTTTCCTCTCGTAATCGCGAAGGTTTACGGAACACTCCACAAACCTATACACTCTTTTCGATCCTAGGGTTGATCCCAACGAACTCACCGACGGCTGGTCTGTTGAACTCGCTCTTTGAAAAAGCAAATAGTCAAAAAACAGAAGGACACGAATAGCGGAATAGTTCGACATCGAGAAACGCTGGCGACACTCGAAGGTCTCCCGCTTTCGCCCCCGAGCCCACGATGAGGCACAGTCTTCTCTTCGCCGTGGCAACTCTAACATCAATCGCTCAGGTGCGTTCACTCAGCATACCACAAGACAACTCCGTCGCGGGCGGTGGGAAATCGGAGTTGACGAGAAAGCAGGGCGCGGCTGTCGACAAGAGACAAAACATCAACATCGATGGAAGCGGAAATATCAACGTAGAGGGCGCTAATGCGGGCGCCGTTGAGGTGAAGACGGTGAATCTTGGAAATGCTGGTTCACTGAACAAGGGAGCAAACGGGGGAGGATTGGGGCAGGGCAATCTCATCGCCGGCATTTTGGATGCTCTCAACGGCGGCAGCAGAAATAATCAAGGCAACCGCAACAGGCCTAACGATGCTTGTCCTCCAGCTCCTCCGGCCCCCGCGCCGGTAACTGTTACAAAGACGGTCTACCAGAATGCTTCAGTGCCTGCGCCTTTGACGGTTTTCGTTACGCGAGCTCCCCCGTAAGCCTTCCGGAGCCAGAAAACGCTCGCATGCTGCATGTGGCGGCATGAGATTACTGACCAAGATATCGCAGGCCTCCGCAGATCATCACGCAGCTGGTCACGCAGACGCCGCCGGCTGCCGCTCCACCTCCGCCTCCTGCGGCCCAACCCGCAGCTCCCGCACCCCCGGCAGCACCGCCAGCAGCTCCTTCGGCATCGAACGCGCCTCTGGTCATCCCAGGGCCCCCTCCGGCGGATCCTTTCGCGGGCTTGAAATCCCCTCCACCTCCTGCGGCGGCACCTGTGGCTACCCAGCCTCCCGCAGCAGCTCGTATGTGTCCCTCTTTAGTCTTCGTTGTTATAAGAAAGGTACGAGAAGGATCAACTAACATGACATTGATAGAACCTGCTCCCGCCCCCGCTGCCCCTCAACCCCCGGCTGCCCCCCTCGTAGGCAACGCGCCCGCCGTCAGCAAACCGACCGCCTCCATCAACCTGGGCGGCCTTCCAGGCAACGGTGCTGTCAACCAGCCCGCTGCAGCGACGCCCCTCGGCCCGATCGCCGCGAATCCCGCTCAACCCCAGGTCGCCGTCAGTGGCCTCGCGTTAACTAAATCTCTAGGGCTCGGCAACCTATTACAGGCGACAGCCCAGCTCCAGGCCCGCGCGACACCCCCAGCTTAAAGCACCAACAGCTTGTTCGAAAACTTTGGTCAATGTTCGACGATCGCCCGGCCTTGTTCATTCGTGTGGTGGGGAGGCTCTTAATCGGATGTTGAGGGTGTCTAGGGGAAGTGGGTTAGGCGCATATGTTGCGTATGCAATGATGTTAGGCGACGTCGTTGACGACTTGAAAGTGGTTCAGCAGCGGCATACGAAATACCCTAGATTTTTCGATTCTTGGAGTGAAGAGACGTTGGAAGGGACAGTTGTTTTAATGGTCAAATACGGGAGAGAGGTCTCGGGTTGGTGGTATATACGAGAGAGGGAGAAAGGTGGAAAGAGGCGTGCGTCAGACAACCCCCTTGCCTCTCCTCCGGCCACACGTCCGTCCGGCTGCGCGCGCGATGGGGTGGGTTGGAAGCATCACATGTTGGCGTGTGTAATGGAAGAGGTGAGGGATTTGGACTGAGCAACTTACACACATATCCACCCCCGGCTGTACATATTTCATTTTTTTGGAAACACGGAAAAAAAGGCAACACCAAAACACTCGCACCCCCCCTTCCTTTCCCCGTCCACCCTGAATACGATAGCATTCGAAAGGAAATGAGCAAGTCTCATGATGCGAAAGCTGGCTGTGGCGTGGATTGAATGACTGCCTTCCACTCAATGAATCCATCATCATCGTTTTAGGTGTCTGAACTGGTCGACTTTTCTGATGCACAGGTTGACGTTGCTTTTATCTAAGGGGTATCATAAAGTGTAGCTGACATATACGCCCAACCCAATATCTACCTAGCCATTCTCAAGACGGCTTTTATTTTAAGGGGGGGGGGGCCCTTTCAATCCTCACCTAAGTGTCTACGAGACCTCATTTTCCTTTTCCTTCAGCGCCATTCTCAACTTTTTGGCTTGCCTCTTGCTGATCGTAGGCTGCGCGCCATCGCCCGCCTCATCAGGCGTCTTGCGCTTTTGCGCATTGCCCTTGTCGCCACCACCACCGCCTTGCTTCGAAGCCTTGCCCTGTTTTCCATCCCTCTTCCCCTGCTGGTGCTGCTGATTCCTCGCATCATCCGCCCGCCCACCGACCTCGAGCACGTTCACGACGCCCCGAAATCCGCTCCTCTTGATGCCCTCGTTGATGACGACGCCGCGCGGGTTGACCCCCAACGCCTCGGTGCCCTTCTCGCTGCCAAGACCCCATACGGCGAGCAGGTTCACAACGTCGTTGGGCGCCCTCAGACCCAGCGCGCCGCGCGCCTCGCTGCTGACGACGATCCCTCTCCCCTTTGTCGCGCGGACGAGCGAGGCAAAGTTGGAGATGAAGGTCGCGCGCGCCCTCACGTCGGGCGGCGGTCCGAAATCGCTACCAGCAGCGGCAGAGGAGGTGAGGATCTGGGAGTAGCACACCTCGAATTTGACGCCGCGGGAGACGGCGGCCATGAGGGGCTTCGGGCGGAAGTGAAAGGGAAAGTGCTGCGTCAGGTCGAGGGAGATGAGGGAGGGCTCAGACATGGAGAGGCAGGCTGCCTGAAAGGCCTTTTCGGTTGTGGGGCGGACGGCAAGGAGGTCGTAGGCGAGGGCCAGGGTCGGGAGGCGGTAGTTCTGGGAGGGATCTGAGAGGATGACCGTGGCGCGGTGAAGGATTGTCGGATGTTGTTTTTGTTGTTGTTGCTGTTGTTGTGGTTGTGATGGTGTTTCGGGTATTGATTGGGGGAGCTTTGGTAGCGGGTTTGTGATTTGCGACGGGATTGGGGGCGTTATTGTGTGGTTGAGGGCGAGGACTGTGTAGCCTAGGGAGGAGGCGAAGGAGATTGTGCGTGAGAGTTCGGCCGAGGGCGTGGTTGGGGACCACGGGATGTTGAGGTCGTAGAGCATTGTGCTTATTTTGGGGGGTAGAGGATTCGATGAAGCTATCGCGGGCTTTGGCGCAGGGGAGCTAGCAATGACTGTTTGTTTCTGCGTGGCCGAGTTTGATTGAGGACAATCGCCGAATGGATGCGCAACAAACCAGGAGAGGATTGCCAAAAAAAAATCTACCGGTTTGCAGAGCCGAGAGGGTATAGCTCACGACGTCGCAGGGTCGAATGGATGGCGTCTTGTCGCAATCGGCTTGGCTTCGAAGTTCGTCGTGTGCAGCGCGCCGCCAGCCGCGGGCGAAATTTTCTGGGTTGGAGACGGAGGCCGGTGTTAGGTTGGTTCCGCGGGGTTCGGGCGGGCTGGGATGACGCAGCCACAGGCGCGAAGGTTGACTTTAAGGCACGTGGGGCCCGGCTGCATGGCGCTAGACACATTCTGCTTGGGTGCTTTTCGGGTGCCTTTTGCCCGGAGGGAACGGCGGGAAGGACGGAGTGCGGAAACATCGGACTGGACGGGAGTGGAGGCGATGACATGCGTGCGCAATGAGATTGCCCTTGCTGTTTGCAAGCTGCCTCCTCACCAAACGTATTTTGCCAATCTTGCATACCTTGGATATGAATGAAGGCTTTCTGAAAAGTTTCATAAACGCGAGCAGCCGTGAGAACCGTTAGGGTGTGGTCAATTGAAGCGAATAGAGTTGCGCGAGGCAGAGAAAGGATCGACCACGCAAGAGTTCAATGGCGCAGTGAATGTTTCTGACCCCCTCCTGGTCGCCGAAAACCTTAGACTACTACGGCATCCACGGATGATCCTAGGCTTCTAGCCCGCCAGGCCAGTGGCTGAATGGCAGCTGAGAGGTGCTAAACGAGGAGGGGCCTCTCAACTTAGAACATGAAGTCTAATCCCAAAGGAAAATCGCCCGAATGTACCGCATGAAAAGGCATGAAGAAACTGAAAGCGCGCTCCTATCGCCAAGGTATCAGATGGACCGTGAGTCTCCTTTCATGCACCCGATATTTCCCCTGATTAACACGGAATGATGTCTCTGGAGTGCTGACCTATTCGTATATGGCTGCGTATAGGAGATGTGGGTGAATGCCTAGAGAAAATATAACTCGAGGGGTTGAATGGATCGCCAAGGATGCACCGCCTCGGGGGGACGCGCAAGATTGGCACACCCCAAACTATCTTAGCAAGAAAGTCGTTCATCCGTCATTTTCTCCTCCTCGCCCGCTAGTCATCAGTCAAATCCCCCTCAAGCTTGGGCCACATTCTACACCTTTTGCCTCTGGTTCTTGTTGGTTCTCGGGAACCTATCAAAAAAATGGGAATCCTGCCTGTCGGCAAGCAAGCCAGAAACTAAGGTACAACCGTACAGCTCAACGCAGCTCGCGCTTTGCTTACCTTGACCAATACCTTACCTAAAGGTGTGTGGCTTGCCCTCCCCCGTTTAAAGCCACTCCTCCGCCGACGTCAACTGCTATTCCTTCCGCATCCAACGGTCCTTTCTTCCTTCAACTCTCGGCGCAACCTCCGACGTCCAACATTTTCGCGTAGCCAGGCCTCGAAACTCGAGGGAATATCGACCATCCTACAGAGTCCTCTCTGTCTCACCCTCCCCAAGTTTCGCTACAGCCTCCCTAAGCGCGAGACGCCGGGGCGGAGGAAGTCTTACCGCCATCATCCGAGTCGCAAACCCCAACAACAGCCGCCGCCACTGCTACTTCCCGGCCTGCAGTTACAGCAACTGAGCGTGCATACGTCTGATCATTCGCCGCAATGTTTTTCTTCTTTGTGTGCGGCGAGCACACATTCCGTAAGCCTGTCGATGGTTACGAGGGCATAGTCTGCCAATGCTACAACTGCGGCAACATGTCTGGTCACGTCATCAAGAGCCATCCTTGGTTCACTTTCTGCTGGATTGTGAGTTTTAGTGCACATTTTTCATGTTCATTTGCATTGCCCCCCAGTTTTACCCTGCTTACCCTCATTCAAACCTTTGTCAATTCCCATTTCACGTCACTGGCCTTAATGAGACTGAGAAAGGACGCCTGAAGCTGACCTGCCAATCTAGCCTATCATACCCTTGTCCTTCAAGGGCTACACTGACGTCGTCTGCCACATTTGTAACTTTGCCCAGCCGCTTGAGAATCGACCCGACGTCACGGCCATGAAGGGTGGCGGACAGATGCCACCTCCGCAGGTGCATGGTCAGCCTCCTCAGGGTTGGGGCCAAGCTCCGCCTCAGTACCGATGAGAGCGGTCACCTGATCTCCACCGTCGGGGGTTTTATGAAGATGGACGAAGCGCGAAGATGCGAGGAAGGCGGACTTCGGCATCGTGGGAAAAGCTGGCCAAGGCCGGAGGAATAGGGGATGACGAACGGACTTGAGAGTTGTGGAGGGGAGTTCTGGGGAAGGCTTTCAGCCGGCCTCCTCCTCCCATCCAGTTTTCCGCTGCACGAGGACAGACCAGTGGTGTTTCTTTTCGTGATTCTAGGCAAGATACCATGCTGGCTAGGCGTTATGGAGGGCCATCGAAACGCATTAACGATAATTGAATTTCTGGCATTTCTAAATGAGGCTTGGGTTTTGGATTCGCCACGTATTTGGAGGGCTGTGAGCTGTTTGGATTCCCTTCTGCCAACTCTACTTGACCATTCTGGCTCACCGCCAGTTCTTTTCTGTGGAAAGACACCCTCTATCAAGAGCGGCAGTATTCTCAGGGACATCCGGGATTCTAGATTGTTTCCCTGTCGTCCGGTACACCGGGCGGAACACTCCTGAAAATCCGCGATTTTAGTCTGATCCCATCAACAAACTCTCAAGGACGGGGTTCTCCTGGCTGTGATTCCATTTCATACTCCTAAACATAGCAGTGGGCGCGGAATACTGGACAGCCGCGTTTTCAATTCATCTCGACGTCCACAAAGAGCCCAAAGTTGGTATCTCCTAGGTTGGTAATCTATTCTGGGGCGATTCACTTCGAAGCAAGGAAGTCAGCGATTATTCAGGCTCCTTATATCGAACAACATTCGCCAAAGTCCGTACCGCAATGTCTCATTTCGAGAGTTCATACAGCACCGTATCGGCTCGCTTTTCAAATCGCTACATCAGCCCACATTGCATCATGTCGCATAGACACCATGACCAACGACACACACGAGGTGGACGAGAGCAGCCTCAAACTTCGTTGGCCACAGTCCCTGACGGTGATATCGAAATACTGCAGCAATGTATGCCTTTCTCTCATGAGGCAGACTTTGGGGGCCTGTGAGACGGCTACTCCGATCCGATGTCTCGAGGCTCCTGGTAGACAAAAGTTCCCTCGCTAACATCTAATGACACCCAAAATAGGGCAATATTCTCAGACAGAACCCAATCAAGTTGAACAGCCGGAACCTTCCCAGCGCCGTCTTCCCGCAATCATTCTCTTGAGCCGGGCTTTCTCTCAAGCGGAGAACCAATATCTGTACCAGCGCCTGCCCATTCGCCAGCCGCCTACAGTGAGGACCGCCTTGGGTCACATTCGACAGCTACCCGCTCTCTACCACGACCTGACTGAAGGAACGAGATCAAGGCTTGGCTTGATGGAAGGGAGGGAACAGGAAAGGGGCGAGAGGCTTGTTGCACTCGCAGATAACCTGGCAAGGAGCTACGGAGAGTTAGTCGTCTGCCTACCTGAGCGGGACATCGAGGGTATCATCAGGCGGAACAGGAGCGAGAAGAGAATCAGTAAGTTTTGGGAAAGGGTGCTGGAGGAGATCGAGGTACGTCTTTCAATCCTTTCGTCTCAACCCAGTCTCATTCGGCTACTGTGATGGATAGATGGTTGAAGCAAGCTGACTGGGAAATTTCCAGATGGAAAACTTACAACACATCGTCTCGAGCTCATGGATTGCTCTCTTTGTTGTCCAAGTGTCACAGATATCATCCTATCTGTCAACAGAGACCTCGCTCACCAAGCATGAGAAAGTCTTGGTCATATCCAGCGCGGGACTGGCGTTCTTTTGGGCTGTGGCAGTCGCGGCAGAGGGTTTGGCTTTTGAACATGAGAAGAGAAGGCGAGATGATCGCTACTTGCATGGGATCATTGCCAGGAGCTTGTAAAGCTGGCGATGCGCGATTTTATATGTGTTGCTTGTATGAAGACTCCCTTTCGATTGGAGAATATGATTTATGGCCACGATGTAATGGTAGTATGGATGTCTATGAGAGTGTTTTTGCTTCGTCTGTATTTTGAACATCTTGACACCTTGACGTGGACTTATAAGCTGCCACCTATCGAGTCAATTGATATCATCTCTACTTATGGGATCTATGACAGCGTTTTGTGAAGAGATAGCAGTCAAATAAAGCATCTGTTTTTGCTACAAGAAACGATTGTTTTGGTGATCTGTAGTCAATGAGAGAGAGCCTAGTTCCTATATTCCCATCAAAACACCGAGAGCTCTGCATCAACATCAACGGTGATGAGCATTTTCGAGGGGCGACGGCAGATGAAGTCGCGAGTTATTTTCAGTGAAAAGAACTCTCTTGTGTCAATGAAGCGCAATGGAAAGACTCCCCCAAGGTTTCCCTCGCGAGACTGGAGCGTTGGATAAGTCATGGAACGTATGACGTGTGCGTGGTATCTCCGTTCGTTCAGCCACGTGTGGAACTGTGGCGGTGCACATGCGCTGAACTTTCCCGAGCTGCTTCCGTCATAACGACACCACGACCAATCCGAACGGACAATCACCCAATGAGACTCGGCATCTTTGACCTCCAGACGTCTCCGATTGCCCCCTCTACGTGATGATCTTTGCACCCCTTACGCAGTAAAACGCCTTCTCTCTGATCACAAAACACAAACGATCCCACAAAAAATCGCAAGAATGGCGCCCGTAAAACGAGGCCCATCGGTGCTGGTCCGTCGCATTCCCATGCCCATAGTCAATCTACGTCAGATGCTAATGCAAGTATGCTATAGGTGACCGACTCGCGAGAACGACCTACACCACCGAGGGGTGCCCTCCAGCGACAGGATACCGGCATAGGCAACGCCCCCGCCCGACCTGCGATGCGCTTCATCTCCGTCGACAATGTCCTCCAGCACGCCTACGACATCCCCTCGGGCCAGCCTCGAGTGCAACCACCACAGAGCCAGCCTCAACCCCAGTCCCAACCACAAACCCCAACGCAACGTCTTGGCAATGGGCTCGCAAATGCTAGACGCCCTAGCGCAGGGTTGCCCAACCTGCAGTCCAGGACGGGCGGGCAGAACATGCCGTCGCGCACCACCAAGATCAGCGAGAAGCTCGTTCTGTTGCCCGAGACAGACGAGAAGCCAGGCTCCGACGAGGATCTGGAGGAGGAGGCGACTAAGATGGCGAGGCAGATTGAGATGGAAGAGAATAGGCCGCTGCGCGACGAGGAGCTGGATGTGCTGCGCAAAAGGGGCGGCATCCGAGGCAAGAGTTACGCGGAACGTCTTCCCAAGGTCCAGCGTAGGGAGAAGCTGGCTAGGCTGACGGCGTATTGTACGGCACAATCTTACAAGATGAAGTCGACGGCAGATTTCCTGCGAACCAAACACGACGCCAAGACGAAGCTTTACGACGACTGCCTGTACGTCGTATACTCGCTGCCTCTCCTGAACGGCACTGAGGGCTATCGCCTTCGCAGCCGGCCAATCGTCAAGACGCCCGGAAGCGGCAAGACGGTCCTGGACATGGAGATTGAGCGGAGTGAGCAGCGTGATTACCACGAGGGCTACTTTGAAGACTCCATCTACAACGGCAGTCCTGTCAACGGAAGCCCTATGAACAGCAACGGCGGATTTGGCGACGAGTCCTCATCCCCACGCAACCACAGCGAGCAATCCCCTGACGACCCAAATCTGTCACCAATGGCGCGGATTCCGGACGCAAAGGCCTTTGCTGAGATGTTCCTCTTCTCTTACGGTGTCGTCGTCTTCTGGAACTTTACGGAGCACCAGGAGAAGGACATCCTTGCGGATCTGACCTTTGCCCAAAACGAAAACGGGCTCTCGCTGCTCACCCGCCCGCTGGACGAGGAGGACTTTGAGACGGAGGAATTCCACTTCGAGTACAGCCACGACGTGAAGCGGCCGCGCATCTTCAACGACATGATCACCCTGCTGCCGCGCAGCGACCACATGGTGAAGCTGACCATTAGCCACGCCATCGCGCAGAGCACAAAGTTGTGTCTGTTTGAAGAGCGCATGAGCGAGACGATGCTCGACGCGCAGCACGTTCCCAAGACGCTAGCTCTCACGGGCGAGCTCAACATGACGAGGACGGAGATTGTCAAGATCCTGGGCCGTTTGTTCAAGAGCCGTGTTGACATAAATCTTTGTAAGTCAGTCCCTTTTTCCATGGGTTGTAACCAATGTCCACGACTGCTCAGTCACAAAATCTCTCGTCTAACCACATCACCAGCATCCAACATTCTCGACGTCCCCAACTTCTTCTGGGACTCCGAACCCACCCTACATCCCCTCTACGTCGCCATCCGGGAGTACCTCGAAATCGATCCGCGCATCAAGGTCCTCAACGAGCGCTGCCGCGTCTTCCTCGACCTCGCCGAGATCCTGTCCGACTCGGTGGCTGACGCCAAGATGAGCTACATCACCTGGATCATCATCGTCCTGATCGTCATCTCTATCCTCGTCACCGTTACCGAGGTCGGTCTACGCTTCGGCATCCTGTCCAAGAACAACGGCAAGGGTCCTGGCGAGATTGGTGGTGGTGGTGGTGGTAGCGGCGGCGATGCTGTGCCCTTGATTGGTGGCGGGTCCTCGTCCTTGCCGGGGAGTGTCAAGTGGGAGCTCGAGAAGAGGAACGTGAGCGTCGACGAGCTGAGGTTGTGGAGTCGGATGCTTAGTGAGGAGGAGGATAAGCAGCGCTCGTCCGAGGTTGTCGGGAGTCAGATTGTCGGCAAGACTTTTGCTGGCGTCTGAGACACTGGACCATCATTGATGATCCGTTTTCGCGACATCATCTCCTATATCATTGTGTCATTTTCATTGCATAGCATGGCGTTGGCGGTACTTCTCTTCTCTACATGGCTGTCTCTGAGACGGTGTCCGAGATGGGAAGCAAAAGACTGAATAACATGGGACGAGGTTCTTTATTGTCTCTTTTCATTCTGTACAATTAAATGTCTTCATTGGGGAAATTTGGGAACATTGGTAACATTGGTAACAAAACGACACGGTCAACTACTATGTTTTGATACTTTTAATGAAAAACATCCGTATCTTGACTCCATTGCTATGCCACTAAAAACCGCGAGAGGCACAAGGACGAATTAAACATAAGAAACCATCCAGCTTCGACGCCAGATAGACTATATTTCTTTCTCTAGTGAGAGAAGGGGCTGGAATCAATAGTACAAGCCTACCCCGAAAGCAGGCTACCCCCTGATTCTGTACAAGTATCCACAAAAAACAGAAAGTTTACAGACCACGCAAACAACCAAGCACATCCCTTACTCGTCCCGATCCGCCATGTTGGCGAGCGGGACATAACCCTGATCCTGCGTCCGCTTGCCCCGGAGTCTTCGGACAACATATTTGACTCTATTAAGAATACCAAAGCCACGTCTCTTGGTCTGGGCCGAGGGATCGACCATGTAGCTCGGGCGCGTCCAGAACTTGAGCAGGAGACTGCTGACGACGACACTGACACTGCTGCAGGCCATGGCGGCACCGGCGGCCATGGGGTGGAGGTGGAAGCCAAAGGGAAGGAAGACGCCCATGGCAAAGGGGAGACCGATGGCGTTGTACAAGCAGGCCCAAGCGAGGTTGAGCTTGATGCGGTTGAAGATGGAGCGGGCGAGGTGGAGCGCGGCAGGTATGTCCATCAGATCGGTGGGACGCATGAGAACAACGTCGGCCGCCTCCATAGCGACGTCCGTGCCGCTGGCCATGGCAATACCGACGTCAGCGGTCGCGAGAGCGGGGGAGTCGTTGATACCATCGCCGACCATGCCTACGACTTCGCCCTGATCCTGAAGCTGCTGTACAATAGCCTGTTTCTGGTCGGGGGAGACGCCGGCGAATACGTTGTCGGGGGAAATGCCAACGGCCGCTGCCACCGCGACTGCAGTGGAACGTTGGTCGCCAGTGACGATAGCAGTCTTAATTTTCATCCGGTGGAGGACGGCAATGGCAGCAGCGGCACCCTCCTTGATCGTGTCCGCAAGGCAGAGGTGACCTGTGTATTGGCCATCAATGGCAACAAAGATGTTGGTGGTGCCGGCAGAGGTGCTCTTGGAGCTGGAGTTGGCCTTCGCATTGAGCTGCTCGGACGCCTCGACAGCCTCCGCCGGGACGTTTACATGGTTTTCGCGAAGGAAACGGACGTTGCCGAGAAGAACACGGTAGCGCGTACGGTCATTGCTGACGGCGGGTTCGACGAGGGCATTGATGCCTTTTCCAACCGCTGCCTTGAACTCGCCTACGCTGCCGTCGACGGTGGCCTCCTCGTCCAGACCGAGCTCAGTCTTGGCAGCGTTCAAGACGGCTCTTCCAACTGGGTGCTCGCTACCCATCTCAGCCAGGCCAACAATATGCCACCAAAGTCTTCGGCGCCACTCAATGTCTTGCCAGGACGAGGTGAGGCTCATCTTGGCCACGCTCATCTTGCCGTATGTGATTGTGCCAGTCTTGTCTAGCACAATCTGGGTGATTCTAGTCGTGGTCTCCAAAGCAGCACCGCCCTTCACGAGAATACCGTTCTCAGCACCGATGCCGGTGCCAACCATGACAGCTGTGGGAGTGGCTAAGCCGAGAGCACAGGGGCAGGCAAAGACAATGACGGAGATGCAGAGCTTGACGCACACCATGATCTTACCGCCACTAGCTTCCTGAGTAAAGATCTTGGGTGGGTTCTTGAGTGCGTGGCTGAGAATCATCCAAACGAGGAACGTAAGGAAACCGAGCATGAGAATAATTGGTACGAAGTAGCCAGCAATCGTGTCAGCCAGTCGCTGAATGGGGGCACGAGTTGTTTGAGCATCCTGGACAAGCTTGACAATCTGGCTAAGCTGAGTGTCGCGGCCAGCCCTCGTGACTCGGAAGTCGACACGTCCATGGCCGTTGACGGTGCCGCCGATCAGATAGCTGCCCTTCTTCTTGTTGACAGGCATGGCCTCACCAGTCACCATGCTCTCGTCGACATATGTCTCTCCGCGAACCATCATACCGTCTGCCGGTATCTTGTCGCCCGGGCGGAGGATGACAACGTCTCCGACCTGGAGCAGTTCAGTGGGAATAACCCTCTCCTCTGCAGCGTGACCATCGCGGTTGGGCGTCTTGGGCTCTCCGGAAATGGACGAGTTCTCCCAGCCTTCAGCAGCCTTCTCGGCGGCGATCGGGTCGGCATAGATGGTAGCCATGGACGGTGCCAGGGACATGAGGCGCGACAGGGCCTTGGAAGTCTGACCCTTTGCGCGGTTCTCCAAGAATCTGCCGAGGGTGACGAATGTGATCAACATGGTGCTAGTGTCGAAGATGGTGGCGGGTCTCGTGTGCGGCGGGAAGAGGAATGACACTACCATGGCCATAATACTGAAGAAGAAGGCACATGAGGTGCCGAGGATGACGAGAACGTCCATGGTCGGTGATCCGTGCTTGATGGATTTCCAACCTGAAATGTAGAAACGCTTTCCAATGCCGAATTGGACGGGTATCGTAAGGGCCAAACAGACCAAATCGCCAACGAAAATGCCGGGGAGAAGCTCCCAGCTGCCAAAGTCCAGGCTTGGGAAGCACATGGGTAAAATCATGCTGATAAAAAATACGGGAATGGCGAATGACAGAGACAACTTGAAGGCTCTCCGCCACTCATTGATCTCTCTGGTCTTGGCCAGAGATTCGAGCTGGGCGTTGTTGTCGTCATTGTCGGACACGAGTGCATTCAGACCCTCTGCCTCGACGGCCTCGACGATTCCACGCAGGCCGATTACACTGGCCTGGTGCGTGACCGTCAACCTGGAGGTCGCCAGACTGAGCTTAGCAGAGTTGATGCCAGTGATAGTAAGAAGCTTTGCTTCCAGGGCCATAGCCGCTGTGGCGTCTGGGTTGCCATAGATCTTGAATTGGGCGGTGGAGCTTCCCCCAGAGCCATTTGCGGACGTCTCGAAAGCAGTCGACAGAATCTCAGCACCGAAGCCCCGGTCCTCGATGATCTCGGCGATCTTGTCGGCTGGAAGCTTTGTTGTGTCGTGGGTGATGACAGCGCGCTCAGCCAACAAGCTGATGTTGAAACGCAAAACACCCTCCACCTCCTTGAATCCGCCTTCGACAGCAGATGTACAGGCGCCACAGGTCATGCCCTCAATCGCAACTGTTGTAGTGGCAACAGAGCTCGTGGGATTACTGCTGGGTCTGGGCTTTTCCTGCTGTGCGCTTTCGCTGTCCACGATCTCAGCGCCAAAGCCTCGATCCTCAATAATTTCCGCAATTTTCTCAGCGCTGAGCAGTATTGGGTCATGCTCAATGACAGCTCTTTCCGAGAGCAAGGATATGCTGAAGTTCTTTACGCCCGGCACGTCTTTGAAGCCTCCTTCCACGGCTGATGTGCATGCACCACACGTCATTCCCTCTATGGCGATGGTTGTTGTCATCAGCCCGCTATCCTCCTCGGCGTCGAACAGGTCTTGCTTTGTCGGGAACATCGGCGAAGGCAGATCGGTGGACAGTACTTCGGCGTCGAATCCTCGGTCTTCAATAATCTCGGCAATCTGCTCGGCAGAAATGACCTCGGGGTTATGCATAACTACCGCCCTCTCCATAACCAGGGCGACAGAGACGCTTCCTACGCCCTCCACACCTTTGAAGCCCGACTCGACTGCGGAAGTACATGCGCCACACCTGGTGAAGCTGGGTAAGCATATCGAAGCGGGAATACGTCATAACAGAGCGCAACTCACGTCATGCCGCCAACTTTAAGGGTCGTCGTCGCCCACTGGGTTGCTGTTGGTGTGGCGAGAGTGGCCATGGGACCACTCTCGCTCTTCCTCGGGACTCTAATGGCCGGAGGAGCCATGGTGTCGATTTGTCTTCAGGAAGTTTGCGCTTGGAAAGCGGACACAGGGGAAGGGTAGGGCCAGCCTCAATATTCAATGGTGCTTCGGTTTCGGGATGTTTTCCAGCTATCTAGCACCAGTCTTCATGATAGGGCTAGCTGTCCATAGAGAGTAGAAGAGTCTTTCCAGAGGATATTCGAAGCCGGGTGAGAGGTCGAGAAGAGGTGACGAGTTGATATAAGGCTGTAAGAAGAGGCTTTCGGACAATGCTCCAGAAGACCGGCTTCCGAGTAATATGTATGGCGACTGAAAGGTGGGTATCGTGGTTTGGGTGTACGAGTATACGTGTGCGTGCGTACGGAGAGTATGTTGGTGCGTCGAGTAAGTGTACGTGAATAGCGCAAAAAGAGGCGAGGTCAAGGTTGGATTAAGAATCGAGGACCAGGAGGCTAGAAGGAGAATGGCGGCAATCAATGGCTCGATGGGCAAAAAGACAAGAGAGAGGCTTGGGGGAGGGACGGAAGCGGAAGGTCGGCTTTTGTCAGCCAAAGTTTCGTGCGCCGGCAGGAATGGGCCTCGTGGGAGTGTGAGTGGGAATGCCCACAGCAGATGCAATGCAGCGGCAGCGGCCAGTGAGCCAGCATCAGCACTGCTCGACTGGGGCAGCAGACTCCAGGAGGAGGAGAAGACGGAGCGGCGGCGTGTGGGTGCGCGCGGTGTGGCCGGGATCCAAGGTACCGTAATCAACTGGTGCAATCGTGGGACTTGCAACCGGGGTGTGTGGGAGGGAAGGGGGTGTGCGCCGGCGTCTGACTCTCTGTGTCTGTGTGTGTGTGGACACTGGAACGAAACATTGGCGACTGCACTTGCAAAACTGCAACGCTCCCAGCGCCAATTCCAGTACGAGAGGATGTTTAGTGTTCCCATAGTCCATGGGCTGGTTACGGCTGCTTTCGTTTTGGGGCTCGTGCGGTTGGTTTCTTCTCTATTGCTCCTTGCACTTAGAACTCCGGCAAGAAGAGCTTCCTCCCCCCTCTGTTCTCACCCTGATCTTGGCTTATTTTAAATTGTTTTCCCGTGACGCCTCCCGGAGTCCCGAGTCTCCTTTGCGGCGTTGCCCGGCTCCTGAGTGTTCTCCTGACTAAGCCTTGGCTGCAGCAAAAGCGTTACTAGACGCCGCAATTCGACTTCGGCCCTGATGGATAAGGTGGAGAAAAAATTGAGTGACACTGGAACACTGTCGCGCTACAGGGCGAAACAAAGAAAGAAAGAAAGAAAGAAAGAGAAAAAGAGACGCGGCATATCCGCATGTAGAATCGTGTCGATGGGCGTGGCCGAAGTGACCAACGGGGTCGCACAGGTGATCTCAGCCCGCACTGCAGCGTTCGGTGCTCGGGCGCCACACCTAGGCCGGGCCCCCTCCCATCTCTCCTCCCATCTCATTTGGACCAGCTTGTGCTCTGGGTCTATTTCTGGGAATCGCGAGAACCTCGCACTAACCTCGAATGGTCGAGACACCAATATCTACCCGCACCTTGTCTGGCGTACCGTCAAATACATGGATGTCTATCAGATGTCATGTTGCTCCCAGGTCCATTTGCTGCCCATCATCCACGAGGATTTGAAGACGTCTCTCTACGGATAGACTCTACGTAACATTCCTTGACCGGTGAGACGTTGAGTCAGGGCTGAGTCCGGCTGTGCATTTCGTACAGAAAGACTATTCATGGCACTTCCCGGGGAGCACGTAAGACTTACTGGCTGACTGGGTTGGACTGACTGGACTCGGTACGCTGAGCTTGCTGAGGTGCTGGGTGCGAGAATCGTTGCCACGACTGCAACCTTACTCCACGTACTTGTACACGACACAAAAACATACCCTCTTCCACAAGTCGCTTTTCCTCCGTCCAGGGGCGCTTTCGCTACGAGGAACGGGACACCGCGACGCACCTGAACTTGGCTCACGAAACATTCAGGGCACGCTACGGATACTTGAGGCAGTTTTCTAGGGTCCAAGGGACTCCTTGGTTCGGATTGCGCTTCGGCCTCAGACCAGCCTAGTCGCCAAAACCAGTCCATCCGATTTCTCTATTGGACCCAGCACGTCTCGAATTGGAAGTGTGGGCGCTATGCTCCATGCTTCTTGGAGCCGTGTCCCGTGTCTCTTTACGCTGAAATACAAATCAACGCCGTCAGATTGAACAGCGATGGGGGTAGGTGATTCGATTGGCCTACCCCGAGATCTCTTTGTGCCTTCAAGTCCGGTTTGGACTCGATATCGCTCTGTCGTTCCAAAGACCCTGCTTCCAGACTGACTTGACCTGAATTCCCGACGGACCGACGAATGGATTTTATCAACTTACATATTATATCTCTCACTGTCCCAGACCCCCGGCACCAAAGCTTGTTATCGAATCCGTTATCGGTATTAAACTACGCGTTCAAGTCGATAACATACGATGGCTGCTTCTGAAGCGGGGAATATGACGCTCACTCGACTGACTGCTGTCCATCATCCATATCTGCATTGACTCAAACATCTTCCAAAGCCGCAGACCTGTGCGAAACATGGGCGGTAAGTTGCATCCTAATAAGCTGACCGAGTTCCTACGGAGAGGAAGTCCTGCATGTAGCCGTATGTAGTAGCAAATTTGATCTTTGGTAGGTTTTTGCAATGAATCCCAGTCTCTTGTAAGGGCAAATCGCCAAGCTCTAGCTCGAACTTCCCACGGTTGCTTCGCGAGGCCGTTTTAGCTTCAGACCAATTCATATGCAAACGGTCTCCGCCTCCTTGCCATGGCTCTTGGTCAACGGGAAAGAAACAAAGAGAACAGTCTGCTGCCATGTTCCTCCATTGTCCCGCCCCGAATCAGACCTGAGATGAGACCGCTGGATATAAGGCCAACGTGCCACCCCAGGGCCATGAGCTTCCAATGCTCCCGTCAGCGGCCGGGCTGGTGCGGGATACCCCATCCGGCCTTACCTTACCTTAACGTACCTTACATTGTATGCTCGGGAGGCACATTGGTTAGGTAATGGAAGGTATGCTAACCCCACCAGCACCCTGCCCAAAACGCTCTGCCCCGCGTCACTAAGGCACTCTGTGGCAGCGTCCCCATTCGCTCTTGCAGCGGCCTGTCTGGACGGCACCTCAAACGGATCTGACACAAGCTTCGTCCTCAGAATGATCTTCAGGAAAGAAGCACATCACAAACCAACCAACCCCCTTCGCTTCTCATACCCTCCACCTCTGACGACAGAGAGGTAGCACCACCGAAAGCAACCTTCTTCTCAGCCTCGTCTCGTCTGATCCCAGCGCGTTGATCACGTACCTTCAGCCTCGCCAACCCCACATCGTGTTATCGCAGCTCTACCTAGGTTGGTAGTGACGACATCTGCTCTATTCTAGACCCCCACCTTGAAGCTTTGTGAATATCACACACGAAGAGCTCTCAAGATGGAGCAGACCAAAGCTCTCAACGCGCTCGAGGTAAGTAGCCATACCCGATTCGCACTCTAACTTTCTTTCCCAACGCTGATAACGACAATCACAGCCCTTCCTGGCCCTGAGCAAGTCAGCAACCTCCCCCCGCGCCGCGGCCGACCTCGTCACCCGCGCAACATCAAACCCAAACACCTTCCTCTTCACAGAGCTCCTCGAGACGCCCCAAATCCAAGCCCTGTCCCAGTTCCCCGACTTTTCGCCGCACCTCCGCCTCCTCGAGCTCTTCTCTCACGGCACCTACGCCGCCTACCAGCCCGCCTCGGCCTCGGCCTCCCTCCCCCAGCTCAACGATGCCCAGACCCTCAAGCTCCGCCAGCTCTCCCTCCTGACCCTGGCCCGCAACCGCTCGAACCTCACCTACGCCGCCCTCCAGTCCGCCCTCTGCCTCCCCTCGACGCGCGCCCTCGAGGACCTCGTCATCTCTGCCATCTACGCCGGCCTCCTCGACGCCACCCTTGACCCCCGCCGCCAGGTCGTCCAGGTAAACTCCCTCGCCGCCCTCCGAGACCTGGCACCAGGCGCCGTCCCGCCCATGATTCGCGCCCTGCACGCCTGGTCCAGCCGCTGCGAGTCTACCCTTGGCGACCTTGAATCCCAGATCGCCGGTATCCGCGACGCTGCCGCCCGCCGCCAGCGCGACAAGGCCGAGCAGGAGGCCCGTCTGGAAAAGCTTGTCGAAGACGTGCGCAAGGACCCCGAGTCTGGCGCAGGCAGGAAGCTCGCCGTCGGTCACGCGCACAGCGGCGGCGAGAGGGTGGGCGGTTTCCTGGGCCACACGTCTAGAGCACAGCGGTATAATAAGCGAGGCAGCACCAGTATGATGGACAACACAGAGGAGATTGACGACGAGGCTATGGACGTGGATGAGGAGGATGACGAGCAGGAGAAGAAGCGGGCTAGTCGACGGAAGCTTTAGTGGGTTTTTTGGGGGCAGGGTAATCGACTTTGAGGAAGATGCGCCTGGTCTCAGACACCTACTCAAGGTGATACTTACTCCAGGCCAACATACATATAGCTCCTCGTCGAAGGCTCAGTGGCAATTAATGAAGGTTTGAGATGTGATACAGACAAAGGCTGGAGGGAAAGCAGCCGAAAAGCAGAACAGACAGTATCACGATATACTACGAGAACTTGAACGATTCCAGTCAACATCAAATTTGATGATACTAGCCGAGACTGGCCTCAGCTGGTTCCTGTTCTGCGATACCTATCTAGCGTGCCATTGATTAAATGATAAGGGAATCAGTTAAAGTGAATGAATGTGTCGAAGCCAAAAGTCTCCTATCCCTCTCCTCTGTCTCTTCCTCGGCCACCTCGCAGTTCTACCTGCCCAAGGTAGCGAGTAAGCGTCGATTCCGCAATGTTGATAGTGATACACTAATGCCTGATGTGTGTACATTGAATAGATTCCAAATCTCTCTCGTTGAACGCCGTATGCGAGGCTTTGTTCCTTTGGGGCCTCTGTTTTCCCTACGCCTTGCCTCGCTGGTATCCTGAATGGAAGACCGAATGAAAACCGAAAAATTGGAAAACTCTCTCGCTCAAAATCCTTTGGTCGTAACGTTCGTAAAAGCTCTCTTGTGGAGACGAAAAGTCCGCACTATCACGTCTGTGATGTTGTATGAGCCGCATTGTTGTTGTGTCTGGGGTATTGCAAGACATCCTTTGTTTGCGGTACCGGACAAACGAGGCGTTTCACAGCCGTTTGCCTGGGACAAGGATGAAGAGCACACAAAGCGCAGCATCGATCAAGAATGTGACGGCGAGGACCATGATAGACCGCTTGGCAAGTAGCTTACGAACGTAGGGCTCACGAATTCGAGAGAAGTTGAACGGGGTATACTCGCTCAGGCCTATGAGAGCGAGGACAGGATCCAGAGAGTACTGGTAGGATGCGAGGAAGTAGACACCAACAGTAAATGGAAGAATAAGCTAAAACCTGAATCAGCAAGCGTATCTCAGGTATAAGTTAGGAATAAGTGGACTTACCCAGCACCTGGTAGTTCGTGCGGCATTGAGAAAAATGAGGATGAAAGCGGCCCAGAAACCTCCAAACATGGCCAGAAGACCAACGATCATTCTGATCTGAAGGGTGGTTGGGATGAGATTGCCAAGGGCCTTCATTCTCAAGAAGTTGGGAAAGGCATCTCGCTCCATAGCCTGAAAGACGTAGTCCTTGGCAACGTCAAACACCTCTGGATCGTCTCTACCAAATTCCTCAATAGAGGTTGTGACGTCCTGGGTGATGGAGCCCGGAAGGATGATCTCACGCTCTGCGCCCGGAAGGAGGAAGGTGTAGAGGATCTTCTCCGCCGAAGCCCGGATGTCCTGTCTCGCGACGGTGTGTGCGGGAGAGTTGGAATCAGTCGTGAGATCGCGTGGGGTACTGAAAGCCCCACTGGGATGGCTGCGATGCTCCCCAGTGCTGCTCTGAGGGGAGTCTTGAGCCTCTTCTCTCAGGTAGGCCGACATTTGGGCGTCTTGGTTCTTCTCCTTCTCAGTGGCATACATTGATGGGCCGGCGGCGGAATGACTCATATCACCAAGTCCGTCCAAGATCTGAGAAGATCGCTTGGAGCCTGACTTATCCAAGTCGGGTGTTCCGACGAGGACGGATCTGCGAAGTTCGCGAACATAGTGGCGGCACAAGGACATGTGCTGAGCAACATCAAGCCTATGAATCGTTAGTGAACAGACGCGTGTTTTTCGGATGCCGCTTGTACGAACCAGAAGTCGAGGTAATCGACGGATTTTTGCTGATCTCTCATGAAAATATAGAAAGAGAAAAGGTCGACAGGGGGCAGAGTTCGACGGCTCAAGACCTCAAACAGAGTCGGCAGTCGGTTCCGGTGCAGGTCTGGCTGAGGAGAGGGCGAGCCGGACGCCCCAGTCGATCGGTCCTCCATGATGTCGGGCGAGTCGAGTTTGCGAGGAGAATCCAAGGGTGGAATACGGATTACGTAGTTGTTGATGAAGGGAAATCGGACGAGAAGGAAACGGCTGCCGACAGAGTCGCTGTCGTCGGGTGATGCGAAGTCGAGGTTTGAGCGTCGGAGAAGCGCGGTATCGTAATTGAGGTTTGGCAGGTGCGCTCCACAAAGGTTCGATCGTAGCGCGGCTGTCTACTCGTCGTTGCTAGGCTTCCCCCGGGTCGGTTTGTGTACTGAACGAGCGTGGGAAGGGAAGGATCGCGCACGGCGCAAACTGACAGCGTCAGTGTGATTGACGATGGCGCTGCAGGGCGTGATGGCGTGAATCTTCCAGGTTGCATGCCGTTGGAATACGGCATCCATAACAGCAGATGAAGCAAGTACTCAGACCCAGACACTAATTTCGTTCAGGTTGTCTGGTCAGGGGGGGTAGATGACCCACCTGAACGTATCTTTCCATCCCGAAAAAGCGCGCTTTCCCACAGTGAGTGTGGTCCCACCCACACATGTCCACTTTGCTGCAGCGCCTTAGCTTCTCAGGCACTCAGACGTTCTCGAGGTAGCATCACGTGCCGCCTTTGAGGAAAAGAGGGACAAGTGGGAGAAAACGCCGCATTACCTCAGCATCACAGCCACAAGCACAGGCCCCGCTTCAGCCACGGAAAAGCAGGTAGGGCTTGCAATTTCTCGCTTCACATTTTGTGGGATGACCTGCAGGACTACGCAAAACCATCACAACGACAACTTCTTAGACAATTCGACTCCGCGATCCCGACGACCGAACCGCCCAACGAGAGGTACCGCCAAAATGTCGACCAAGCAGAAGAAGTCCGCCGGAAAGCAGCGTTCCGCCATCGCTGATGTCGTCGCTCGCGAGTACACCGTCCACATGCACAAGCGCGTCAGTATTTTCCCGAAGACTGAAAAAAGGATGCCGCCGTCGGACACCGAAACCAATGGCCCACGATGGTGACCGGGAAGCAGAGCATAGTAATGCTGACAATTTCCCCTCTGTAGCTCCACGGCGTTTCTTTCAAGAAGCGCGCTCCCCGTGCCATCAAGGAGATCAAGGCTTTCGCTTTCCAGGCCATGGTACGTCTTGCTTGTCCCTCTCGAATCCAATCCGAAATTCCACACCCATGGCCAACAACAATTCAACACCACCGCCGTTCTTTTGGGACAATTCCACACGCATCGAAACATCGGAAGAGTAGTCACTAATCTTCTGGATCGTATAGGGTACCTCCGACGTCCGCGTTGACCCCCAGCTGAACAAGAAGGTGTGGGAGCAAGGCATCAAGGGCGTTCCCTACAGACTCCGCATCCGCATCTCCCGCAGACGAAACGACGAGGAGGGTGCCAAGGAGAAGCTGTACAGCTACGTCCAGGCCGTCAACGTCAAGAACCCCAAGGGTCTCCAGACTGTTGTGGTTGAGGAGTAAAAAGTTCTCTTTGGGATGGTTTCAGGGCGGCATAAAGGCATCGGAGTTGCATTCGGCATTCTAGTCTCACATACAAAATCGACGGAAATGTGAACAACGCTTGATTCCCCACACGACTTCGACGACTTTTTACTTGTATTGGACCCCGCGATTTGGTGGAACGTCGTTTTTTTTTGTCTGCGCCGAATGCGCGCGAAGGAAGCGTTGCGTATGTGTCAGGCCATGGTGAACGATGACAAAGGCTTTTGGGACATCAACAATATCTTGTTGCTATGTTACACACATTGTCCAACAGGGTCCTTTTTTTTATCGACTTGGTCGCGGTCTGCCAGAAGCAGATAACAGGATATACCCAATCCTCAAGGCCAAGTCCCGACCATGCAATGCAGTCCAATTCCTAACAAAAAGAGTTCCAACCGCCGGTCCGTAATCACACATGAATGACTCCAATTCTCCAGTGCTCGAAAAAATGTTCTTATGCTCGTGCCGTCAAAAGCAAGTCAGCGCTCACTCGTCCTCGACGTCGCGATGGCGGGCGAGGACCTTGCGCTTAAATTCCTCGGGATCCTTGTCCCATAAATCTGCGGCCTCACCGTTGAGAGGAGAGGCGCTGGCTCCAGATTAGCATCGTCAGACGAACCACTTTTTGCCGGGGCAACTCACTTGTTTGGCTCGCCCAGCAGACTTTGCAAGCTGAGAAGCACAGTCTGGATATTATAGGCGGGTGTCCACTTGTCCTTGAGGATGTCTAAGCAGATGCGACCAGAGAAGTCAAAGTTGGGGTGGTAGATGGGCGTGGTGAAGAGCACCGTTGGCGCAGCATAGGGGTAGTTGTTGGGGAAGGACAAGCTGAGCTTGAGCGTCAGGCCGGCGTAGGGAGTCTGTTCGGGTCCCTCGATCGTCGCCGTCCAGGACAAGAGGTTGCCATCCGCAGAAGGGAACGCCGAGATGCCGGGAGCGGGCGAAGTCATGAGCTGCATCAGCTCTGTCTGCAATCTGTGGTGATGAGATCAGTTCATCTGCTTGGAGACCAGACGGTGGCATCTCCCGACGACGTATTCGTACCTCTTGGTAACGCTCTGCGCATCAGGTCCCTTTCTAGCGCCAGCGAGCTTGGCTGCTGGGAGGCTTCCGGGAGCGGAGTTCTGGGTGTCCTCCATGCTGTAATCCATTGTCGCAAAGGTCGTGAGATGAAAGAAGCAAACGCAAAGAGCACCGGCGTCAAATTGGTATCGTCGAGGCGAAGGGAGTGTCTTGAGGCCGGGAAGCTGGGATGAGGACTGGGATGAAGCAGGTAGTCGTTTGCTAAGGCGAGGTGATACACGGCCAGCCAGTACTTGTGTGGAGGGAGGTGCAATATGTGGGAGGATGGTCAAGGAGCGAGGTTGGTAGCTTGTGGCGTCGAGAATAACAGAGGGTAATTATTCCGTAGGGTGAGAAGGGCTCCCAGGATGGAGAATCGGGGACGCTGGTACCTGGGCGACGCGCTGACCTTGGCACCCGCTTTTGGGCTAGCGCCGTCGCTGCCGTTACGGCGAGAGCCAATGGCCTGTACGTACTGTTGGGACTCGAGTGACTCTAGACGACCTCACCTGGAATTTCGAACCGCGCTTCAAGCGCACATTTCTTTGCGCCGAGCTCAGACCTTTGATGAGCTCACGGTTTCCATCAAAACAGCCATCACTTGCGCCTTGAGATTGTCAATCTCTGGCAGCGAACTGCTGATGTAGCTACTTACATCCCAGCAACTGCTGCAGCAACTGCTGGGCAGTCCCAGGTTTTGTCATAAAATACTTCAGGTAGGCACAGACGACGAGCACGCACGTTTTCGGCTTTCTAGGTGGTTGTTTAAGTCTGTCTCTGGATTTATGTATCTGCTGACATATAGCAGTTCCGTTACCGCAGGAAAAGCATATTCAAACCAAATTTTGGATCAAGTGTATTCGGCAATGCGAGCAGCGAGTTCATGCATATATCACACACTTTACCTCAACCTAACTGTCTATTACTGTCTTGACTTTGAGTAATCATCATGGCTTTCCGCCGGTTTTGGTCCTCGTGAGCGTAACCGGAATCGATTGTCCACTATTGCTGTCTCTTTAGGAGAGTTGTACTGTGTACCGTGATTTAAGTATATCCAGACGGGTATAGAGATAACCTTTTGGAAAGCTGGGCTCAATTTTGGATCTGTTGCCGATATTGATCTCCTTCTTCTATTGAATGTGCAACGTGCCTGACAAAGTAATAATACGAGTAGTCTCTGAAGCTTCTTGCCTCATCCATTAAACCCTGCTACGGAAAGAGGTATTTCCTGAGAGACTGAGCGTCTGAAGCAGTCAAGAAAGCCACGCCTTGCTCTTTCCAAATATTTCCATTATGTCCCGTGCGATGCAGTGTTTTTCTATGCCTTTGCCCACGCATCCCTGGGCTTTCCTTTCATCATCTTGTCCGACTTTTCTCCCGCTGCTCAACTCTTCCCAACACCTTGTCTTCGCATCGTCAATCCTCTCCTCAATTTATTCCCTTTCCATCTCTGCTGAAAGAAATTTTGGGCCAAGTAGTCCGTTTTCATCTTCTCATCGCTGTTGAAATTTTGACGACAGGCCAGTCGTTTTCTTTCCTACTCTCTCCTACTCCTTTTTCTTCTTCTTTTTACGTAAACACTCGAATTGTCCGCTTCCTCGGCTTCTGCCCATTTGAGTCGACGACACGAGTCGCTTGACGCCAGCATGGAACAGCATCCTAGCTGTTGCCCCTGGCGTGGCTGCACGCACAGGATTGAGGTTCCGACCGTGTAAGTTATTTCCTCTACACAAGACATGGACGGTGGACTAACTTCATCCAAGTGCTGATACTTTCTCATCCGAGGACAAGACCAGCGCCTCGACCGCCTCGTCGTATGCCCAGAGTATCTCTCAAATCGAAGCAAGCAAAAACACTAGCCTCGCTGAGACTGCTCCGGCTATGCTGCCAAAGAAAACGGCGGAGCAAGACGTTTTCCAGCCTCCGAGAGAGAAGGAGAAATACAACATCAACTGTGCTCATCACAAGCACTTCTACTCGTGGGACTTTGTGAGCGAGGGAGGACATCGATGCGCCTCCTGCAAGAGAATCACCCCTCAGTACATTTGGCGATGCCGCGAGTGCCTAGTAGAGATGTGTCTTGACTGTCGAGCCAAGCGAGGCTGGACAGCGAAGACCGCAAAGTAGGTATACTGACCACTTTCCATCATATTCGTTCTAATTTTCTGTAGGCAGTTGCGTCCTCGCCGTGGCAATGTCCAAAAGAGAATTTGGGACGCCGCGCACTAAGGCCGAGGCGGTTTACATTTTACAACAAACGTGTTCCTGCTGCAGTTGACTCAATAGAACCCGAGAGGTGTTGTCCGCTAGATTATCGCATGAATCGCCGTACTACTTGATTCCTGGAAACATGTTCACGATTTCATGACCGTCAAGCATGTTTCATGACCATTCTGTTTGGTGGCAGTGGTGGTAGTGGTGGTGGCGAACATGGGAATACCTGGCCGTATAGATGTTGCATACTGGGATTTTAATTAAATAAAATTGAAATAAGCCATTCCACCTTCCATAGGCAGTATGATTGACTTGATATTGCCTACCTCCTGCCTTACCTTAACGTAATTGGGTGGCGACTTCGCTTGGTCAACCTTAACCTTGGGTCGCGGCACAAAAGCAGCGACCCTTTGGAGCAGGGTTCCTGCCACTATGGAGGGTTTTGGTGGAGAAGTGGCGGCGGACTGTTTACCTGGTCAACACTGCAGCAACCGCGATAAGAAGGCTTATCGGCCAATGAGTGTGCGTCATGCAGGCGGCATTGAAACACCTCCCCATGACTCCAAACAAAACACGCCAAAAGCTCTTTACGCGGTCAAGACGCGCTTCAGAGTGCCACCGTGGGGGACGACCCAAGACACACCTCAATCAACATGGTGAGTTCTCGTTGACTCTGGACCCTTGGAACCTTTGTGCGGGAATCGCGCTACGCTCGTTTGCTACGTCATCCATCCCATTTCGTCTGGTGTCGTTTGCCTACTAGCACCGTGAATTGATATCCCTGTTTGTCATCTCATTTCCCCTGGGTTTGGTCGGTCTCAGCCATGAAGTAGCCTGCCGCAGGCTCTCCTCCGAAATCATCTGAACTCCTCGGCTCACTAAGCAAAGATGCAACAGTCGCAGCTGGACCCTCTGCCCACTGACCTGCCCTTCCGGGTCATCTCAAAGACCATTGGCCGAGGGGCTTATGCATCGTAGGAACTCTACCCCCCCAATTCCACACCTGATGAACTCCGACACTGACTGCGAGCACGCAGAATCAAGAAAGCCGTCCCTCTAGATGCAAATACACCCGTCTTCGCCGTCAAGTTCATCCACAAGGGTTACGCCGTCAAGCATGGCCGGGTGTCAGCAAAGCAGCTCCTGATGGAGGTGTCACTCCACTCGCATGTCGGCCAACACCCGAACATCATTGAGTGGTTCGCCTCAGGAGAGGACACCAATTGGAGATGGATTGCCATGGAATTTGCCGATGGAGGCGACCTCTTCGACAAGATTGAGGCAGACGTGGGCGTTCACGAGAACATTGCCCACCTTTACTTTCTACAGCTCATTAGTGGCGTGAGCTTCATTCACTCAAAGGGCGTGGCGCATCGGGACCTGAAGCCTGAAAACATTTTGTTATCCGAGACGGGAAGTCTCAAGCTTGCTGACTTTGGTATGTCGACCATGTTTGAGTATAAGGGCCAACGGAAGACAAGTTCCACCCTCTGCGGCAGTCCGCCGTACATCGCCCCCGAGATCCTTGCGTGCAGCAAGGCGGAGAAAAAGACGTCTCCCGACGCGATCAAGTACTCGCCGGACCTCGTTGACATTTGGTCATGCGGCGTCATCCTCTTTGTCTTGCTGGTCGGCAACACTCCCTGGGATGAGCCGTCGAAAGGCAGCTGGGAGTATCAGGAGTACGTGCGAACAAACGGCCGCAGCACAGATGCACTCTGGGGGAGGATACCGTCGGATACCCTTTCACTTCTTCGAGGCATGATGAATATCGACCCAAGTAAACGCTTCTCCTTTCGACAAATTCGGCAACATCCGTGGTACACCAGGCAAAACCCGCACTTGACATCGGACGGGACGATTTCCGATCCGATCAACCTGGCCACGCAGATGCTGGAGAGTCTAAAGATCGATTTCAACCAGCAACCCACAGCCTCCCAAGGTCATCCATCCAGCAGTGATCCTATGGATGTAGATAGTGTCGGCAAGGTCTCTTTCACCCAGCCTGAGACCCCCATCAACGACGTCGCATGGGACTGGGAACGCCCCGCTCTCAAGGTCATGAACCCCATTGCGGTTTCCTCCACACAACCTATAAATCGAAGCGTGAGCGGCGTTGCCAACCGACGCTTGTTTATGGAGTCCCTCGCAGAGGAGCCTTCCATCAGTCAGTTCTCGCAGACCCCCGGTGTCCCGCTGACACTCACCCAAGCGGCCCGTCGCTTTCGCGATATCGTGCCCTTCGAGTCCCTCACGCGCTTTTTCTCGCACGTGCCGGCCCAGCTCATCGTGCAGATGCTCAGCGACGCCCTGCACCAGCTCAACGTCCCGCTGCCGCCCGTCGCGCCGAACCTGTATTCGGACCACATTGTCATCATCAAGATCAAGACGCTCGATGAGAGGCGGCAGTCGCTGCACGGCGAGATCCACGTCGATAAGCACAGGCTGCCGGAGGAGCAGGAACTGCTCGATATCCGTTTTGTGAAGATCAAGGGAGATCCGCTGGAATGGCGTCGGTTTTTCAAAAAGATCGTCGTCCTCTGCAAGGATGGAGTGTACCTGCCTGATGCATAGGAAGAATGCCGGCTTGGATAGAGTAATGGACTGAATGATGTTTACGCTGTATAGATGTATAGATAAGACTTGTTACGAATGAAGAAAGAAATATAATACCCCCGTAAGGTAGTCTCCGGTCCTGCGAGCTCAAGCCAGGCCGCACTTCTTCCTTCCTCGGAAAAGATACCTCAATGACCGCAAGAGTTCCTGAGCCAATACGATACTCACCGGCTAGAATAGATACAACGATAAATCACATATACACGGCGACGAAACATCGCAGCAGTGCGAAAGTGGGCACTTGACACTGAGAACAGTCCGAAGGAAGAGATGACGCAGTTGTGATCTGAGAGCAACATGCCGTCAACCGCACTCAGAACGTACGAGACCAACGTGTTCCATCTACACAAATTCAAAAGAATCAGACGCAGGCTATGCAAAACCTCCACTGCCTTCCGAACTTGGTTTTCTCAGACAGGAATCCCAAAACGTCACCGGGCTTTTTCTGCCAGCGCCCTAACAATGACTGACCCATCTCCAGCCCCGTGTAAATCATCCACATCAACGTCATCTACCTCATCGTCTTGCCGTGGGAGGTTGGACCTCCATCGATCAAGGAGTTGTTCTTTAACTACCCGGATGAGCTCGTGGCAGCTGTTTTCAGAGGAAGATATAATCAAAGTTGGCCTTTGCTTTTGGCCACCTGAATGACACGTTGTTCTCATTTATGAGTGACTTTGTCGAAATAAGTGCCCGCATCACAGCCATCTTGAACCATATATTCTAGAGAAGGATGCCATCTCTGAACCTGGTCGCCGAACCTGGTCTATAATCAATGCGTACAGCTTCGTGTAATGAGAGCCATGGGCAGTGAGGCCAGCGGTATTGAGCAGATCCCTGCTGCCTTGAGGACTTATACAGACAAATCACTGAAGTGTGCCTTCTCATGAATCAGAAATTCGACGGTTTTTTTTTTTTTTTTGGAAACGAGATGTGAACTGGCTCTTCCCCGCTGGCCGGTTCCCAGTCGACGCGCGGCGACACCTTTGACCAGATTCGAATCACCGCGAACAGCGCGAAAGCGGCGTTTTCAAGAGGTTGTGGTGGTCCCATAATAAGAATAGTTTGGGACCCCGCCTTTCATAGCACCAAAGCCCGTCATCAACAGTAACAGCGGGTGCCTTAGAAAGCTAATATCACTGGGCTCGCGGTGGCGTCTTGTCAAGGTACTCAAAAAGAAGACATTGTCGAGGTGCCACATCATTTCATACAGCGAGCCTTCGAGGTGGCGCGCTTTGCATTCGAACCAAGAGGAGCCCCGTCCTGGCTCGAATGCTTCGAGATCTTTGGGAGCGACCTTCTCCCAGGCTTTGGATGCATGATGCATCCAGTGCCCCGATGACAATTTTGACAAAGCCATCCCCGGCCGGAACTTGCTGGGGTCGAAACTCACAGTCGTAGAAGTTTCCACAGGCGAAATTCAACAGACGTGTCGAGCCATACGACTTGAGGGATAGAGGAAGGTAGGGTGAGAGACTCCGAGCCGTTCGAGGCTACGGACACTAGGAAGAAGCTTCCGGGAACGGGGTCCGCCGGCATTTCTTCACCTTCGGCCATTGGTGCTATGCGTGCCAGGCCTTCCTGTTGATTGGTCATCGGTTTCTGCGCTTCACTGGCCTTGTGGTTGCCATTGTGCTGGATTGCAATTTCATTTTGCCAAGTTGCGTGCTCACGAGCTGGACCGGTTGCTGGTCGATGAACGACTCAAAGCTGTCATTCTGCTACTATTGTACGTAGTACACTATAGAGACCGGTATATCCTCGAATATATCCCACCCGACTTCTCCGGTCTTGCAGTGAAGGAAGAAGAGAGAGAACACGCTGAGGGGTGTTTCATGGTCTCGAATCTCGAAGATGTTTGGGCCCGTTTGGACTGCAGCATATGGTCAAAGAGCACTTGGGTCTATTTTCATGTATTGTGGAAAGGGATTGAGCAGTCTCATATTTGACTGTTGGCTTACGTATCACAGGTGTGATTTGTTCCATCGAACCGTGGTGACGAAGGGTCAATTAACTGTATATTGATCTCTGCGTGAAGTGGAAAAGAGAGGTTCCAACCGTGGGTTGGATCGCTGGTTGAACGCTGATATAGAGACCCTCAGATGGCCCCTGCGCTGGCGCTGACTCGAGGTCGAATTGGGCTTCCAATCCGACATTGACACTGTAGTCTAATCTTTTTCTCAAAGTCAGCCCCGCGAGTGTCGCGACCGAAAAGCTCTCCAGAACATCTGGCCCAAAACGACACTTCTGAGCGAGTCATGAGCTTGTCTTCAAGCAAATTGTGGTCAGACTGGTCTCGTTGCGCATTTGTCTTGCTGAAGTTTGCTGGACTAGTAACCGAATGATACTTATAAGAAGAGAAAGGGAGCTAATAGGCTTTAAGCAAAGCAAGCCACACGAAGTATAGGAAAAACCTTGCGTTATTAGTCTGTGACGTCAACCGGTTTTCAAGACTAATTATGATCCTCGGCCCCCCTTGTAGGCCACACAACTCAACAAACAACTGAGGTGGGTAAAATACCGGTGGCCCAGCAACTCAACGTTTTGCAAGCAGACATCTAACTCAGCATTGATGTGCCCTTAATTCGCCAAAACGAAGTTTGCTCCGCGACCCTGTTGATCTGGAACTGTTCCAGAACATGGCGAGCCCGAAGAATACTCGTATCAAAGATGCATAATGAGCTTGGGGTTTGTGCCGCGTTTCCAGAGGTTGGTAATTATTACGTGGTCCCTCGAATTACCTTGCACGTCGGTTGCTGGGTCCCAAGGCTCCGCAACCCACGACGAGCGGCTCTTCCCGCAAACTCTGTTTTTCTCTTCGTTTCACTAGTTGCTGGAATGATTGATGATGTGCATAATGTTGTAGGTAGCAACGCCAATTCTGGAGAACGGGAAAAAGTAAAAAAATAAGAGCTCAAGCGCGTTGGTGACGTCGGAACGTGATATGGCGCGTGTCAAAAACTGACGAGTCACCTCAGTCAAATAGCAATCGCCGGCACATCTCTTTTGTGATGCCTAATTCTGACCCAATCTTCTTCTTTCCTGACATGGTCGGATGGATCCTGGCGAAACCAGGCTGGAGTCTGGCATCCGAGTCGTGAATTCTGGGAAAATTGGCCAGGACCCTTGCAACGCCAAACTGAATCGAACCAGACGTGGCTGACAAGTGGTTCGGGGGTCTGGAAAAGGGGAGGGGGGGAGGGGTGGTCGATCACCAGTTTGGCCATTCAGGGAATCGAATCCTTTGAAAGTCATCCTCGTATACGAGCACACTAACGAAATTATGAAGGAGTGAAAGGGCAGTTTCTAACTTCTAGGACAGAGGAGGTGTGCAATTGAGTTTGTGAGTATATGGATACATTAGATGAAAAACATCATCGACAAGCCTTTTTCCCAAAATAGACAAAGTGTTTCGTCGACACTACAGATACCGGATACCGTAAAATTGCAAAGCTACATCCAGTCGTTTACAGCGCTCGTCCATGCGGTATTAAATCAACCAAACCAACAATGAGACAGAAAAGTCGAACCTCGAACCAAGGATAAAACAAAAATCAGAAAGCCTCCCAGTTAGGTATCTCATGCCTCTTCCTTCAGTCGCAATAACATCGTAAACGCCATACAAGTCATGAAGGGGAAACTCATGCCTTCACCTTTGTTTGGCCAAAGATGTTAGTCATGAGGTCTTCGTACGGAGCCAGAGGGTGCTCCTCTGCCAGGTCCAAATCTCCCAGCTTATACCGCCGGTTCGTGGTGTGCATTGCGTGGAAGCCGCGCGCGGACTCTTGCATGGACATTTCGTATGTGCCCCTCCCCTTGAGGATGTCCGAGGCTCTGTTGGCGGCGTCTACGGTGTCGGTCGCAACGTCTTCGAGGACGGTGAAGACTGACTTTCCCGTTGCCATGCGGCGGTTGTGAATGTAGTTTCTGGTCTCGCCTCCAAGTTCCTCCTTGTAGAAGCTGAAAACACGGAGCCGGTTAGGTCTGTGTCACACGAACCACATAATACGAGGGGGATACTTACGACAGGACGTCGTTCGAAATGTCGATCACCCTTGCCATGTCAGGGATGGCTTCCAGGAATTGACTCACGTCGGGGTACTGGGCCTTAGGGAAGCAGAAGACGGCGTACGCCACATTAATGCCGGCCAGGTCTCTCAGAAAGTCGGGGAATTTCATCCCGGCGCCCCGCGTGGTCTTCATATTCTGGAAGCCTTCGTGGCGTTCGAGCAGGTTGCAAGTCATGAATTTAAGAGCCGAGATTTGCAGCAAGCTGGCCATGACGGGGTCAAAGATGTCGGGAGCCTCCCGCAACAGCCCCGCCAGACCCTCGAGCATGGCATTTGGCTGGGTCTCGCCGTTGAGGAAACGCCTCTGGAAGTGCTGGGCCTCGTCCATGCCGCCGTCATTCTGACCCACGATATCGTCGTACTGAACGACAAGCCAGGTAAAGAGCCCAACGTAACCCTGCACCTCTACCGGGTGACGGGGATGGCAAAGCTGCGAGGTCGTCAGCTATTGCATGACCATTTTCAAGCAAGCCCAACGCAGAAGCATGGCTCTAGGGTCGCATGAATGGTAAGGAGAGGGCCGAGTGGTGGGAAACATACCGCAGCTAGTGAGAAGCCCAAGCGGAACCCCTTTTGTGACAGAGGGGTGTCGAGAGGCCATCCGATCTCGACGGCTCTCTTGTGCATGTAATTCAGCAGCGCTTCCACGGACTCGCGCTTGACCTGCGGGGCTCCCGGGTACTTGAGATCCTCCAGCATCTGTTTGCAGATGGGCTTGCAGAGCGCTGCCAGTCTCTGGGGATTCTTTGCCAGGTCATCTTCGAGGCGGATGCGCTTCGGGGCGCACAAACCCCACACGGAGCTGAGCATCCGGAGCCACGGCTGCGCAGCCGAAACAACGGCGCCGTTGATTCCAGGGCTGAGACTGGAAGGGCTGACCATAATCTTGGGAGAACTGGACATGATGGGCAAGAAAAGTAGAAAATGGCGGTGGGTTAGTAAGGCGGTTACTACTGGATATGAAGTGTCGGTGTAGTAGAGTTTAGTCTAGAAGAAGCACAGACAAGAAGCTAACGATCATATCCATGAAACTTTGAGACGGGGGAGACCTGGGCTTTTTATTCCTAACATGGGACCGCGATACTCCCATGGACAGGGAGGCCAATATGAAAGGCATGTGGGTGGCAGGGTGTCGTTTGTTTCCATTTCGAGCGACGTGCCGCCGAGGAGGGAGCCACGGAGCGCAAGTCCAGGCCCAGGTTTGGCTACGGCGGCACGAGCAGAAGTATGATATCAGCAGTAGAATCGATTTGATACCTCGATCGCCAGCCTCTCCCTATCCAAAGACCAGACCGTTGGACGGTTCGCCGTTGGGTGTGTGGCATGTGGACAGGGCTAAGAGCAGAGTGGGCTTAGTCTCGGTTGCTAGTTCAACACGATGCAGGTTTGGCCCTCTCATGGAGGTACACTACTTTTTTGTACACACGCTACGATCCATGTGTGTTGGTACCATGGTCTAGCCAGGGCCCCCTAGGGAGGACATTATCCAGGCTGGACCGGGTTGACAAGTGTCAGTGGAGAAGGCAAGCATTTCAAGGGTCGTGCAAGGCGGGAAAAGGTGGTGGTGGTGGTGGTGTACAATTCTTTTTTTTTTTTTTTTTGCGAGAGTGGACGGAGGAGGGTCGGCGCCGGAGAGTGAAGGATGGGTCCTAGTGCCAGGAGATATCAATTGAAGTATCCGTAAAGTCGAGTGCCGATACGGAGATACGCAGTCTCGGTATGTGCGAAGTAAGGTCAGGTAGTGTAATCGTGAGGTATCCGTAGTCCGTGATTAGGCGACGGGTTGAGGTCAATACGAAACCGCATCAACTCCCGCACCATGGATGCTTCACTGGCCCGATTTCCCCAAGTGTGCCGCCATTTTCAAGATGGCTTTATTCCCGGTCGACGATATGTGCAGCGTGGTATCCGTCGTACGAGAGACGGATAGGCAAGGTAGGCACGGTCTCGGTAGGGTACTACGTAGACAGGAAACAGACACAGAAGGGAGTCGCGCTCCAGTGATGACGAGGCACGTGAGTTTGTACTTTGTAGTGTACAGAGTAGTCAGCAAGGAACAGCGGCCCCCGAGTCAGTCAAAGTTGGGACGGGGCCCAGAAAAAGAGAAGATAAAAGAGGAGCCCCAAGAGCCGTCAGGGTCATGCCATCCCATGTGCATGCAGGGAGTGGGGGTCATCTGGGGTCGTGCAAACATTGGCTTTCCCAAACATGACATGATCATCTCCAATTGCTCCTGTAATTGCTCCTCCTAAGCTCCTCCAAAGCTCCCCCTTCCAAAGGACAGTGCCTGCCAACGGTTGCCAAGGCCCAGGGAAAAGGGGGTGACCATGGTCCATGCCCTGGGCCATGCGGTGTCTTTGTGCCTTGGTGCCGGGGAGGCGGGCGGGGTGGCACCCACAAACTTTTGCCAGACCCAGCGAAGCTCCAGCGAAGCTCCAGCTAAAAAGATGGCTACCGCATTCGCTACCTATTTCATCTGGTCTCAGCTCGGTGTTCCGTACGGTGTGGTGTTCACTGGTCGACCGACCTATGGTGACGCTGTGGCTGTTGCGGCCGTTTGGTATGGAATCATCCGAATCAGACGAAACCCCCGTGCGAAGCCGCGAACTGCCGGGAGGCGGAGGGGGTCACTCGGCGGCCGGCGGGAGTTTGCGTTTGCAGAAGAGTCGAGGCTTCGGAGCGAGAAATCCAGAAAACCTTACTTTGCTTTAGATCGCTTTAGATCGCCGAACATTTGAATTATCATGGCCACTTTTCTGTCGACTGGATGTTTTGGGCCTGGCAGGTGTCCTACGTTGCGTCTTGCCCTCCACAAGGCCTGCACAAAAGCAGCAGACAACTGGCCGTTTTCAGCCGTCCCCATCTCCACTGGGGCCATGCCGGGTCACAGTCATCATGCCAGGCAAGCCGCAAACCCGCAAACCCGCAAAGACTGTGTCTTTTTTTTTTTTCTTTTTTTCTTTTTCTCCTTCACTAACCTCACTTTTGCCTGCTGGTTGCGTGGTGCATCTGTTATCTTGGCTCATTGTTCTTACACGCTGTTGGAGGCCATGACCGATAGACTCCCGCTCCCCACGCTGCTACCAGTGTGAGTGCCGTGCCGCCGCTCTTTGGAAATGTTCCCGAATGTCTCTGATGACGAGCTCCGCGGTCAACCACCACACACACGCGCACACATACACAGGTTGCAACCACATAACGAGGTTTAGTTACGACAACCCCCCCTCCCTCTTCCCCTTGAACCTTGAACCTTCCCACCTGCGACCCCTGGATAGCGTGAGCCCGTCGTCCTCTGGAGGAGGGGGAGGCTAGCCGTATCCCGTCGAACTTCGTCGACCTTTGCGCCCCATTGGCACGCTGTGCCCATCCTTTTCGGCTTCTCTCTGTCTCGCTGGAATGTCTGGCTGGAGTCTGGACCCCTGTGCTATGAAAATCTCAACCCGAGTCTGGCACTGGGAACAGCCGACAGCATCGGTGCCCCCAGAGATCCCCTGCCCGAGCTGCTGGGCCCGCATCTGCGCCTTCTTGGTATAAACGCCGGCGTCCCTTCGGAGTCCTGCGCTGGACGCGCTTCAGATTCGCCCTGCCGTTGCATTGTTGGTGTGCGACCCAGACACGCCGCAAGTCCTGTCAAGTCCTGTCAGTCCGTCACAGTCTGGACGGATACTTCGTACAGATATCCGTACTCACGGAGAGTTGGAAACCCACCCCTGCCCTGCCACCCTTTCCACTCTCCTACAGCTCGACCTGCAGAAACTGGAGAAGAGAGATAGCAACAGGCCCTTACCTGAGACCTGATCTGGAGCAGGACCACAGGAGCCGCAGAAGCAGAGACAGGAAACGCACATACGGATACACAGAGAGGGGGGCAAAAACCGAGACAACTGTCTGTTGCTGTCCTCTGTTTGGCCAAGCCCTCGCCCGATTCCCGCTTGCTCACTCGCTCGCTCGCTCGCTCGCTCCGCCGAACCGAATGGGAGCATTGCAATCTCTAAGATGAGCATCCAATACCGGCGTCTGGACCCTTCGAGGCGCGAGATCCGCCTGCTCGAGATTCAGTCGGCGCGCAACCTCAGCGACCCCGTCGAGTGCCGCCTTGTCACCGTCCGCCTGACCGATGATCTGTCTCGCGAGTACATCGCCCTCTCTTCACTCTATGGCGATGCGGCCGAGACCGACAAGATCTTTGTGAGCGGACACCCCGTCAACATCACCGTCCACCTGTCCCAGGCCCTGAAGCAGGTCCGTGCCGTCTTCTACCCGACCATCTCGCAGCGTTTCCAGCGGACGCCGGCGAGGCGGCCTCACGGCGCCCCGCGTTGGCTTCGGCAGCTCTTCGGCCTCAGTAGCTCACGTCAGAGCGATAACGAGCCCAGGAGCCTGAGGGTGTGGTGCGACTTCCTCTGCGTCAACCAGCGCGACGACGTGGAAAAGTCCAAGCAGCACACAGACATGCGCAATATCTACCGCAACGCGGAGCTTGTCGTCGGGTGGCTGGGCGACAAGATGGAGTATACCGACGAGGCCATGGCAGCCCTCGCGCGGATCGAGGACGCCATGCCGCCCCACTGGGGCGACCCCGGCGACCGCGAGAAGCACCCCGACGACTACGCGCCATTTCACAAGTGGGCGATCCCCATTGCGCCTCTCTGGGCTACGGGTCCCAACGGCGAGATTCCGTTCATGATGCCGCACTGGGCCGGTGCCAACGACTTCATGGGCCGTTCCTACTTTCAACGTCGCTGGATTCTCGAAGAGCTTGCCATGGCGAGGTTCCCTACCTTTTTGATTGGAGACACCATTGTGCCGTGGAAGCAGGTGCTCCGCTTGAACCGCATGATGGAGGAGTTCAAGTACCATCCATCCGAAATCTTTCCCGCGGTAAGTACTGTACCATTCTCGTGGGATTTTGCCTTCGGGCTAAGCCTGCGGCCGCTACAAGGCGCGCCGTCACTGCCTCCCCCTTACGGCCGTAAAAAGCTGCATGATGAGATCTCGATCCACTGACCCGGTTTCTACAGCACCTATCGGCCATGATAGCTGAATTGCCTCTCGAGACGGCGCACAAGCTTCTCGATGAGTTTGCAAAGAGGGAGGCGCTAGAGGAGGCCCAGATCCTCAAGGAGACGGGAAGCAGTAGGGCGACCTCGTCCACGCGGTCCACCGACACTAAGTAAACGGCGTGGCGTGCGGCCATCGGGGTTGGCGATGTTCGGGGTTCCGATCCAGATTTGAGTAGGATCCCGACGAGAGAGAGGCAAGGTAGCAGGCGGGTACGGATGGTGTAGTACTTATCACTCACCTCACTCGTTAGGCGTTGTAGACCAGTCTGGAATGCTGCCAAGCCATCTCCGAAGGGAGGCTTATGTTTGAGGGGTAATGGGAAGGGGGTTTCCACGGAAAGGAGGGCTTAGCGTTGTAACGAGGATACCCAAAAGTTCCTCCTAGCTTCATTTTGAGCAGGATCATTGAACTTGTTTATTTTTCTTCTTTCTTTGGCCGTTTCCTTTCTAACAAACATGCACGCGAGCAAAACGTACGGTTTCGTCGTGATATAAATACCAAGATCGTCTGCCAAAATCATGTTCGGAATGCGCGGGTACCTTTGCCATGTGGTACTGAAGAATTTCGGATGAGGTGGGACAAAACGGGTCAAACTGGAGCGTTGTCTGAGCTCCGGCATACGCCCACTTGATGCCCAGCCTTGGCCAATGGAAGCGTGTGGGAAAGGTATGGAGGGGAGTTTCTTGCGAACCTGCGAAGGTTCCTGCTGGGTCTCCAATAGTCTGATGCAGCATCCTGTTAATGAGTGATTACTCCGGGGTTGGTAGGTATTCTCTTTTGTTGGAGAGGAGGGAGGGGTTTTACCGCATGGTCGCAGCCAAACAAAAGGGTTCTTTGGACAGGTAAGGTATACATACCTAGGAATGGAAGTAAAAGCGCAGGGAAAAATGAATGGCCTGCATGTTTGCGGCCTGCTGACCACAGGATTACGTACTGAGGGAATTTTGTTCGTTGCAGAACGCAAGCAGCGCGCACGCATCATGCAGCTTTCCTGCGGCAATTCCGCTTAAAAAGCAAAGTGCAGCACTGATGAAGGTAAGCAATAAGGTACCTTGGGTCGGCTCCTGGCAGGACAGGGGTTTTTATATGCAAGTCCTCTCCCTTCCAACTCGGACTCCGTACACGAGTCTCTCATTCAGCCAACGACAAACTAAGAAAGACACAACCTGATCCTCCCTCCCTGCGTAACGTACCTGTACCTGGTTCCAACCGTTCAACCGTGGGAACCGACAGTCTGGCACCCCTTCCATCACCCTGAAACTATCCGTACAGTTCGCGTCCAACGCACATATTGACAAAACCAACAAGATGAACCGGCGCACGTTGGAGGCCCTTTTCGGCCATGTTGCGTGTTAATCACATACGATTATTCTTCACCGCCACTGCTTGGCCCTGCTCGTTTGGACACTTCTTCGGCGACGATCAAATATACTTGTGCTCAAAGTACACTGGAACAATTCCCGGAAGTTGCGGAATTTCTATTGTCTTCGCTCGCGTATTCCTTGTCCGTACCATGTATTTCAGCCGACTTGTCCGAAAATTCTCTTGTTCCCAGAACTTTGTGTAAACAATTTTGTCGTTGTTATCTCCCTCTTTTCCTCTTTTCGTCGCTGTCGCGACATGTCGGATTTCGAGGCCCAGAATCATCGACGTCACAATTGAACGCAAGCCAGCCTGCTTAGTCAAGTTGCAGATCTGCCCGCCAGTTGGTTGGCGGCCCATGGCGACATAATAGCCGAGTGTCATGAGTAATCAGCATTTGCTATCAGATCATGCGAAATATCACGCGGCCATAATGCACGAATAACACATGATTCGTGATGCTCCTGCTCACACGGCTTTGCCGGTGACAGAAACTCTTGCCTATTGCCAACCATCCACGGACCACAAAGTTATTATTAGCAACTGGCAAGACTCGAATATGCCCGCAAGTTCTGACAAACTCGCAATCCCCGCACAAGGTGTAATGATGAGAAGCAGAATGATGACAAAATGGAATTGCTTTGTGATAAGAAAAACCCACAGCAAAAACAATTGTGAATGGAAGGTGTCAATAAGGTGAGGTCAACCCGACCACCAAATATTGAGGCTATAGAAATGCACCTTGGCGTCGAGGATAACCGCCAAACGCTTGGCCGCAAATCCCCACAATTATCCTCACGGACTCCCGAAGGCGTGTGAGGTTGGATTTGGCACCATCCCTCTTGCTCCCGGAAACGTGACAAAGACATATCGGGGGGGGAACGAAGATCAATTGAGGAGCGAAGCGAAGCGGTCAGATCACTGTTTTAGTGGAGATCTTCCCCAGTCGATAGATTCGTGCGGCTCTTGGCCGTCGCGGTCAACAGAAGGAAACATGCCAACCCCACGCAACCAACGCACGCACGCACGTACATAATAGTGTATCGGTACGGCCTCGGCCGTGCCGCAACCCTGCGTATCAAGTGTGGTTGTACAAGTTTTGAGGCTCTGGCTGCATCTCTCCGGAATCGCTCATTTCAACAACATGCGCGCATATGCATAGTACCTGACTCAAGGACCCAGGGTAACATCAGAGATCTGATATGCGATGAGTACACAAAAGGGCAAAGAAAAAAAAAAGAAAGAAAGAAAGAAAGAAAGAGAGAAAAAGGTAGCAAAGAATGATTCGATCGGTCTAGCCATGAAATATTTATATTTTTATTCCCCAGGTTGAGTTGCTGTCATGATGCCACTTAGTTAGGAGCTCGAAAACTTTTGCTCCAGGAAGATGTCTCGGAAACATCCGCCTCGGGAAGCAGCTGGTGTGTTGACTAATAATCAAGGCGAGGAAGGACCTTTATACCTAGCCCTTCTCCAAATAGATGAGCCCTGGCCACCTCGGACTTTAGTGAAAGTAAGACTTTACCCGATGCGAACAATACATTTGCAGTGACACGTGGGCCTCAGCTTTCGTGTTCGACCTTCGGCGAGATCAAAGTCGACGAGGACTCGCCTATGCTTCCTTTTTAGGCAACGTCGGCGGGATCCAAAGGGTTTGTGCCGCAAAGAGAGAATGACAGGCTTTTTTTGCCTTCGTCTAGTGCTAACCACACAAAAAAGATCGGGAGAACGGCGCTTCGATCTGATAGTCGATTCGCCCATGGCCCATCTCGGGCACAGCTCGATCCAGTGGCTTTCTTGATCATCTCGAGCCATTCTTTTGTCTGGGTGCGAGCTGATCTTTGAAAACGGTATCCGGTCTCCCGCGAGCTAGACTGGCCGCCACCAAAGCGTCTGCCTGTCCACCCGAGGCCTCTGGAATGGGGGATGATCCAGCGCCGCTCAGCTCTAGGCCCTCCGGGAACCAAGAGACCCTATTCCATTTGCGGGCGAAACAAATAGCGACAGGTCAAATCTTGATCCAATTTTCCCTACCCATCACAGTCGTTCCACGGACCGAAGTGGCTGATTCTTTGCTGCCGTGCGCCTCAGACTGCATGCGTCCAAGGGTGACTCGCAGGTTGCAGCCATCGTCGACGGCAGTGTCCAGCCCCCAAGAATGCCAATGCCTCGTTTTCGTTCTTAGCCTGAATGCTAAGCAGTGACTGCCATCGAGCCTGAGACATTTTGAGTAAAGATCGGGCCCCCTAGATGACTCTTATAAGTCATGATTGCCCCCTGCAAACCCCACGAAGAGCCTCCCACCTCCACTTTGCGAACCCCCCCCCCCCCCCCCCCCCCCCAAAAACAACCCCCCACCCCCCCCCCCCCCACACACTTCTTCCCCAAAAAAAACACACAACACAAAATCACTATACTCTGTCCCTCCCCCCCCCCCAACACCCCCCTTCTACCAACCTCTCCCCCCGGCGTCTAGCACCGCAGGGGACCCCCCCCCCGCACACGGGCCCCCTAGACCCGAGTCTTTGGGAAGTTTATTCACTCAAAATAAACATCACGAGACTTTCATGGGATCGCGTTCCCGTCCAACGCCAAAATGGATCCTTTACCACAGTTGTCTCCCGAGGAGTTGAAGCAGGATAGGTCGCCCCTCGTTCTGGGTGTGATTACCATGTGCCTTTTCATATCGACGGGCATACTGGTCCTGAGACTCTGGACTCGCTTCCACATTGTCAAGAGAATTGGCATAGATGACTGGGCTGCCGCTTGCTCGTTGGTAAGTTCAAACCAAAGGTTGCACGTGGGAAAGCTCATGATGGCGTGACGGAAAGCTGACTGGAGTAGATATCGGTACTAGGCTGCGGTATTGCGCAGGCAGTTAGTAAGTAGTAATTTGATCTTGATATGTTGGTCAGGCTTTCAGGCTAATCGGTTGCAGTGACACGATACGGTCTCGGCAGACATCAACAGACGCTTACACCAGAAGAAATGATTAAAGTCGCAAAAGTAAGCAAAATGACCGCGGTCAAAACAGTCTCGTTCTAACGGATCAATTATCGTATTAGTGCTTTTGGGTGTCTGTCCTTTTCTACGCCCTGGGTCACATACTGTTCAAGATGGCCTTCTTGCTCCAATACTACCGCGTATTGGTCACCCACCACATGCGCAAGTTCTACATCGCCGCCATGATCTTTGTAATGGCGTGGGGAATTGGCGTTGTGGTCATAATGTGTATTTGGTGCATCCCTCTCGATGGCTTTTGGGACCACTCGGTCCAGGCAAAGTGTCTTCCTCAGGAAGTCTTATACTATGAGTTTGGAGCCTGCAGTATCTTAACGGACGTCCTCATCTTCCTTCTGCCGCTCCCGGCGTTGATCCAGCTCAAACTTCCCAAGTCTCAAAAGATCTACCTGTTTGGGATCTTCAGTCTTGGATTCTTGTAAGTGATCACATTCTTCAACGCGACATTACGTGGACGACTTGGCTGACCACTTTTTCCTCCTTAGGCTTGTGGCAATATCTGTCTTGCGCCTCCGATACCTCACGGTCGAACCGGATTTCAGTTGGTGGAACGTGGACCCCGCCATGTGGTCAATTGGCGAGCTTTCGGCGGCAATGGTATGCCTTTGCCTGCCGCCTCTGAAAGCCCTGGCAGCCCGTATGGGCCTGATTGCCACGAGGACAGAGGCGTCGAGGACCGCTCCCTCGGCCGACCAGAATAGTCGCGGCCTGGCCTCAACCGCACCGCTTTCGCCCACTCCCAAGGCCGTCGAGACCTACACGACGAACTCTCCGAGCGAGAAGCCTGGTAGCTTTGGCAACTTTGTGATGGACAGTGAGCGTTGTGACGACGAAGTGATCCGGCCAAGTCCTGCCCACATGGTTTGACGTGGACAAGGGACTCAGCACTACGATTTAATGAGGTAATGCATTTTTGAAGGCGCGACCATAAATTGGAGTCTCTCTTTTGGGACTAGGTAGATTTAGGTAATGGGCCATCAACAGCTTTGGGAGTTTGGGAATAGTGGGATACCGCCAGACTATAAGTCATGACAGATATAAATAGTAATAATGCCAAAGAACCCCACGCTAATATTAAACAACACTGCCCGCTGTTGACGTCGCGGGTATCTTCTGCCTGTACTACTGATGAAGACTTTATTGATGTCGTTATTAATGGATCACATGTGAAGGTGCCCATACAGCCAATGGGGTGACGAAGTCAAAGTGGGAGTGAGGTGGAAGTAGGAGATCGATGCCATAGGCCCGGTCTCAACTCCCAGCTCATATGAATGGGCCCCAGGGGTGGGAAATTGGACTCCCATTCCGACAGATGTCGATAGGGCGTTAAATGATTACATACTATGTACTGCGCGCCACATAGCCCTAGCTCCGAGACACTCGCACTAATTCTGCACGCATAGTCTAGTTTTCGAGATCCATCTGGTTTGATCTTGTTGCCGCCAAGTGGGACGTGGTGGTGAGCCTCATCTGTAAATTCACTTATGTTTTCAACAGCAGCCAGAAGCCAGACGACCATTACGATCACGAGGCGGAAAATTGTCTAATCGGCAGTAATATGCCGAAGAAAGCTCCAGCTGACATCCAAGACTAATCCAAGAAACCATGCCTTTGCGAAGCTCCACTGTCGAGCAAGGACATCCTGGATTCAAACCTGTCGTTATCAATTCATCAACATGGATACTCTCAGAGCGTCATTGAAGGTCACACAAAAGAGATGTTGATAAGACAATCGACTACATGGCAGTTCAGAAATCGCCAATCAAATACTGTGTTAGTGCTAACAACCTTCGCCCATGATGCCGGTAAGTACTCATGTTAGTATGCATGACTTGAAACGTTATATCTCTTCGAAGGCTCAAAATTCGAATGGCTCAATCTGATCCCGAAAAGAAAGAAAAAAGATTATTTAAATTAACGTGGCAAATTTGAATCTTAGATAGGCTCCCAATTACCGACATGGCAGGGGGCTTGACTCGTCACTCGTACTATTGTACCCGGCATCCTCATTTGAAGCAACATCCCGCAAACTTCGAAGTTTCCAATCCATTGTCTTTCTTTCTTCCGGCTAAATCGGTGCACACAAAGAATACATGATCTGAATGAACAAGCTTTATTACACCCGTGTTTCAACCGTACTTTTTCTCTTATTCTAATGATGTTTGGGCCAACGAGATCTACAGGCGCTGCACAGACTTTTAAAATCTCAGTCACTTCCTTCGCCATACGCTACTCTGACAGAAGCGGTGTGCTAGCCCTGCTTCTCTCAATGGTAGACTCATCGTTGCAATCCAGAATATCATCTACTCCAAAGTTGCTCAACACATCGTCCCATTCTTGAATGGTCTGGAACACATGCTTCAGCAGCATGCGGAGGTAGATGCCGTGATGACCTCTTGCTTCGGAAGAATGGAAAGAGCATCCATATAAATAATCGAAGCCCCCGCGACACGAAAACAAGATCAAGTACCCGTGGGTCATCCCATGAATCAAGAGCTCGATAATTTGGGCAATCGTCCACCTTCCTGCAGAGTCAATGTCAACCTCAACGACGGGGAGCGAACCCACATCGACGTTTTGCACTTCTACGTGGGACGCGCTGCAATGTTCCTGGCAGGTCTCGTTATTATCTCGAACACAGACAATAAGGTGCGACTGTATCCGGCCTATACGTCGTCGACGGGCTGTGAGCCAACCTCTGAAAAAGTAGTGATCGATGAGGGACGCTATTCTTAGGATGTGAGCAAAGTGACTTGGGTCTTGACTGTCGTAAAGTTCGTGAAATCCTTCAATTAGTGCATGCTTCAGTTCGTCTTGAGTCTCTATGGCGTTCTGGGGACCCAGGGCAAGCCCGTTTTGGATCGTATTCGTGACCAGGTCTGCAAGGCGATACGTGCCATATTGACCCGGCGGCTCTGGTCCCACTCCATTCCAGTGGAGGCTGCAAGGGCATAGCTCGGAGGGATTCAGAGGGCGCGGTGGTTGTATTTCCATGATTGGGAGACGTCCTGCACTTTGGTGGCATCGAAATTTGTTCACTCACAAATCGAGCAGAGCGTACAGCCAACATTAAATAGATTCTATTCTATTGAAACTCAATCAAGTTGAGTCGCGAACGCAGTATGTGTACGATGCTTGATTGGTACCTGTACTTGGAGACCAGAAACAAAGCCCGTCTTTGTCAAGGACTTGACGTGTATGTCACAGCCAACCTTATAGACTCGGCAGACAAAGGAAGAAGAAAAAGCCTCACATATATACTTTAGTTCCTAAGAGTTTGCGCTTGAATGCCTCGGTACCTACGTATTTGATTTCAACTCTCCATGCTCTAGGCACCTCGCAATTGACTTGTCACTTTCGAATCACTTATCTAGATTGCCCCAGTCATTGGGAGTGGAAGCTTTTGCACGCCGGTCTCGCAAGGACGCTCAAGTTTTGCTACGAAATGGTGGTTTCAAGTTCCACGAGCGACCGCGATTTCTCAATGTTTCTGCTTGATTCTTTCCACTTCCTCCTAGTAGCCATCGCCGACAAGCGCAGTATCTTCTAGCACCAGTTACGTATAACCATATCTCAACCGTCGATTCTCCAGGTTCCTCGCAAGCCATCCTTCCAGCGGCAGGAGTAATGTCCATAAACTTGTAATCCCGCACAACAGTCGACGCGTATCCCAAAATATCCGGCCTGTGTACAAAGTGGGTAACTGTTGGTTTATGTATCACAGGTGTGATTGTTCAATTCGAACCGTGGTGACGAAGGCTCAATTAATTGTATATCGATCTCTGCATGAAGTGGAAAAGAGAGGTTCCAACTGGAGGTTGGACCGTCAGTTGAACGCTGATATAGAGACCCTCAGATGACCCCTGCGCTGGCGCTGACTCGAGGTCGAATTGGGCTTCCAATCCGACAGTAACAGAGGTACTCATGAAACCTCCCAACAGAAGCCCTACACAAGAAAGAATGCATAGGCCCGCCTAGGCACCAGGAACGTGATTAACTTTCACCAAAATCTCGACGTCGGCACTAAATGGAACGTTCAACTCACAGACAGCATTGAAACCTACCGTCCACAATAAGGGCATTCAAGAAAGCCTGGCTGGAACTATCATATGACTGCCTTTGCAAACGAGGGGCCGGATTTGGAGTCGTACGAAAACATCCGAAACTCCTGAAAAGAATAAGACGGATCGTTTGGTGCTCGGCTGAGAAAGACCACCCTGCTCGTGGTTCCATCGATGAACCAGACTATGCACAAGTTGGCTATCATACTGACATTAATTCTGACGAAGACTAAGAAGAATCTCAGACTCTTGCAGTATAAAAGTCTCGTTGTGGGGGAAGGAGCCATTGACGAATTCGATGCGATGCTTGAAATGAAGTTTATGAGAAAACACAACAAACCAAATTCGTCAAGACACCCTTTCATTGCCACAAAATCCTTGCAGAACATCGGCAGTGTACGTGAGCACACTTTTCTGAGTTTGCCGGTAAGTTTCTGGGTAGAGATAGGGCCAGAGAAGCTGTTGTTGACGACAAGATACTTAGAAGTCAGAACGAAGTGGATTGCCTAGTCTCCTGGTCTAACTGAACTGGAGCAACATAGTCCAAATACTTCTTATAATTTCTGATTTACTAGTTCTAGTGATTCTCCAATATAAGATCATCAGAGACCTCGCCTTGCTTAAAAAGAGCGAGACTTCATGCCATAGACTTATACATATGTGGAGATCATAGATACTCACCATATGTAGACCATCCATATAGATTGTTTCGACATCATGTACCAAAAGGAAAAGAGTACCCAAGTAGGGCTAGGATGGAGTGTTTTCTTGACATTGCATTTTTTTTGTTGGTAACCAAGATATATATATCTACACCTTGTTAGGGCCTTGTTATGCGCCGCATCTTGTACAGCCATGAACAACCCACCATGAACAACCCGTGATCCATCCATAAAAGAACCCTGATAGTATACAACCGTAAGCAAACCAAAGTCTCACTCGTTTGCGGTTGAGTTCATACGATCACACAAGCTCCTCATCTGCAATTGCTTGCTTTCTATATTCCGGTTCACAACGCCGAGAAAAAGATTTTTCGCGCCTCATCCTCACAAAGGCTTCGCGGCAAGCCACCAAACACGCTGCCCCTTGCTCCTCGAGGAGATCCTATCCCCCCTCTTCCACAACTCTAGCCCAAAATCTTCGTACGGGTGCATGGACTCGTCAGTCAACCCGAAATCTCGCAATTCGGTCGCCCAGCTCTGGATCTGCCCCAAAACAGCCTTGAGCAAAGCAACAAAGGCGAGCCCGTGGCCCCCGCCATCAGAGTCGCGATGCATTACATCAAAGTCCACATCGCACTTGTCTCGCCGACACGAAAGCAACAAAAGATAGGCGTGCACCATCTCGTGAACCGCGACCTGAACGATATCCCTGAGTGGTAGCGGCTTGCCGGTGCCGATGCCGTCATCGTGGTGGCGGACCGTGCTCAGGCGGATGACGATGTTGGGGCACCCTGGCTTACTAGTCCGTAGCGGCTGCGTCCAACCCACCCTACCCCGCGTTGGTCCGATTTCTAGAAGGACTGGATGAGAAGCATGGTTGATCTGGGGCGTCGGGAACAGTAGCCCCAGGAAACAGAGCTCGTCAATGGCTTTCATGAGAGAAAAGATGGTGCTGGCCGAAACGCCTCTGGGATTTGTATCTGCGCCCTTATCGACTAACACGCGGGCGACGTTGTTCTTCAGTGACTTTTCGGAGGCAGCCCATGGGACCGGTCCCAACATGCATTCGGATAAAGTAATGGCGACGTCGTTGATATTGTGAGACTGCGGTTGCGGTACTTGATCATGCTGATGGGACTTCCGCGAGTGGTGTTGACATCGTTGTGGTAGAAACCTGGCCCGCTTCGATTCTGCCATGTCCGGTCGTAGCATGGTCGGTGGATGCTGACTTTTCTCTCCCTCTGGTCCTTTGCCGAAAATCTCATCAAGCTTTCAAGTCGCTGATATATTCATTTTGCAAACACTTACTCGCCATCTTGCTGCAACGGCGCTTGGGTGCGTCTGGTACAACGGTCAACTGTCGCGGCCCGAGCACGCTCCCCTCACCTCAGAGCGTTACCGAGAGAGGCGTATGGTTTCAAACCAGGGGCTCGATCAGCCAGTTTCTTCGTCGGAGACGTCGCAAAGTGCAAGGGGAGTTTTGACTGCCTCATAGCGGTGGTAGGAGCCGTGCTGCTGTGGGCAGCAGTCACCTAGGTTGAGCGGCGGCCGACGAGTGATGATGTGACAACTTTGTAAATCTGCCGCGTTGGGCAAGGTTTTTGAATAATAGGTGTAGATGAAGAGGAAAGTAGAAGGATGGATTACAATGTGTTATGATAGTCCGTCTGCCGACCCATGACAATGCACCTAAAGGAATCCGACGTGGGCAGAAAACCCCTCATGATTGTATAAAAGAACACCATCGCCATGCTTAAAATGATTTCCCACCAGATGAGACCGTTCCACCGTAAGATCCTAAGAAAGAAAACAATGTGCTATACACATGTGGGAGATGCATTTCGGCATCCCCTAACGTATGACGGGATGGCCTGATGTGGGGTGCTGTCGTAGCTGAAGACGACGATTCCCCCTCGGTCATCGGTGCGGGCCCATTGCCCGTCGTATGAGTCATAAAAGTTTCGTTCGTGGGCAGACGATTGCCTGCTGGAAACATAAGTGCCAGGGAGGAAGAGCCGGCCACGCATCTCGCGAATCTCGCCTTCCTCCAGTGGATCCACATCGTCGTAGTCCTCATCAGTCGTCATGGTCGTGGATATGGGACTGCTCTCTCTGCTAGTTGGGAAGAATTCACGAGGGTCATTGATGTAATAATCCCACTGCTCCTGAGATCTATATCGTGATCTCTCGTAAGTCTGGTTGTCGTGATATGTGTGGTGGCGGGGACTGAGATGCTCTTGGACGGCGGGAAAGCTGTGTCGACAGGGTGCACCCGCATGATGCGACTCGCCTTCGCGAACGTGGTCTTCACCCTCCCGAAAGTCTTCCAAATCCGCCTCCATGTTCCGTAGGTGTAGGTTATCCGGTCCAGCCCACAGATCTATGAGCTCCGCAATCCGGCGAAAGCCAGCGGTGTGTCCGCCACATTGACGAGCCTTGACGCCGCATTTGATAAAAAGATAGCTGTGTATAAGCTCGTGCAAGAAGGTGGAGATAAGAAGTCGTCGATTATACGTGTTATTTTTCAAAATTGGGTCCGATAGGACAATGAGTGTCTCGAAGCCTCCCATCTTAGAGCGTCGAAGGGCAGTGGTGCCGATAATGTTGCGGTTGTACTGGGCGCTGGAAGGGTGAGACCAATCCCAAGTGACACGCTGTGAGAGACTGTTGTGGAAAAAAATCTCATTTGCGGCGGAGAAAATGCTCTCCAGAGCAGCGTTGTCGATGGAGAATTCGGCATGCCGAGATCGCGGTCGAATAAGTGATCTCAGAATTCGTTCATGCTGAGAGTCTTTGGTGCGACGCCGGCCAAGCTGCAGCCGGGTTTCGACAAGCCTAGCCGCGACATCGTCATCTAGAAGTCTCAAATCATGCTGGCTAGCAGCGCTGTAAATGTCTGTGTCGGATGAGATGGACAGGCCAGAGGCGGTGCGCTCCATTTGCGATGAGGTGACATCGGCATCAGCCGGCTCGGGCGTTGGCGATGTTTGCTCTCGGATCACCAAAAATGACAGGTTCTGAACGGGGATCGATCCCCGCGGCGGACAAGTGAAATCCGTGTCGGAGGTGAAATGTGATAGACGGGCCCTTTTCTGGAAGGGCATTTCGTCGTGTGCGTACTGGTAGTTGCCGTCGTAGATGTCGCGCTCACCGGCGTGACCAATCCTCCTTTTGCCACCCACAACATAGGGATCGGGATTGAGGGTGTGGCCCTCGCCTTGGGATAGTGGCCTTGCCTCCCCGCCGACCACCCAAAACGCCATCGAACATGCTTGAAATATTGCAAAATGGGAGAAAAGGGCGAAGTAGGTGGGAAAGGGCGAGTCTCGGTAGGTCGGGGTAAGGTGAAGTACGGCAGGCCGGGGGGTGCTCAAGGTGATATACAGGCGACCAATGTTGGTCTGGTGTCATGTGCACCGGAACCGCATTAAAGAGGCCGGTGGAGAAGGATGCCCGGCGCCGGCGGCTGGAGGTTACGTACGGCAACTAACGAGGAATGGATGGCTCGGGAAGACCTTGTAAAAGAAACGAAACAAAAGGCTCAGTTTCGAGGTATCCGTACCATGAAGTGAGGCGAGGAGCAGGTCGATTTTTTTGAGCCAGTCTGTTCTGCTGGACAGACATAGTTGCATGGAGAGACCCAGCTCAGACAGGACAGCGTTGCATGGCCCTTCTAGGCCCCCCCTTGGCTTGCTCATCTGCAGAATCCCAACCAGCGGGACGAGGGCGACTCGAAGGAACGGAGAGGTTTGGGTGGACGGCAGCCGGGCAGCGGACACCGTCGTACGAGCGGTGTGAGGGAGCTAAGACGGATATGCGTGTGCGGCGTTGCGCATTGCAGATTTAGTGCGAGGTCCATCGCTGCCTTGCCCCCGACCAGTGCAAGGAACGTGGCGTTTCCAGGCGGGTTGGCGTTAGAACTCGATGAACCTAAGCTCCAGACTTCCCAACCTTGTCCTGCACCGAGCGCTGCCAATGCACGCCTCAACTGACTGGAAAATGGTGCTTGCCAGGCGAGACATTGATAGTGCGTGCATGCATTTGATAATACAGCAGGGTAAGGTTATGCCGCTGTCTCGAGTTGTGTGCGGCGATAGAGAGTCAGCTCAACTGCCTCTCTATTCGTAGTCCATTCTCACCCACGGCGTCTGAGGGTGTGGATGTGTGTGTTGCTCTCCAGGTGCGTGTCTCTATCCGTAGCCGCCAAATAATGGGAATTGCAAGTCCGCCCCAAGTCGATGGTTCGCCGACTGCACACGGGATTGGAAGAAAGATCCACGTCAAGGCATGCGAGGGCGGTGGGGTTCGTGGCAGGTGGGCGAAACCGTCGGGGGAGGAGGCGAAAAGGTCGAGGGAGCGGCCGTGTTCAACAAGATCTGAATTCGGCAAAGGGGTTGGAATTTTGCCGCCCATGATTGGTTCTGCACCTTCGGCCGCAGTCTATGATTGGTTGCCTCATCTCCGTGCGTCTGTCCCTTCTTCGTCGACTCTGGTCGCCTCCTTTAATGAGGCTTTCCAAGTTCCAACTCTCGGGTTTTCAAGAGATTGCCATCCACTGAAGCCAACGCCCAGCCGCTTCGTTGCTGTCGCTGACTTGCCAACTTGTCCATCGTCCATGACGGCTCGGCGAGACCCACAGGACATTCTCCGATGCAAGCCCAGTCGGAGAGCAAGGGCGAACGTGACCGGGAAGCTGACTCCTGCACCTCGTCAAGTCGGGCCTGTGGACTGCATTCAGACAACACTCCTTGCCTGCGCCGCGCTGCTATGCTATGCGATGTGTTTGCGATGCACCAAGGATTCCGTCTTATTGTTGTTGATGCAGCGAGGGACAAAACAGCGACTATCCAAGAAACGAGGGTCCAGTTGAATGACAGCGGCATTTCCTGGTGCATAAGTGACACTGGGGGACGAAACAATGCTTTTCGCCCTGTCCTCGTCAGGGATGGGTCCCAGTTGTCGAAATCGGTGCCGATCTTTGCTGTCTCAGCCGGTATTTTTCAGGATCTTGCTTGCTCGCCTCCCCATGTTGTTCTCTAAGCAAATGTCCAAGTCCAACCGAAGGGCGATGTAATCTCACAATGCTGACTTGTGAGGCCCGCAACACATTGACTGCTTGCGCCTGTCAATCATGATTGTTCGGTCTTTTACGGATAGGCTCGGACGAGACGAGCACAGACTGCGGGCAGCCCGAACTCTATCTGCTTGACTCTCCTTTGCAGCTTCGACGAGACTCCAAGAGACCTATATCCCGACTTCCCCTCATGATAGAAGTGGAGAAATTGGAGCTCTTCGTCACTTCGGGGGATGATGCTGTGATGCCGTCCCAAGATCATTAACTCGATGAGGAGGCATGTTTCGTCTGCCGTCGATCGGTTGCGCGCTAGCAGCTCGATTTCCACGATAAATAGAATTAACGACGTAATCCGCCAAGGTGAAGTTCATGTGCTGCAAGCTTGCACTGATGATCGTGAATTGGACGTCGAAGGCCTCAAAATGGGAGATGATGGACGGAGGGATACCAAGGTCTCGGGTGAGGCGTTGCCGAGACACTCGGCGGACCCTGTCGGACCCTGAGAATGTTGCGGCGCTCAGCTCGTCGCAGATCCTGGAATAGCTTCATCGCCGCCAAGACGTGTGAGTTGGTGGTAGTGTATTCGGCCCAGACATGCCGACACACGGATGATGGTCATGGGAGAATGGCCATTTGGAGGCCGGCTTGCCTTGTCAGAAGAAGGAAGTGCCACAGGGTTCATCGCCAGGGAGGTGCTCCTGGATGGCACATTCTTATCTCTTATCGCTATCACCTATCGCCGTCTGACGACTAACGTTTTTTGGGTCTACCTAGACTTCGATAAATAAGTGGGTCCATGAACAGCTCCGTCGTGCCTGCTCTGTCTAACGACACCTCGTTCCTTCCTCACAAGCTTTGGTGATAATTTGCGTTGCCCTCGCAACAGAAATATGGAGTTTTGCATGGGGTTTTACAATCGAGCCCTCCAGTCTACGGGTACCTTCTACCTCTTATGTTTATTCATATTCATAGATAGCTCTTTCCCTCCGTCAAAGAGCGGTCAAAAGTACCCTCACCAATGGAAACTGTGCACTTTAAGTCGGGGCTGGGGCTCACTTTCGTCTTCGACTTATCTTTGCCTACCTAAGCACCAATGGGAAACATCCCACATGCAGACATTCCGGGGCTCTCGGTGCATTTAAAAACCTATTTCTTCTTCTGAACTTCTTGTGCAATATCCCGCATCGGCGCTTCCCTTTCCGTCCATCGATTCCATTCTTCAGACGCCAACAGAAGATACGTTCGAGACCGATGACTGTCCAGGTCGGCGATGCAAGTCGAAACGTTCATTACTTTCATGTTGCCAAATCTCTCACCATGCTATTTCTATACAGACTCTGCTTGAACCTACCTAGGTGGACACACAAGAAAGTCGGATAAGCTACACTTGTAGTCTAAAACAAAAGTCCATACAGGTTCTCCTTGTAAGATGTGCCATAGGCATCAAGGCCAATCCATATTGGGGCGAAGGATACATATAAGCCAAACAGAAAAGCCTGTAATAGTTTACTTCAAGCTGTCTATATCTAAAGAGCAAAAGCCTCATCCTACAATTGACAAAATAGACCAAAGCCGTGGCCTCGATGGGCAGCTTATAGCCGGAAGTCAGTGGAGCCCACGGCCTACCACTTGGGTCATGTTGATATCTCGAGGCTGGCATGAAGTCTGCCCGGTTGCGCGACCAACTTGCACCGCGTCGAAGGGTCCTTCACTTTTTGGTCAACTTCACATGACAGCGCGTTGCCAGATATTTCTCCCGCACAACAGCAACCGTTTTGTCCGCTGGGCCTGGATCCTTCCCCTCCTTCCCAATCCTTTCCAACCCTTCTCATCAATATTCCTCCCAGACACAACATCTCCCCCCCCCCGTCGTTCTTCCCTCTCGCAATTGAATACTTGCTGCTCAAGAGCTACCTTTTTGATTGTCTCTTGAAAGAATCTATACCTTTCCTCCTAGGAGACGCACCTTTTCAACATTCTATCCGCGGCACTCACAAGCACCAATCAGCACCTTTTGCTCGCTTGTTCGACTCACTGAGCCAATTGAGCCTTGCTTGGAGATCTCGCATAATCCAAGCACGAACAAGTTCTTTGGTGCGCTGAGGTCTTTACGACAGTTTTTCGGATTCCCCAGAGTTTTTTTGGAAGCTTTGCCGGAAGATCTGCCTTGGGCTTCGAGTTTGTATCGTCACTTTTGTGTATTCGCTTTTCTTCACCTTCAGCCTTGGCGATAGTGGGATATCTGGAACTCATTCCATTATTATCCTAAGCGCTTCCTTCATCTTCCTGAGCTTTGGACTTCATTACAACTTCACACAAGCAACAAGGTTGCTCACGAGTCAAACATTCTTCAACAGCAGCTGTGGTTATCCCAGATCATCGACTTTGTGCAGACACACCTGCTACGTCATTCGCCCTTTTCAACCTTGCTTCAAACAAATTGTATCTCTTTCAACAAAGCAAGATCTAGTACTTGCAGAGATGTCGGGAAACCAAGGAATCAAAGAGGTGAGAATTCTTTGTTGCTCTTGAATTTTGAAGTGCACCAAGCTGACCTTGTCCAGCGACCTTCCAAGCGGTCCCTTACCCCCAACAGACCCCTCTACGACTCGCTTAACGAAGCTCATCGACATATTGCTCCCCCGACTCCTAAGATCCCCATCGAATTCGATGGACAGCTTGATGATGAGGAAAAGCTCACTCAGGAGCAAGTCGAAAACATTTTGAGTGCCTCCAACGAATCCCCTAGTCAGCCTCACGAGTTTACGAGTCAAAAGGCATCGGAGAGTCCACAGCTACCCATTGCGACTGACATATCTGGCTCCCAGACAGAGTTCAACCAGCCAACCTCTACTTCTGCTGTTAACCCTGAGACTGAGACGACTGCCCATGGCCCTCGTGGTTCTCCCTCTCAGTGCTTGTCAGATGATGATAACGCCTTCGTCGACAGTTCAGAATCGTCCTTCCAGGAATCCCAAGAGCAACCTTACCAACAGGATCATATCAATGATCCTTTCGACAGCCAGCATGCGGCCGCTGATTATCCAGACGCTTCCTCCTTCTATCCAGAGGATGGTGCCGACTACAGTCTGGCTTCCACCGACGAAGGTTCCATGGACAAGGTCAAGATTGAGCCAAATTCTTCACCTGCTCTGGCTTCATCCCCTGTCCTCTCCCCGCCGGCTGCATCGAGTTCTTCACGACACACACAGCAAGTGCCCCAGTCTCCTCATATTGACGACGTAGTCAAGAAGGAGCCTGCTTCTGGTTACTTTGACACTACTCATCTTTCTGGCCTGAACGGAACTCAGTACCCCATCTTTCTTGATCACGACGCCTTACAACCCGGCAATAACAGGAATCACTACCCTATCTTCATTGACCGCGGTGCTCTGCCCCCTCCACCAATTCCTGCTGACCAGCCTGTTCCCACAATTGAGCAAGCAACTCAGTCTGAGTCTGAGGCTTCTGACAATCAGATTACCAGCCAGGACAAAGGCAAGGCTCCAGTAAAGCTGTTGAACCCATTTCATGCTTTCTCCAATGCGTCATCCCATGCTTCGGATCACAATGTCGAGCAGTCTGAGCCTGACAAGGAGAAGATCTTTCTGCGCCCCCACGCTGAGAAGGAAGTTTCTCGTGCTCTTCATCATGTTACTGGACTCAGCCAGCCATCCAGTGGTCTTATTGGCCGTGTTCGTCCTTCTCACCTTCAGAGTTCACGTCAGTCACCGTATCACAGCCACTCTGGTCAGCAAAAGAACGACTTTTACCATGCACCCGCTATCCAACCTGACTGGCAGATCACCCAATCTGGTATCAAAGTTCCGGTTCCTACGTCGCTCACTGTAGACGAGATTGGCATGCAAGCAACAGAACCATACAACGCCATCGACAATACGCGCATGGCTACAATTGCCTCAGAAGATGCAGAGGAGCGTACCGGCTTAGAGGGAGATGAGGATTGGCGAACTGTCACCGATGACTGCGAACTCCCTACTGGCTTTGTGGGCCGAGTCATTACTGGCAGCAGTATTGCCAACGTCTCAGATGCACTTCTAGTACAACAGCAACAACAGCGTCCTGTCGCTCGCCCCACGGCTCACAACAAAGGCCGCATGCCCACTACCGCCCCAGCCCGATCCCGAGCATGGTGGGAGAAGTCTACCCCTTTACCGTCGATCCCATCCCGCTCCGCTTCTCCTTCATTCCCATCTCCTCCTGGTCGTGCACTGCAGCATAGACAGAGAAGGCAAGATGGCTGGGAAGAGATTGAGCTAGACCCCATGCCAGCTCCCTACAGAGACTTCTCGTGGGATCGTGTGCGTAATGATCGAGCACAACAGACTGAAGAGGCAGTACAGACCAGCCACGCCCACAACGAGTACGCCAACCTCCCATTTCCCTTGGTTCCCCGTGAGGATGCAGCCAGGCTTCAAGCTTTCCGTCGTGCCAGTGGCCTTGAGGACCACACCCTTTCAGGTCATATCGTCTCTCCTGGCTTGGCCTCTTCCTCCCACGGCAGTAGCCACGTGTACCCTCGACCCGCCTTGAGACAGAAGTCAGCCAGATCGTTCTTTTCCCGGACTGAGAACCCAGGCTTCAATCGCCGCAACATCTACATAGGTATGTCTCCGTATTTCCCTGCCCTTATGCCCTTTATTCCTCTATATAAAGCCCTACCCTCTCCTCGCCCTTGGTTGATTTCTTCCCCTTCCTTTCCCACAAACAACACGCTCCAAATCACAAATTTTGGGTTGGTCACCCACCACAACAACCAAAATACCACGCTTCAAACCTTCCCCTTCCTCCCATCCACATTCCGTTCGAATCCCGTTCGAAACAAGTTCCAATTTACTTGGGGGGACAAACCCCCTGCTCCAAGCAAGTCTTTTACGTTTATTCAGGTTGAAGAACTCATGGACTAACCTTGCTTCCTTCCAGATCGCCAGCAAACTCCATTTGGGCAGCCGGCCCGCGAGTACTTCCCAACCCAGTACTCGTCGGTGTCGCGCCCCCAAACCGATCAGACGAGGGATGGCAGGGTCTCCACCCCCAGCAAGATGGCAACAATCAGCCACCAAGCTGCGGCGGAGGCCCTCGCCATCGACCAGTCAGCGGGCCGGAGTACCTCTCCCCACCTCTACTCCTCAGAGGTGATGGAGAGGTACCGTGCTCTCCAGGCCGTCCGCCAACTCGGCGGTCTGGGCACGGATACCGAGCTCGCGGACATGGCGGCGACCGTAAGAGACCAATCTCTCTCAGAGAGTGCGGTCCGCCGTCGGGCGGTCTTCTACTACGCGGTGATGGGGGCAACCCTGTTGCTGCCGTTCGTGGGGGCCGTCACCCTCGTCTGGTCGTGGGATCGGGTGTTGGCGGGCCTCACCCGCAGAGAGTGCACCGGCCTCTCCTTCCACCAAAGACGCAACCTGCGCATCATGCTGCTTGTCGGCATGGGCGTGTGGGTTGCGGCTTTCGTGGCGGGATTGGTCGCGTTCCTCTCTCTGCGCGGTTGAGCGCCCAAGTTCTCCCGTTTCTTTTGTTCAAGTATGTGAGCCCACCCTCCCTCAACTTCCCCTCCTCTAGACTGTGTACTAATTTGAATAGTAGATCACGATGTCATGATTACTCGTGGGGTCCCTGCCTGCGGGCACACCCAGTTGCGCCAACGTTTTTTGCGGTTCGGTTTTGTTTTCTTGGTTCGGTGGAGAGAGGAGGGTTGGAGGTGGAGGAGGCGGTGATGGTGGGCGGCGGCGGCCGGGTTTTGTCACGTTTGGGGCTGTGGCCTCTTGGGGAGGGGAGAAAACGACCACAACCTCACAACCTCACAACCTTACAGCCTCACAGTACTACTCATAAAGAAAAGCGTCGATCCCGTATCTCGTTTGCCACCGTTCGTGATACATCTGCGAGGGAATAGCCGCATGAACGCGCGGAATCCCGACTAGTGGACTGGGCACAGCGGCAAGTCGAGCCATCAGCCGTGGGTAACGACTGATTAGATGGAGGCTTTGGGCGTCATGTTGGCAACCCTCGACCAGACTCCAAGGCTGGACGATGAAAAGCGACTCTCTAGCAGATCACAGCGTAAGGGGGTAGGAACCTGCTAGACAGCTATGAGTCAACGCTGCGTTTTGGTTTCCTCCCCGAGTGAGAAATGAAAGCCCTACATAGGTTTCTCATCACGGAGTTACCCAATGAGAATTCAGTCACTCCATTGAGCCAGTTCTGGCCGCACCAGGTTGAACAAGGAAGCTTGTGCCTTGCTCAATCCAGCCGGCTGGGCGAGGCCGCAGCAACCTCGCATGTCGGGGGATCGCCCACGACATGGAAAACACAGGGTCAAGGTTGTAAACGAGATTACCTGTCACCAAGAATGCACACTACGGAACGAAATCTAGAATGTGCTCACTGTAGTATAGAAGAAAAAGCTTGGTATCTAAACGCCCTAGTCCCTCTCGAGCAGAAATGTTTACCCTCCTCGAGGTCCTGCACACGCTCAACCGCGGCGGCGCGTGCTGGGACCCTTCTTGGCCGTGGGTGTAGAAGTGGCCGAGGAGGAGCCGGTGGAAGGAGTAGCAGAAATTGGGACTTTCTGCTTCCCCTTGGCCTTCTTGGAGGGCGCGTTCCAGTAGTACGCCATTTGGGAAGCGAGGACGGCGTTGAGTAGGAACCCGGCAATGAAGTTGTACAGGATGAGCTTGTCGTCGACCTCCTGGAGGGTGGTGAAGATGCGGGACAGGGAGCCGGCGAGGTAGTTGAAGACCTTGGTATAACTGTCAGTGCCTGGACGTTTCAAGGCTTGAATGTGGGTGGGGGAAGGGTAGCGACTTACAGCAAAGGCACTGAGCTGCCCGGTGCCGCCCTCGGACCAAATCGCCAAGATCTGGGGAACCTTGCTCGCGACGCTCAAGACACCCGCGCCGGCCTGCAAGTATCCCAAGGTCTGCATATCGACAAAACTTCCCGCAAAGAGCGTACCCAAGGCCACTGCCACCGCCGTCACAAACACGGCCGCCAAGCTCGCGCGTCCCGTGTAGTTGAGCACCAGGACAGTAATGATGACGTTCTGGCCCATAATGAGCGCCGTCTCGCCGTAGGTGCTAAAGGGGAACTGGTTGCGGTAGTTGTAGGCCAGCGACACGAGGTACGAGGCCGTCTCGAGGAGGTACGACAGAACGGATATGCCCTCGCCCGACTGCGACGAGGTGAGCTTGCGGATCTGCGGCAGCTTGACGATGCTCGAGACGCCGATGATGCCGAGGCCGATGCCCTTGGACAGGCCAAGCTTGATGCAGTCTACATCCTCGACGTTAATGTCCAGCAGGAGGGACTTGTAGCAGTGCTCGCCGATGATGGAGACACCGAGATCGCGGATCGGGGCCGGGAGGTTGTGGGTGATGGGTTGGAGAGCAGAGCGGACGGCGTCCATGGTTGCGCTGGATGTCTGGCGACGTGGATCACGACAGAAGCTCGTTTTGATATTGAGGAGTCCCGCGCCCTCGGGAATTGCGTCGTCGGAATACGGATATATATAGAGAGTTGCGACAGGTCCACTCGGGGCAGAGTAGTGAAGGGGGAAAAAAAGTCAGCGGATGTTGAGGGCCACCCGGCGGACACGTTGAAAGAAGGGTTGAGGTCACTGGGAACCCTGAGATTGAGGCAAGGTGGCAGTGAATTAACCCAGTCGGAGAATTTCAAGTGGGGAGCTTAGCTGCAGGAGCTGACCAATCTTGAGTCTGCGAAGTCCCACCTTAGCTACACCACCCCACGTCATCCCTACCATACAGCACTGTCCGTCGAACTCCCGTTGAGACGCGAATAGACCATTTTCAATTCGCTATCTGAACCAACTCGCGATACGGTGATTGGCTTTGACTGTAAATAGTCATCTTGACACCCGTTGAAAAGCTCTGCATCAGCCAACCTTCTACCCATTGAACGCCTTGAAACCGTGAAACTATGAAATCTTGAAACCAATGCAACCCGAAATGCCGATAGACATGAACGACGCCCCTTAACAGACCGCATTCTCCCAACTTTGACGGGAACCCTCATGCCTTCTTTCCCTTCTTCCCATTATGAGAGGCGTTGAACCTCTTGATTAGAGAAGCGCAGTTGCCTAGGTTTTCCTTAGGCTCCCAGGTGTTCTTGTTCGAAGCATACCCCTTCCACTTCACCATATACATCTGCATCTTGGTCACCGGGTCGATGCGCGCACCAACAATCTTCTCAACGGCGTAAAACTCCTTGGAATAAACAGGAGAACTCGAGCGGCCCTTCGCGGGGACCTTCTTAATAGCCTTCTTGGGGCGAGCAACGCCTCGGCCGTGAGTAGTTGCGGCCCATCATTCTGTTAGCCTCACCACTATCTAAAGGACAGGGCGGTTGCAAGTACCTTCTTCGCCGGAATGGCCTTCTCTGTGGCAGCGCCACGAGTAGATCGACGTAAGCAAGGGCCTGTGGCTAACGAATCACCGAGTTAGTCGGTGTTGCCTTTTGATAAAAAGCACGGAAAGACGAGAAGAATTGCGCTGGCTTCGTTCACGCCTGGACTTGCCTTTGGTGGTTGATCCAGCCGGTACCGGGGGTTTGGCGTTGGTTGAGACAGTATCATGAGTCTTTCTGGGACGACCGCGTCTCCTAGGAACTTGAGCCGGCTTGGGGAAGACATCGTCTCTCTCAGTATCGCTAGTACCGTGATCCTCGGGACCACTCTCACCATTGGGGATGGAGGTACCGAGGGGAAGCATTTGCGCGGCAGGCGCGACTCCCGTGGAGTTACCGGACTTGGTAGTATTCCGGCCGATTGGTGAAGTAGACCCAGGTGTGACATACTGAGATGACGACTGGTTCTCGAGCGAGGTTAGGGCAGTCTGAGAGGGCTCCTTCAGAGCTTCTTGAACCTCGGCCTGCTTGCGCTTTTTGGCAGCCTTGTTCGTGGCTGGTTGACTGGGTTGGCGCTTTCTGCCGACCATCTTTTCAGAACCACCGGGAGGCTCGACTAAGTCAGACTCAATCTTCAGAATTCTTTCCTCCTCGTTCTCGTCCTCAGGACCATTAGCCTTGCTTTTGAGGCTGTTAGCGTTACCGGGTAAACAACCGACACGTCGATGACTTACGTTGCAGCCGAGGAGGCAGCAAGCTCATTTTGTGTCATCGCGTGCTCCCGGCCTTTGAACACGAGCGGCGCGGACATTGTGAATGGCGATAATTATGATGATATTCTTGACGAAGATGTGGCAAAATGATTGAAGGTGTAGAGAAGCGAGCTGAAAAAGCTCAGTTTGGTGACAAAAGCTGGTGTACCTTACCTTGATATGGGGTAGGTAGGAATTGTGATGGAAAGCGGAAGAAATTCCAATCCGGTTCGAGATTTTGTCGCGCTTGGTTTTGAGTAGAGGTTCCTGGGTCGAAAAAGCCGTCTGAGGAAAGAGCCTCAATAGCTTGAGGAAGGAACAGAGGTCAGAAGCAAGTGGAGGAATCATATAGAGAAAGAGGGCAGTTGCTAAGGAATGAGCCTTACAAGGTTAATTTGGTGTAAGAAGATTGCCTGCCTACCACCTGAGCCTACCTAAGCTAAGATAAGTAGGTAAGGTAAGGTAAGGAAGGCAGTTAAGTAAAGTAAGGGACCTTATGTTAAGCTGAAAAAGTTGCCTTAGTAGGTGTTTGAGCTAGTTTTTAAATCGCAAAATTGGATTCACCAAGTGAAAGATGCGCCCGAATAGCCAAGGTGAGGCGGTAGGTTGGGTAGGCAGGTATCTCAAACTCTACACGATCTCGCTCGCACTTACCTTAACTACCTAATTACTTCAGCCTTGTATTTTGAGGGCTAAGACAATCAAGCACGTACCGGAACTGTATGCGCCTGATCAGGGCGAACCGTCTGTTTACACAAGGCACCTTACCTGCTATGCAAAAAGGGGATGCAAGGGCGAAGAAGGAGTCAATTGGATAAAGAAAGCCGCTTGGAGTGGACTTGTGAGAATTAGACTGAGCACGAGTGGCTGTTTACGACTTATTGCGCTGTTCTCAACAAACACGAGGGGGTGTACTAGCCTACTTTACCTCGGTCCTGAAAACTTGAGATTAAGGACGGTTCGTGGGCTTGTCAGTCAAAGACCTTACATTAAGCGGCTTGTATTTTGATAATGCCTGAGGCCTATTGAGATGGAGGACGACCTAACACGCTTAAGGTAGTAAGGAATAGAAGTCATCAACAGAATCGGAAGGGTAGAAATCAGAATCTTCACTGAAACGCGAACGCTGAATCTGGACACACGAATCTTAGTAAGGTGGTCAATAATTACTCCAACGCCTAGTGCATGTTCGTTCCTCTGCGACGGTGTCCTACCCGCCCATATGCTATGCTTCATCTTAATCATCAAGCTCCTCCACACGTTTATCTCCAAAGTCATGAAGTTGTCCTGACCTTGCCGCCTGCTCCACAGGGTTTTGGATATCAACGATGCCTGTCTTCTTAAGCCTGATAGTTCGTTAGCATACATTCTAGTTGCGAAGTAAACGCCATCTTACCTCTCAAACAGGACGAATAGTCTCTCTGCCTCCCTCTCTTTTTCTTCTTCTGTCATTTCCGGAACATTCACGTTTTTCTCTGAGTCAATGAATTGTCCTGTGATGGGGTTGACAGGCCGTTGTTCCTCGCCTGTGCTGAACGCTTCTGCAGCACTGGCAGGGATCGGGATGTTTTTCTGGAATAGGAAACCCGAGGCGAAGCCGTAACCGACATTCTCAACAAACTTCGAAGCATCCTGGTCTGACAAGTCGAAGAGGAGATATGAGATGGCCTCGCGAAAATGAGGTGTCAGTGGATTCGTTGAGTTGCGTAACAACCGCGATGTCAGTGAAGTACCGCGGCCAAGCACCTCCTTTCTATCTTGCTCGGTGGGCAGAAGAGTCTCTCTGATGGACTTCTTGACATCGCTAGGGGCGCCGTCGTGCACGCGCCGTAAGACACCAATTAGCGGCGTAACCAGCTGCTCTAGCTCATTGTCGGGATATGCCTTTAGTGCCGGGTCCAGAATCTCGATCAAGCGATCTGCCACCTTCGTGGGCTCACTCTTGGGGTAAAGAGACCCCTGGACATCCTTGTCCTCCAGCTTGAGATCCAGCAAGGCGTTGACAAGAGCGTTGAACGGCGGGTCCAGCGGCTTGTTAGAGGGAATGTCATGCTTCCAGAGCAGCGCAATGATGTGCGGGATGCCGCCTGTAAATGCGTCCACTTCCGAGGGGCAGAAATGCGACACGTTGAAAAGCAGCTTCAGAGTCTCGTTGAGAGCCATGTCCTCCATCGGATCGGCTGACACATGGGTCTGATGGCTCCCCAAGCGCTTGGCGTGCTTGGAAAGATTCTCAACCACAGTCTCGGCCAAGCGGTGTTTCTGAATCAGGGACAGCAGATCGATTTTGGTTCCGTATGTGGTGAGGAACAGAACTCTCGAGACAAGAAACTCATCGTCGAAGCTGTCATTCCTCAGTCTCTTGCAAGCGTGGTCCTCGTAGCCGAGATCGACAAATGTTTGGCGAGCTTTGGGATTCAATAGCATGGTGTTGGCTAGAACCCTCAGTGCTGCCCTGGCTGTGGAATTCGACGGGCTGTTAAAGGCATGCTTTGTGAGAATCTCGATACCCTTTACTGTGTCAGTTTCAACAAGACTCGATGAAGGCAGACGAAATGACCTCTTGTGTGAAGATAGGATCAGCGTTGGTGGGGTCCCGCCCATAGATCTTCAGTTCCTCGAGAGCAGCGTCACGTTCTCAGATAGCAAATTAGCTGTGCGACCGACGCAGGCATTGGGCAGTTGATTAAGCTTACGGTGAGGGAGCAAGGTGGGCTTCTTCAGGTCTTCACCTAATTTACTCATGAGACTAGTGACGGCCTCAAGTTTTGCTGGAGATTCATCAGTCACACAGCTTCATGACCCGGACGAGTCGGGGACCTACCAGGGCCGGCGAGGCTGGCCTGCATGACGAGGGGTTGTGACATGGTGCGGCGGGCAGAGCTGATCTTGTAGTCAGGATCGGCAACGCAGCGGAGCTTGGGCGAGCCCGGCCGAGAAAAGCTAGGGGCACTTGATTTGCGGCAGACACTACGTTCCTTGACGCTCAGCATTCTCTTCAATTTAGACGCCATGATGGGCAGAACACACACAGACAGAAATGAGAGGCAAGGACGAGATTGAATTACCTATGGGACAACTAGAAGGAGGAGGATCACTTCCTGCAGTGGCGAGAAAAGGATGTGCGGTTCAACGGATGTGATTGTGGCACTCGATCTCGAATTCAAGTGGCTTGATATCTGACCGACCTTGATGATTTCGGCCTAGGTTCTGTCCTGCATCGACCACGAAGTTGTAAATCTGTCGAGCCTCGGCTTTGTCGGTGATGTAAACTTTCGAACTCCCGGTTGAGCTTGTGAGTCGTATGCACAAGAGATATTGTTAATTCCTTGGTGTTGTCATTCGTTGAAGTGAAGATGTGGCTGGGACGGAACGGAGACATGTCTTCTGAGAAAGGGGACAGCAGCAATCCTTCCCTCCACCGTCGTTACACAAGAAGAGGGGCGCATGGTGGCCGCCAGGCAGTTGACAGTTGACGCGAGCTCACAGCCCGTGCGCTACTAGGTATGCAAGCCACACCTGTGTCAGCTTAGCTAAGCATTCCACTCAGAGCTGTGGAGCACACTGCACTGTTGCTGGGGTGCGTGGGTGCGGAACATTTTGGCGGGCAGCTTCAGGGTGCGGTGGAACAGTAAAAGCTAGTGGGTGCGATTCATTCCACTGCCCCACGCGGCGTCGGTCGGCAGCCCAACCCCCAGGCAACCAGGTAACACAATGACCGGGATACACGAGAAGCACGGACCAGATGCTTAAGTGGTTTTCGCGCTCAACTCGCGTTTTTACGTGCGATCGTCGACGTGTTTAAGCATCGTCGAGCGCTAGCCAATTAACCAGCCCGCTCCACCCTTATATCGAGAGAAGACGGTCGTGCAGCGAAAAGTCGTGTATTTGCGCGAACTTGGTGCCTCATCTAACAACCCCGACCCCGTGTCACAGCCGCATACGGCTTTGCTCCTTCGCCCGTCTCCATACCTCACTTTCGTTCCCGCCGGAAAGCCCACCTCCTCACTCTTCCATTTGCATAGAGGGCGAGATTTGTACATTGCCTTTGGTTTTACGCATCGTCATTTCCCTCGTTCCCCCTGGCAGGAGTCCGACGCACTTATGCGCCAGTCGACATAGAGCAGAGCTTGCCGGAGTCCGGTATCCCCTTCCCACTCGACGGGAACCTCTCCGCAACCATGGGATCTGTTGAAGTTGTCTCGAGCCGACTAGAGTCGTTACCCCCTCGCCCACCGACACCACCTCGCGAGACCAGCCTAGCTGCTGATGCCACCGCCTCGAAGCATCTCCTCGCCCTCCCTCCCTCCTCAGACCCTCGATCAAGTCTCCAGACTCCACCGAGTGTATACTCACCACTTTCCGGAGCCGACTCCACGAATCCGAGTGTACGCAGAGCAAGGAAACGAGTGGGCTTTTCTGCTCAGGCACAATACAACGAAGCCCCCAACTACCCAGGCGTGGCCGTCGCTGGCAACCGATCACCCTTATCGGCCACGTCGTCGACCCAGCCCAAACCCGTCAAGGGCATCCTCAAACAAACTTCTTCACCGAGCCCCCTTAGCTCAAGCGTCAAACCAGACAGCTTGACGACATCAGCGAACATCTCAGACATGTTGGAGTCAACGGTGAAGCAGCTCGCCGGCACAGACAGGGACTCGAAGCGAGATGCCTACACTACATTGGTGATGACGTTGAAGACGTCCAACAACCTCCCGGACCGAATCGCCTTGCAGTCCAAAATGGGACTTTTTGTGCAATTCATCCAGCGAGACATCACTTCGAAGAATACTGCCAATGGAGGACCAGATGCGCCCCTTGTCAACAACGCTCTTGCTCTTCTCGCTACTTTTCTGCATTTCCCCGCCATTGCCTCAACGATACCCAGCGATTTCGGCGTTTTCTTCATAGATTATTGCATTCGATCCTTCGAGGACCCAACAACACCCAAGGATGTTGCTCGGCATCTGATGCAAGCTGTCGCTACGCAGGACTTCTCCCCGAAGATCATGACCCCGGATCGCGTCCGCCGTTTGATCAATGCCCTTCGCAACATCGAAGACAACCTCAAGGGAAAGAGCATTGTCATGTCTCGAATTCTCATCTACAAACGCCTGGTCCAACAGGCACGACAGTTGATGGTGCTTCACTCTGATTGGCTGAATGACCTTTTCACAGACATGTTGAGCAGGGTCAAAGAACTGCGATCTGCTGCGATATCTCTGGGTCTAGAAGCCGTCTACGCGTTTGGAAAGGAAAAGTCGTTGTCCCGCAAGGTGATGGAGCTCTTCGATACATCCATTGAAGAGATGAAGTTCGCAGAGTATTACCACCAGCAACTTCGAACAATGGCCAAGGAGAAGGACGACAAGCAACTCACTGCGGCTGTCCCCAAGATCTGGAGCGTCATAGTCGGTTTCCTACGCTGTCCTCTCGAGCGATGGCAGTTTTTCAACCAGTGGCTGCAGCTCATTCAGATGGGTTTCAACAACAGTGATCACCTCCAAACCAAGCAGGAGGCGAATTTTGCCTGGAACCGCTTCGTCTGGTCTATGCATACCGAAGGCCAATCTTTCGGCAAGCTTCTCCCGATACTTTACCAACCCCTCAGCAGCCAATTGAAGTCAAAGTACACAAACAAACACACCCGAGAGGTGGTTTTCGGCAGCGTGTGCAACCTCCTTTACTACACCTTCAAGCCTGGTACGAATACTGCTCTTCTCGACAGCTACTGGGACATTTGCGTGAAACCCTTGACAGAGCCACCAAAAGCGCAAGCAAGGAACCCTGACGCTGTTGACGAGCATATGCGACAGATAACACTAATCCTCACCGGTCTTTTCGACTCGACAACACCTCGGATATGGAGGGAAGAGCGCATTAGAGAGACGACTCTTGCCCGGCCCCACGAACTCCCAGCTATCGATCCCAAGTGGCTCCGACGCAATGCTGCTCGTGTGTTCCAGACTTTGGAGCCCATCATGGAAAGACACTTCTTCGAGCTCTCAGATAAGAACAGTCACATCCATCGCTTGTGGCGCACCTTGGTCGGAGCCGTTGTCTCGGCCGCCTCCAAGGAGATCAAAGTTTCCATCGACACCGCGGCTTTCATTTCCCAGATCTGCGGCCTTTTGCTAAAGCATTGGGAGAATGGCTTGACCAAGATTGAAGATCCAACCCCTGAGATGGCGACTAGGTTCCTGGACAGCGCTCGCGAGCTCGTCACAGTTGCTGTGGAAGCTCTGGGTCTACTGCCTTTTACCGAGAAGATGATTTCTCTTAGTCGTCTTAACACCTTTACGCCTGTATCAACGCCGTCCCACAAACCGACAAAGAATGTCGGCGACGCCCGGACTCCACTGCAACATCTCATCGGCTTGGTCTCTAGGCTTCCTCCGGGTATCCCCGATGGAGAAGAGTACGCCGACTTCTTCAAGACATTCGTTGCGCCTTTCTTGGCCCCAAAATCAGCAAACTCTCGATTCGAGCTTGCACAGGAGATGTTATCGGCGACTCCAATTTGGTCGCCGCCGGTCAATCAACCTCCCTACGGACTATGGGTCTTTGCCGCGCAGTGTCTGGCTGCGACCTTTAATTCATCCCAAAACAGCACACAAACTACTAGTTCTACAGGCGAACCTGCCCTCGGTCAGGAGTACCGCACGGTGGTGCGTCTCCTGGAGCGGGGTTGGAAGGAGACTCCTAATCTACCCTGGGAGCGCTGGTGTTCGCTCTTCTTGCTGTTGTCAACCCGCTCTGGTGAGGAGACTGGTGAAGCTGGCCGGGCTTTAGGAGCTGTCGAGCCGCTTGCGAAAGTCATCCGGGAGTCCATTCCTCCCGACCATGCCTCGCCACTACCGGTGAAGACGCTTCTAGCAGCAACTGAGCTTCTTGCCGTTGCTAGTCATCCGTTGGATAGGCAGGCATTGGAAGCTGCTCGACGCCGGCTGTGGGGTACAGCAGTCGCTGGACCCAGATCATCCTCCTTTGATCCGTTCGATAACTTGTACAAATTGACCAACGAGCTGATGGAGCGACTTTATGAGGCCGCTGAGTGTAGAAATATTGACGAATCCTCCACATCTCTCATTAGGGAATGTGGTGCATTCCTGTCTCGCTGCCATCCGGAGCTCGTTTGTAGAGCGGTGTCGAACTTGGAGAGTGGGCTTGCCATGTGGATCCGGGACTCGCAGGGTATTCTGAACGCTCGTCAGAGCCCTGCTGCCTCTGAAGCTGTAAGTAACCATGCTAATGCGAAAATCTACTCCACTGACTAAGAGCAGGTCAAGCATCTCTGGGGAACCATTTCAAACATCATTTTGCCCAGCGGCAAGGCACAAGAGGTCCAGCTCGACACCTTTGAGGAACTTCTCTGCGCTGCCTTTGAGAGCAAGCATCGGCACATTGTCAATTCCGTTGCGGAAGCGTGGAATTCAATCTACGAGGATGCTGAACACATCCAGTACCCTCAACATCTGAAGGCCGTCTTGCTAGCCGCCCAGCCGGTTGTAGACATCGTTTTGCCAGGCTTAACTATTTCCAGCGTGGCCTCCACAGACCAGAATCGTTCGTTCGTCGAATCACAGGACGTCATTGAGATGCTCTCGGTATCCTCGACACGTTCATCTCGTAGCAGGCCTCAGCCGCCAGCTACATCCAACCAATCATCACCTCTTAGCTCTATGAAACTTTCCCTCTCCGCGAAGAAGCAACTCGATGATACTCCTAAGAGAAGCCGTGGTAGGCCCCGGCGTAGCGCAACCAAAGCTCGATTGAGGCATGATGATTCCCAGATTCAATTCGCACCTATTGAGAAGTCTCCTTTGATTCCAGCAGTTAATGACGAGTCTCAAGTTCTCACTGAACGCCAAAGGGAAGTTAGGGAGAGGCAGAAAGATACTGCAGCCCTTTACCCAGAGATGCGTTCCAGCCCTCAACAACAACCGCAGGATATCGAGGATACGTCTACCGCTCCTGAAAAGGGCGTTGAGACCCCCAAGGGCGTTGAGACCCCCAAGGACGTGACACCTAAGCGCAACGCAAGGTACGAGGAGTTTGTCAGCTCCACCCCGACGCCTCGTCGAGGCCAGACATTGGCTATGGCAGATAACGACCAGGAGATGACGGATCCTCCTTCTTCGCCTCCAGAGCCCCGACCCTTCCCTCTGCTACCTCAGATCAAATCCCGATCTAGCAGTCGGAGTGAGCTCGAGGCCTGGCAGTTTAGCTCCTCACCGGTCTCCGGCTCTCCATCTCCCGATGCTGCCGCCATGACTGATGAGCCCCCTGAGCTCAACTTGACCGACGGCGCAACATCTCAGCGTATATCCCAAGAAGGCAGCCCGGATCTGTCAGCAGTAGACGACTCGTTCCAGATTGTTTCCTCAAGTGCCGTGGAGGAGCCGGAGCTGCCACCGCCAGCTGTGGAGACCGCAAAGGAGACACCGCAGTCCGAGCAGTCTCATCAGGATGTCGCAGAATCGTCCGCGGAAACCGTAGCTGACCCTGCACCAACAACTCCCAAGAACAACAGAGTGATTGGTGTGGAAGAAACCAGATCCGGCCAGGAGGTCTTCGTCGACGCCCCTTCAAGCTCGCAGCCCACAGTCCTAACCAGATCCGCGACGCGCGCTGCGGGTATCAAGGACCGCTCCTTTGAGATGAGTGATGGAGACGAAAACAGCATGTTGAGGCTTATTGTCGAGCTCGATCGTAGGCGGTGCGAAATCCCGATCAACGATTACCCCGCTATTTCCCCTCCCAAATCTGATAAGGGTCCCAGAAGCGCTAGAAAGAAGAAGCCCGCTGTGCTTGACTGCATTACAGTCCGAGGAGAAGATGATGATGATGAGGAGGAAGAGGATGAGGAAGATGAAGAAGATGAGCCGGCGGAGCTTGCTCCTTCCCAGGTCGAGACACGAGCCCGTAAGAGCAAGTCCAATTCGCCTGGAAGACCCTCGACTCCTGTAACCCGGTCGTCGGCCTCTTCATCTCCCGATAAGTCAGCCAAGAAGCGGAAGAGGGGCGGCGCTCCCAAGTACGATACCCGTCACAAGAAGAGAAAGTCCACCGACGCCACCGAGATCGTCGAGTCGTCTCAGCTCACCATGTTCCCTGCGCTCGGGGAAGACGCCCCTCGTCGTCGCAGTCAGCGCTCAGCTGTCCATGATACCCCATCGAAACGCTCCGTGGACCTCGAAGCCGAAGTCAACTCCCAACTGGTTAATGAGCAAGAGGAAGCACACTTCCGAGCGAGTCAATCATTCCAGGGGCCTGAGCCGGAGCTGGAGCAAACGATGACGATAGCGCACGCGACGGCAGAAGATTATATGGACGTCGATGCCGCCGGCGTCACTGACGCTGTCGCAGACGCGCACACGGCGCCTGAAGCTCCGGGTGAAGAACCCGCCAAGGATGTCGACATGATTGACTCCCTGACCGGCGTTCTCGCCAGCCTTCGCTCTGCTACGCTGTCACGGGAGGAGGTGTACAAGATGGAGGACATGCTTATGGACATCAAGAGAGAACTCTTCGCCGCCGAGGCCCGTGGGCGAGTCTGAGGGAACTCCTGCTGTTACTGTCACCAACGACCATGGCATGACATTGGAACAAAAAAACCTACTACTCTGCCATAATTCCCTTTTATTTCTTGTTACTGGCCTTGCGAGGGCATGTCAATACTCCTCACCACGCCACGCATACATACATTCACCACGACGATGGGTTTGAAGCCCCATCATGCATTATCGGCGTATATCTTTGGTTTATGAGTTGAGACGAGGGAAAGGAAAGAAAGATAACTTGGTTTTGTTACTATTCTTGTATGGAAACGGACTTGGGAAATTCATGGCATGCCTCTGAACTGAGTTGGGTATGGAAAGAGAGGTGGGAAACGCCATCCTCGACATCATGTATTAGATTGTTGCGAACGCATCTGGAGGTCCATCGCCGCCCAGGATAATGAAGAAAAAGCAAAAGAAATAATGATGAACCATTGAAACGTGTCGTTCACTTTGAGGTGGTGTTTGTTGGTGTGCATATGTGTGTTTGCCGTATCATCGTGATGTATTCAAAAGGGTTGGTTTCCGGGCCTGCTTTCCCTTGTGCGCGCCTGCTTGTTCATGATAACTTTCGGTCTTCTCCACGTTCGGCCGTCTAAATATCCATCTAGCTGACTTGAGAATCATCCACGGTTGAAATGTCCCGGGATTTCTTTTTCAGTACTTGTTTCCCCCCCCTTTCTCATCCTCCTTCGGTCCGGGTTTGAGTTGACAATCCCTCCGCCTCCGATGTGACTAAAATCTCACAGCTTTCCCCTCTTCATCCCCTGGCCTCAGTTCGCCGTGATGACCTGGGCACCCTCAAAAGCGTCGCCGGGCTCCAGCTTCTGCCACTCCTTGACGGCGCCGGGCTCCACGCACAGCATGTTCTTGTAGCCGTCCTTGGGCGCAAAGTCGGCGATGCCCTGCGCCTTCTCGACCCAAGGGTTCCAGACGACAATGTTGTCGAGGTTGTCGCGGACGACGGAGAATATGGGCTTGCCACCCTCGAGGACGGTGACAGGGGCCTTGGGCCCGCCGGTTGGGGTGTAGATGCGATCCGTCTCTTCAGTGATGGCGATCTCACCGGATTGGGTCTTTGACGCGCCGTTATCGACCTTGTCGGTGAAGGCGGCGCCGTCGAGGCCTTGGACCGAGACTTTCGTGATGTCCTGGTTTGTAACAGTATGTTAGCTGAAGGACTTGCAGTAAGTAACTAGGGGCGGTCGAGGACGTACGTTGACACGCAGGTAGGTGTGCATCAGGACCTGGCAGTCGAAGGCCTGCTCGCCCTCGTTTGTAATGACCAAGGACGTCGACAGCGTCTCGCGGTCAAGCGACACGCTGTAGATGGCACCAAACTTGTAACCCCACTTGGCCTGTGTCTCGGCGTCCAGGTTCGCTGAGGATAGGCCAAAGTCGAGCTTGATCGAGGACTCGGAGCCGGCGGAGCCCTCGCTTGTGGACTTGCCGAGGAACTCCCATCGTGAGCTGCGGGCGAAGCCGTGCTGGGAGAGCTTGGCGGTAGGTGGGTGGGCGTCGGAAGGGGGGCCGAAGACGGGGAAGACGAGGGGAATACCGCCACGAACGGGCTTGGAGCCGTCAAAGACGGTGGACTCGGAGAGCCAGAGGCGGTCGGCACCGGTGGCAGATTTCCACGAGAGGACAGTGGCACCGTGGAGGAGGACTTCGATAGACTCGCCGGTGGGGAGGGTCGCGGAGACGCGCGAGTTGGAGTGGGTGATGTCGACGGTGGCCTGGGGAGGGAGGCCGGGCGTGGTGGCCAAGGCGGTGGGCTTGTTGGGCCGGTCGACCATGTTTTCTGATGCTGTCGCGAAGCGAGAGACTCGGCTGGGTGGTTAGAGTGCTTTGGATTTGAAGGAGTTGAGACAGGATTGTTGCTCTGTGTGGAACGAGGCTTTCTATGGCTCTGTTCGCGCGGGGTATAGTCGAGGCGGTTGTTGAGTAAGGAGTATAAGAGGCGTGGAGGATGTTTAGTGACGGGATTGGTGTGAGAGTGAAATACGCAGAAGGTTCTATCCGAGATGGAGAAGAGAGGTTGTAAACCGAAGACGAGCTCGGGCGTAGGTGGAGGTTGGGTACAATGCAGCAAGCAACAATCGGATACAATGGCAACGGGTGGATGCCGGCTGCCACAGTAGCAAAGCAACTGACCAGGTCCAACAGATAAAAGTCGTGTGTAAGCGTCAAGGGGGTCTGTGTCTATAGGTAAGGTTAGCCAGGCACGGAAAAGTACCTTGGATGCTTACATAGGTAGGTAGGTCGCGGAGAGGTTGGTCAGCCTATCTGCGTCCGAGAGGGAACTTGAGAGAGGGGGGGACATACCCGGAGCTGGGTGAGGGGGAGGGGGAGGGGCAGCCCTGCCTAGCGTGTTGAAGGTGTGAAAGGGCGCCCCGTGCTGAGTGGAGGGACCTGGGAGTAAGGCAGCTGGTCAGGTTCCCCACTTGTCATCGTCACACAGGCAGGAGGCAGGGCACGCAGGAACTCTGTCTCGCTCTGAGAAGAAAGCTGCGACCCATTGCAAACGGGTGGCTTCCCAAGCTGCGGCATCTCTGGAGCTCTTGTCCGTTTGTGAATCCCCGCCAAGGAAGGGGTAAATTTACACCTTTCTCCTCTTTCTACTATTTCATCTACATTCTTGGATTTTCCTCCATCCCTCCCCCCTTCTTTGCCTGACGTACCTAGGCACACTGAGGTAGCTCGCGAGTCGCGAGGCAAACCCCCCCCCATTTTGTCCCGCCTGTCATTCTGAAACGAGCTTCATCCTCAACCAGCCCTCCCCGACCAAATCAACCCCTGCTCTGCAAAGACTCGGCAAACAACAACAAAACGAAAACTGCACACAAGTGTGTGAGTTAGAGAGATCATGACGGAGGCAGCCCACTCGGCCCAATAGCAAGCTTATCTGTCTTTCCGGGCCCAGGGCCGTGAAGTTGATACACAGGCATTAGTATTGGGCGTTGACGGTGAGTAGAGTCGCTCTTGAGAGAGACTTCTTTTCGGCCGAAACGCGCCAGGGGGGGAACCTGTACGAAGCAAGTGGATGATCGGAGCTCCCGTTTGGTTTCTTTGGAGATGAGAGGTATCTAGGGTTCCATCGAAGGCCCGACGAATTGGGTTTCTAAGCTTCGGGTGCATATTGCTTGCTAACCAGCCGAAAATGCCACCTCATTCAGTCATGGTGGATAAACACGTCTGCTCTTTGACAATGATGAAGAGGGCGAACCCTGCCTCCAGCATCCACGGCTTGGACCACCAAATATCATGCACGGTTCAGGACCGGCTATCGAACGGATGAACGCATGAACAGTGTAATAGTCGTGAATAACCTTGCCCATATCTATCAACGAAAAAAACCCCAAGCAGCGAATGAATACTACAAATCATGACTTATCCAGCTTGAATCCGATGCTGTCCCGATCGTCCCTCACAACCCGTCCCCATTCCAGGAGCAACCGAAACAGGTAAATCTCCATGTCCTCTCTCCGGAGGGCCTTGTCCACCCACCTCGCCCCCTGCGTCGCGATCCACTCGGCATCCTCCCACCGCGCCTCAAAGTCCACCTCCCGGCCATTGAGCTTGCCGCGGCCCTTGAGGCCGACAAAGTAAGCCACCGTGCTGTGGAGGGCATGGAACCGCGTGTCCACAGGCACGAAGTGAAGCCATGGGATCAGCCGTTCCGAGTACCACTCCCCAAAGACGGAGGACATGAACGGCACGCTGCCCGGCGATCGGATGGTCCGGAGCATCTGCGGCGGTGGGGCCGTATCCTCGTCTAGCAGCATGACGTAGCGGTGGTTCAGGGGGTCAGAGTCGGCGGCCTTCTGTCCCAGCTCCGCCTTGACCGCCGCGCAGCCCGGGCCGCCGTCGCACGCGTACTCCGATATGCCAATGTCGAACGGGAGGACGCTGTTGGCCTCCCGGGCGCTAACAATTTCGTACGCGTACCAGCTGCCCTTGGACGGCGCGCCAAGCATCATCGTGACGTCCTCTGCGGCTGTTGCGTTGTTGATGAGGTGGACTAGCCGGTGCTTGTGATTTCCACGCAACGCCTCGTCGCTAATGGGTTTATCTCCGATTTTGCCTCGCCAATATAACCTGTCCTTGCGCTGCCGAAAGTCCTTTTTGACTTCCTGCTCCTCTTCCACCAGGGGTAACAGGGGCAGGAGAATGTCATTGAAACCATCGGCCTTGAATCTGCCAAATATTGGCAGCAGCTCCTGCAAAGGCGCGATAGGGGGCGCCGACGTGTGAAAGCTGTGAAGTCGGGTCAAATCCTGCTGGTCGCAAAGACTCTTGGACTGCGGATAGTTCCACATGAATTGCTCATCCTCATGCCACCTCACGCAGGAGGTGCAGAAGTCGCGGACGTTCCAATGGAGCCCTGCTCTTCCTGGGCTGTCGGTCGGACACACGGAGGCTTCCATATCCCGCCATTCTTTGGTGGACTCATAAATCGCCTGTTTTGTCTGAGGAATCGCTGGGAAGCCTGCCGCGGCTTTCGGTTCCGCGTTCGGTTTGCTTTCAGCTGGTTTTGTCTCGGAGTTCTGTCTCTCAACGGCACCTTCACGAGGAAAAGTCTCACTAGCACCTTCATCTGAAGCACTCTCCATCGACCGCGACGATAGGAGCTTGAACTTCTGCTTCATACCGGTGAGAGTGTATCTGTGGAGTTCTGACCACGGTGTCAGAACCCGAGGCTGGTTGCTCAAGTTGATGGGTAGCTTCATGTCGGAAAGATGCTCGACGAAGCCCTCTATCATGGTCAGGAGCTCATCGAGGACCTTCTTGTTCGCGTCCTCGCCCTCGTAATTGTGCGTTACCTTTTTGTTCTCAATCGTGACCATGGCGATATGAGGCTCCTTGTGTACTCTGTCATTGTAGGCTTGCCGGATCGCCTCCGGCTTGATGCCCCAGAAAGGAAGTATGTCGCTTTCCATCTGCTCAAAGTGGTCGATAATAAGAGACTTACGAGCCTTTGCGAAATCGTACCACTTGTCAAAATTGGGAGGCGGGTCTCTCCCGTAGTGTCGTTCGTGGTATACGTCTACGGCAACTTTCAGGTTGTCGCTGGTCATGGCATGTCGCATCCAACGGTCGGATTCCACCCTGACATCGTAAATGAGTCTGTTGAGGGGATGCTGCTTCACTGTTGCCGACTTCAGAAGGCCGTATATAGTCATGCCGACGAACATTGAGACCATTAACACGAGGAACAGTGCTCTAGGGATGAAGAGGAGCGAGCGGACGTTGGTGCTATACAGGAACATACTGTAGCCGAAGACCAAGAGGTATAGCGGCCCGATGGCGGTTAGTCTGGATTCCATTTGCCATTTTCCGATGTGCAATATGTTTTGGGTGGTGGCTGTGAGGCCACAGATAAAGGTGATGATACTGGTCGGAGTTACGGGATTTGTCTCGTAAACAAGGATACTCAGTGAGGTGACGAGGACTGCAAATGCAAAGCTGTCGATGAAGACGTCGAAGATGTACAGAGAGTCAAAGCCCCTGAAGGAAGTCGGGTATCCCTCACTGGCTGAAACGAGAGGTGAGATGAGGATCTGGAAGACTTTGATAAAGACCCCCGAGAGAATTAAAATGACGCCCAGGGTCCTCAGACGGAGCTTCGTCGTCTTGGTCCACGCCAGGATGCGCCAGAACAGGGAGATGATGACAGCGTCCAAGAAGAGTCCGAGTAGTTGGAAGGCAAGAGTGGACATTCGACTGTCCGAGAGAGCGGAGCAAATGAAAGTCGACCTGGGATCTTGCGAGATGGCGACGAAGGTGCCGTAGCTGAAAAGGCAGGTGCTTCCCAGCGCCAGAGTTCGTGAGCCATTGGCCCAGATTGCAATATCATCTCCAATAGTTGCCCAAGGGTCTTCTTCAGGCGATGGGGGCCGGGCCTTCTGGTAGTAGAGAATATGGTAGAGGACCAAGTAAATACATAAGAATGACTGTAGGCCCTTGTCAGCCTCATCGTTCTACCTGAGGCGAGAGGATCAAAGACGGATGTTCGCGACTCACCTGCACTCCCGGCGCAGAGCACTGCAGCTGAGAGGTCACTCGATGAAAGACCTCGAGGCGAAGGAAGATGCAAAAGATGAGCAACGGGGCAAAGTACCGCCGCGGTCTGGCGGGGACAGTCTGCTCGAAGGTGCTCTTGTAGCCTGCGCGCTCATCTGAAGTGATGTCAGTAACAACTGGCCAAATCTAGAGGCACATAGCAAACGCACCGAATCTTCCATCAGCGCCGGGAAGCCATGCGGCGAGATAGCTTGCCAACCATGTCAGGCCTCCCGATAGCAGTAGTATGAGAACGGAGGAGAGGCGTGGATACTCTGGAACACCATTGCGTCAGCAGGAGGTTTCTTCCCACGTGGTGAACGGGGAAAGTCTTGGCAACAGGCCGTACCGATCAGAGAATGACCCTCAAAGTTGGAAGAGATCCAAAGGAATGAACCGACGGTACTGAGACTCAGTCAGAATTGCGCGGGCTGGGAGTAATGGGAAGAATTGGCGATCCCTACCAAAGCGCCGTCAGATGTATTTGCGCATCGCGTGCCATCGAGGGAGACGTTCACCAGCCCGAGCCGGGTAGTCTTTCGCTTACAACGCAGCCACAAGTGAAAACATGCGGTCAATCAGAACCGCACGAGTCGTCTCTAGTTCAACAGACCATGAATTTTCAGTTCATTTCTTTCAATTGATGAAAGAATTGATGGACGTGGATCGTGTACCGACAGGCAGCTATCATCCTTCAAATTGGTTGCCAAGTTGTCCAATTCTTACATAATCCAATTAAACCCTCCCCTAACAAGGCAAAGACGCGTCCTCCAAGCCGCCCTTGCCCCCTAGCACTGCCCCTTTGAACCGCGTCAAGCTCCTCTCCAATCCCGACCACTCCGCCCCCGAGCTAGCTTCCTCCGTCCGTCCCGGCACCGACATGGATTGACAGCCCTCAACTTCTTCCTCCGCCGAATCTCGAATTCCGCAACGTCTGTTGCGACAACCCGTTCGGTCGGCCTCAAGACACAACCCCCTCGATCTGGAAGCAAACCCCCCCCCCAATGGCGCAACAATGGCGGGCTTCAACGAAACCTCCTCCCCCTTCATCAAGCGCCTCGCCGTCCCGGGCTCCTGCGCGCTGATGGCCTTCCTCGCCTACTCCTCCCAGCTCCTCTTCTACCTCGCCGACGACTCCCTCGCTCCCGGTCGCCTCACCCGCTCCGAGACGTACGTCTTCAACGCCCTCCTCTTGTGCCAATGGTACACGTACTATAAGTCTTGCACCGTCGATCCGGGCCGCTACTCCTTTCCTGACTCCGTCATCGAGGTCCCCGAGCCGGATGAGTACGGCCTCGTGAGGCGGTGGTGCAAGAAGTGCTCCGCGCCGAAACCCCCGCGCGCGCATCACTGCCGGCACTGCGCGCGCTGCGTCCCTCGTAAGATCTCTTTCGTTCTACCATTAACCCCCCCCTTCTTCCCCTACTCATCCGCGCACAAGCACATTGTACTAACACACGACTTCCCGCAGGAATGGACCACCACTGCCCTTGGACGGGAAACTGTACCTCTCTAACGACCTTCCCCCACTTCCTCCGCTTCCTCGCCTACACAAATTTCTCCCTCTGGTACCTCGCCCGCATCCTCTACCTACGCTTCGCCGCCATCTGGGACAACCGTCTGCTGCCCTCCTACTTGGGCCCTTCCCTACCTGTCCTCGTTCACCTGACCCTCTGCTCCCTCATCTGCTTCTTCAGCTCCCTCGCCCTCGGCATCCTCTTCTTTTCGACCGTCCGCAGCTGGGTCCTCAACGAGACCATGATTGAGGGCTGGGAGGTCGACCGCCACGCGGCCGTCTGCGACCGGAACCGCAAGGATGCGGGGGAGTTTTGGTCCATAACGGGTCCCGACGGGAAAAGGCTGCGGCTGGAAAAGGTGGAGTTTCCCTATGACATCGGTATCTATGCGAACCTGTCTCAGGCAATGGGCACCTCGAACCCGCTGCTGTGGCTTTTCCCCTTTGCCGGGAACCCGCGCGTGAGCAAGGACGGCAGGGGCGTGGGCTGGGAGTGGCCGGAGAACGGTCTGAATCATAAAGAAGGCATGTGGCCGCCGCCAGATCCAGATAAAGTGCGACGTTCCGCCCAAGGAGGTTGGCCCTCGATTCGAGACCCAGAAAGCATGGTGGTGCCAAGATACGGGAGCAAGGAAGAAGAACTAGAGGCCTTCAAGACGCGGCAAGATGCGGATCGGCGGCGGCGGCAGAGTAGCCGTTCACGAATGATGGAAGAGTTAGAGGAGGTGGATGGCTATGATATGATAGACAGTGACTCTGACGATAGCTATGCAGAGGGCGCAGATGGGGAACCCGGTTGGACCAACGCGGACGGCGAGCGGTTACAGGACTTTGGCGTAGACGAGGACGAGGATATGACTGACGATGACGAGGATGTACCTCTAGCGGAGCTATTACGTCGCAGGAAAGTCTTGCAAAAGGATGGAGAGGAGTGAAACAGGCCATAGACAAACCAGTAAACAGAAAATTTTCTTTTTGGGTTTGACTTCCCACGGTTCTATACTACCTTGAAACCAACAAAGAAGGGGCATCCAAAGATGGCTTCGCGCAGGCCATGAATCCCTTTGACTCCTGAATCTACCAAACAAAAGGTGCATACAAGACAGGATCAAATCCGCCTTCCATCTGGGGTTGCCCTGATCCTGTATGCTGAAAGAACTCAAAACAGCAGGTTTGTCGATTGTGAACCGCTTGCCACTCTAGGGGCAATCCGCCATCCAACCTCCACCATCAGTCCAAAGAGCAATCATATCGTGCAATCATGAAGCATCATTCCAGGATCCAGATGTATCGACCCAACCTCATCCCTGACCTTCCACACGAAATCCGATCACCAATCGTCGTCATCGTCCTTCTTCTGCATCGCATTCTTTCGAGCGAGCAGAGCATCCGCCAAACTGTTGCCCAAGCTGGGAGTCGGGGTGTTGCTGCGGCTGTTGTCGGAGCCGCTAGCTCCGTTCAGGCTCAAGCCAGAATCGCGCGGATGAGCGACGGCCGGTTTGCGTCCAGCAGCAGGTCTTTTCATGGGCGGCTGAGGAGGAGTCGGCTTGCCACGGGCGGCCGCTCCGTTGGCGGAAGGAGGCGGAGGGGGAGGGCGAGGAGCCACGACGGGTGCGGGAGCCTGCTCCTCGACGTATGCGGCAGGAACCCAAGCTTGAGAGCCACCATTCTTCGCGAGCCACCAGCCTATCATCAAATGGTCAGTGGTCGCAGTCCGCTGGGCTCGTAAAAGAAATTTTGCTCACCATTGTTCTCCTTCTGGACAACCTCGATCATATCACCAGCTCTGACTGTCAATTCATTCTCCTTCTGGCCGGCGAAGTCGTACAGAACCTTGGCCATGATCTTGGCCTTTGCGGGGGGCGCGGCGGGGGGTGGGGGAGGAGGCATTCTAGTAGCTGCGGAGGTTGCTGACTGTTGTCTGGTATGTGAAGGAATTGAAGTAGCGGCGGCGGCGGCGGCTTGTGGTTGTTGACGTCCAAATGGCCCAGTCTTGGCTGAGCTGATGGCCGCAGGAGGTTGAGGAACAGATCTTGCGGAAGACGCAGCAGGCCGAGGCTGGGGTGTCCGGTTAGTATTTGTCAGGCGAGATGGTCTACCGTTGGGGCCACCAGGCTTGATGAGCTTGCCACGTGTGATGGGTCGAGCAGCAACAGGTTTGCCCTTGGGCGTTGGTTTGGAAACAGATGATGGAGGCTCGCCGGGTTGAGTGTGGACACCTCCGCTCTTATAGAAGTCCGCGGCCTGCTGTGAGTCCTTGAGGACCTTGACCGTTTGCATCTTGCCAGGCTTCTTTGCGTACTCAATCACTTCGCCGATGTTGAGGTTAAAGCCACCAGGCATGACCCGCTGCATCTGCGTGAACATTTCGGTTTTCAAGACACAGTTCAACAAAGGATCAGCCTCCTGGGGCGATCCCACGCCCAGAGAGAACCAGTCATCACGAGCAGTAGAAGCCCCTATGAACTTGATGGCGCCAAGGGGCATTGAGCGTTCAACAGAGATTTGAGGCTGGCCGTTGACAAGCATCTGGGCAACAATATAGAACTTGCTGCTGGTGACAATCAGAATACGGGGACTTGGCTTGCTGGATCTGCCAAATTTGGCCTCCAGGATCTCTCCTCGGCAAGAGAAGACAACTTTCTCGTTGTTCGAGATGCCGATGGCGTTTCTGATCTGTGAACCCGGTCCCATTGACGCGTTGATGCCCATGTAGTCGCCCAAAAATCTTCGTGAACCGAGCAGACTGAATCTCCTTCTCTCCTTGCGGTTCTGGAGAATCCTGTGGCCTTGGTCGCGCAATTGGAGGTACTCAGCTCCGGTTCTCTTCTTACGCCAGAAACGCTGGATGCGAGTCGCGGACTCGGCTCTGTAGGCCAGGTATGCTCGCCACATACGCTGGATACGAGTGGCCATGTTGTGCCAGTATCGATCTCGCATGTGCTCCAGCGCAAAGAGGGTCTCCGGTGACTTTATGAAGGCCTTTGTTGTTCCCATTTGCCATTCCTCCTTGGGAATGCTGGTGTCCTTGAGAATCTGCTTGGCTGCATCCTGGTACGATCCTTGCCAAGTGTACTCGCCAGCGTATGAAGTTGCGGGAGAAAGAAGGAAGAAGCGGTCCACAAACTTCTCAAACGTTTGGCGATAGGCAAATCCAGCACGGCGAATGCGAACGTTCTCTTGAAGACCGAGATATTTGACCTGATGAAGGACATTGGGCACATTGTATTCGGAGGGCGACTTGTTTTCGTTGGGCTTGATTGTTCGGATGTAAGAAGGCTGGCACTTCATAAGAGTCTCAACCAGTGCATTTGCGGACGCTCTAATACGGTCACCGGCAGAAGGAGGCTGCTTGCGATTGTCCTGGTCGACTTGGTTGGGGAAGATCGTGTGTACGAAGCGGTTGCCGCTACCCGAGAAGAGATTGAGCAAACCCTTCAGTAGCAGATCCTTGTTCTTGTCCGTGATTCCGTCCACTGTGTAGGCAACATCACCGGCATAGTGCTTGATGATGAAGCTGCCTTGGCGAGGGGTCAAGTGAGGGTTGGACATGCCGTTGATGCTTTGCATGAAAGTTCGGTCAGATGCAGCAGGGTCGGCGTGGGCTGTCTTGGTAGCATCCTTCATGGCTGACAGGACACCCGGAGGGCGGATACCCTCGATCAGATCACACACGATCTTGTTGTCGAAGTACTTGATAGGTGTCCACTGAATCTGTTCGCGTGCGTATTCGTCCTGCTCGGCTTTCAGCGTCAACTGAATGAAGATTTGTTGTAGCTTCTCGTTGACGTAGTTGATGCAAAGCTGCTCGAAACTGTTCTTCTCGAAAATCTCGAAGCCGTAGATATCCAGAATGCCGATGTTGTTGCTTGTGGCCTGCTTCGCTTTAAGGGACTTGTTGACACGCTCCACAATCCAGTCAAACAAGTTGCTGTAGATGGCCTTGGAAAGGGCATCTCGTGTGGCAGCAGCCTGGGCTGGGTTTGTCGGCGACTCGATGACCTCGCCGTTTCGCGGAGTGAGAATGCGGATGGTAATAGCCTTGATGAGCTGCTCGGGCGTCACCTCCAACAGGTATGCCAGGAAGTCCACCACCGACTGGTCGCTAACAGCGGCGTATCCATCCTGGCCTTCGTGGAACTGAATGTTGCCAGCCCACAAGATAGCAGACAGCATGCGGAAGATTTCATCTTGCTCGCCCTGGCTTAGACCAATAATTCTCATAGCCTCGAGTGTGTCGTTGAACTCCGCCAAATCGTCAATTCCGTCGACCTCGAGGCACTTCGATCTGCTAGTATAGACATACGTCTCGGGTGTTTGGATTCCGAACTGCTGTCGGTAGTTCTGGGAGGCTCCCTTGGTGAACTGATAAAAAATGTGGAAGTTTCGCTCATTGGTAATCTGGCCGACGACTCTCGACTTCTCGAGGAGATAGTTGGTAATGTCGGCACCGACGGGTTCGCCCTGCGCATTGAATTGAATCTGCAGATACTTGCCAAAACGAGACGAGTTGTTATTCCTCAAAGTCTTTGCGTTACCAAAAGACTCGAGTAAGGGATTGGTTGCCAGCACCATGTCCTTGATCTGCTTGATGTCGCCCGACTCTCCTCCTGAAACGCTGGCGATGTACTGCATGATCCGCTTGGCGGCTTCCGTCTTGCCAGCACCCGACTCGCCGGAAATGATGACACACTGGTTATCTTGGTACGCCTTCATGTTATAGTACGCAGATTCGGCAATAGCGAAGACATGCGGGGGCATCTCGAGACGGTTTTTGCCCTTGTAGCTGTCGAGTACCTGGTCGGTGTAGATACCCAGGTCCCGGAAGGGGTTGACTGACACCAACACATGGCCGATGTAGGTATAGATCTCCTGACTTTCGAATCGCTTCTTGAGATTGTCGTTGATGGCTTCGTTGGACACCTTACTGAGCAACGTAAGATCCGAAACTCCGATCTCCTTCTTCTTCGTGACCTCGTATGTGGCCTTCTTGGGCTTGCCGCCGCCCGCCCCTCCGGACGGTCCGGTGGGGCCAGTCTTTGCGGATTTGTCCTTGGGACGTCGTGAGATACCCTAATAATATTGAAAGCGCAACGGTCAGTCCTATTTCCTTCTTGCGGTCGGTAGCCGGGGATTTTCGAGTTGCAGCAGCCCAATCGGAGTGGTGCGCGCGCGGGGCATGAAGCGTCTCACCATGCTGGGCAGTTCTCAATGAAGGGAATGCCGGTATCTGTTGACGGTTTGCGCAAGCAAGCTTTGGGGATTCGTGATTGCGCTGGTGATGAAAGAGCGAGGTTTGCTTCGTTTTTTTTCCGTGCGGCTTGTTGCTGAGTGAGAGACCGGAAAGAGCGCGTACCAAAGGTGACGTTGCGGTGCGGACGTAGGGATTACGCAGGTGCAGTGTGGCTGGTTCTTGCCCGAGATCCAAATCCAAACGTTGGCCGACTGTCTGTCCCAGTGGTGCCTGACGACGAGTCCCAGTTCGTTCAATACGGGGGCTCGTCAGCCAATCGTAAGCGGCATAACGACCCAGCACAGCCTCAGCTCGGAGAATCGGTGGCGCCAGATTCCGCGTAATGCCCAACAGTGCTTTAGCGCCCTTTAAGCGAATCTCCACTCCTTATATCCTCCCCTCACGCCCCTGTCCATCCCGCAGAAGAGCGGGAGATAATCTTGGAACCTTCTGCCCAAAAAAGATTGTCCCTGCTCTGAATAACGGCTCTGAGGTCATAGCTTTCGTTACCCCTCCAGCCATTGGCGGAAGAGGGGTCGCCTTGTGTTTGCCATTCCCAATCTGCTTGAAGATAAATCTACCTGTGTGCCCGCCAGCCTGGCAATTTGGAGCCTACAGCGCATAAGGTCAATTTAAGGCCTGGACATGGTTCGTCCCAGGCAGCCCGGGCGGTTATTGCGCTGAAGTGTTTTACGCTTAGAGTTTCCAGCCGCTGTCTAACCGACTACCTGACTTACCTGGAGGAAATCTTGACGATCACCGCCGATGTCGGCATAGTCGCACTCTCTGTTTCGACCACAGATCCCTCACAGTCTGGAGTCTGCTCTGCGGCTCGGTGGGTTAAGCGTTGCATAACAACGTTGGTAAACTTTCTTATTCACTCCACTCTAACTGTTTGTATCGTCAGGTCGCGACGGCTTATCAGGATGGATCTTATAATGAATTTTAATTAACCCATGTCCCAAGGGCCTGTCATGAAAACGCTCGCCTCATGCCAAATGTTACAATATTCTTTACCCCATTAAACCCAGTCCTAGGCCTCGTACGAAGCGAACATCATCCGCCTGTCGCTCAAGAGCCATCCTCATCCTCTCGCCATACTCTTTCTCGGCCTCTTCGCTCCTTGCCTCCTCTTCCGATTTGGGCTCCGGTAGCTCAAATTCACTTGCGGTAAAACCAGGCTTGCTGGAAAAACTAACGAGGCCCAGCTTCTCACCCGTCCAGAAGAGGATGTCATCGTCGTTGACATTATCTAGTCCGCGACGCGTTTGTGTCGACAATATCTTCCTCGCGAGATCATCGGAGCCTGGCATGGAGGCGAAAAGGGACGGGCGCTCGTCTACCTCGCTGTGTCCGATCTTGTGCCTTCTCACCTCAGTGAAGCCATCGCGTTCAAACCACTTCAGAAGCCCCGAGCCATCCGAGAACACGATGCGAGTACCCTGGTTGGCGACCGAGAGGATCTTGGACTGAGAAGATGTCTGCCGGTTCTTCATGGTGGAATTCTGCATGAGATCTGCAGACGAACCTCCCTGTTGTGGGCACAAGCCGTACAGCTCCAGCGAACCCTTGGTGTTGTACTCGCCACCGGCGATAAGAGTCCGGCCTCCGTCCCTCGTCTTCGACTCCGTGACTTGCTCGACAGACAAGTCGCTCCTACGACGTGTTTCGCTGTCGAGCGTGGAGAATGGGTACGGTAGAGAAGCGAGACTAGCCAGTCGAGCCCCCGAATGAATGGAACCCATGATGGAAGGAAACGTGCGTCTATCGTAGTGAAGGATGTTAGAGAAGCGTCCTGCTACGTAGATATCATCCGAAAAGGAGTACTCGTCGCAAGCTTTGGGCAGGTGCAAGATGCTCAGAGGGGTGGGTTGTGACAGAGGAGCATAAGGCGGCAGCGGATCATCGAAGCCTCTGCTTGGCCTCCGTTCAAAGAATCCACTTGTCGAGTTCACGGCCAGAACGTCAATCCTGTCGATGATCTCACTCGGCGACCTGACTCGCGCCCTATAGTCGTAGAGGTGTATTCCCAAAGAGGTCCCTACAGTCAAAGGCAAGCCTGGGGCGGCGGAAGAAAGAGCCGTGATGGACCACTCGAATGTTTGTTCGCCGACGACCTCGAGCCGGTTGAGATCCACCTCTAGCAGGTGGCCCTGTACTGCGACGAAGGCCTTGTTGGAAAAGCTGTCGACGCTGACACATTCTGTCACTCCGGTATCGATCTTGCGTGACCTACCCATTGTCTGGGGTCCATCGAGATATAAGATGCCAGCCGAGCTTTTCGCGACTGTGGCACCCTTCCGACCCCTGGTACCTTTCACGTCCCACAAGCACATGGAGCCGTCGTCCAATGGTGATACCACAAGCAATTCGTCAGTCTCTCGACTTGGGCTGTAGAGTGCCATTCCTCGGACATCCAGCGTATCTTCCTCAGTCCCATCTCGGATCTTGGGCTGCTGCAGCCAACTTGTCGCAATAGGCGCATAGCGTTGTATGTACTCATTGTACCAAAAGACCGGCTCTGTCGGAAATGAAGGATCCCAGTTCGCCATGTCTCTGTACCGCTGCACCTTGCGCTGCTCCTGTGTTTCCTCGTCGTAGAAGAGGGGTTCCAGTTCTGTGTCACCATTTTCTTCCTCACTCAGCTGTACTGCAGCGGTGCTGAAGAGAGGGTAGTCAGTGATGTCGTCGTCGGCAAAGGTAGTGAAGCGCCGCCGTCTTTGTAAAGCCTCCACGAATGGCGACTCGTCAAATGTCCTCGATCGCCAGTGGTTATTATCGAGGGAAATTTTCTGGAGCTTTCGGCAAACGAGCTGCAGACCGGGGAAGTCGTAGGGTTCTAGGACTGAGGGGCACCGGGCTGTCAGCTGGGAATTTTGGAGCAAGCCTCTTGGCAGGAATTGAAGGCTTACTCACAGGAAAGAACGCGAAGAAGAATTTCGTCTGGAAGCTCGTCCAGCTTCTTCGGGGGCGCCAACGACACCATTGCGCCGTGGTTTTGTGAAAGAACTCTGGAGTACTCTGTCCGAATACTCTCGTTCGTTATACTTCTGGCTGAGTTTCGGGGAGATAGAGGGGAGTCCGAATGGGTTCCATGGAGAAGAGGGTCGAAGGATGATCCTACCGTTATCGTTATCGGCCATTGCTTACGCCTAGCCTAATATGGACAAGTGCAGATCCGGGGGTGGACCGGATAGAAACGCCTGGACTCTTGAGTGGGCTGACCTGTCAAAGCTCCAGTCAGGTTGCTTGGGCCTTTTTCGCTTGGCCTTTCCATCCGAGCATAATGTACAAAAGGATAAGTACACGTGTATCCGTAGGTATTCGTACAATTTCTCGTTTGATGCACTAAAATGCTGTAAAACTAGGTGCCCAGCCGCCACCTTTTACTCGCCCAGCCTGGAATGAGCCGGTTGAGCCAGTATTCTGATTTATTGGTCCGGGTCGGTACATGCTAATACCGACTCACATCTGTACCTAGCAATCAGGAATCTACCCTGGTGACACGTTAACGTAACATCAAGGTACCATGCAAAATTAGCTAGCTATCTAGAGGCTTTCCACCCCGCCTTTCTACTCCCACTTACTACCCAATGGGTTGCACAGCGCGGTTCAAGACTAGTAGACTGATTCATTAGCAAGATTGACTAGATGCCTTTCTTATTGTCAGCCTTTCCTTGGTCTTCGCCGCTATCTAACCCCGTTATCACCAGGTTTCTTGTCTCAATACTCTCACGAGGCGGGGCATTGGAAGGTGCCAGAGGATTGTGAACAGACACGTGTGGGCAATCTGTGATCCAAAATCAATGATAGTCGGTCGGGCTCCGAAATTACTAGCCGAATATACATCTTGCATTCGTCCCCGGCTTGCTGTCGTACGTCAGACACAAGAGAGGTTCGTCCCGCTGCTGGTATGGCAACTAATACCATCGCTGTTGCTTGTTGTACCTCAAATGATATATCTCTTAGTGTCTTCCTGGGTACACTCAGTCCGTAGCAACCAAGTCCTGAGGCTCAACAGAACTATAGTCGCACAAGGCAAGCGGCCTGTCTTCGCAATCTCTCAACAGAGACTTTGATTATCTGACAGCCCTCATCTAGCTTGCGAAGAGGTCTAGATGGGATAAATGGCTGACAAGCCTAAACCTGTAACAAGGATTGAGGAAAGTAAGAAGCTCATCCTCATCCAGCAACGGTTTAACCAGGTGAAGTATAGTGTCCAGAGTGATATCTAAATCAGCGAACGTATCCCACTTCATCCACATGTGGGCAGCCTAATTAAATTGTCGAGTTCACTCTGTATGATAACCTATCGACCAGATGTTCATGGAGGAACTTTACCTTCATGTCTTTCAGTACTTGTCACCGTCGGTATGATATTACATCATACATGGGCGAGAGACCGGCTATTTAGAATCTATGAGTTGTGTGCGCACATCAGTCTGAACATTTACAATGTCGGATCCTGAGATGCCAAATATTAAGATTATGAGTTTGGTCCTATAATATGCCTCTTAAGCCTCATGCGCTCAAGTTGTAAGCACGACGGACTACCTGAGCAACCCCAATGAAAACTTGCAAAATACTCAGGTAAATGCTAACTCCCCCTAGAATCATGAGTGCCCTGAAATTCAACAGCCTTTCATTATTCCAAATTTCATAAATAGTTCTCGGTCACTGCATATTCCTGTAGTCTTCTAGCTTATCAGTTGGAACCCCAATTGTCGAAAGTTGGTCTCTTCATTGTGAACTCCACGCTCATGAAGCACACATTTGATTCCTCCAAATTGGTTGATGTCCTTGTCTCCAGTCCACAAAGCGCATAGAGAAAGGGATCTAGTGGACCATTTCATGCACTTTTCTTGATAAGTCACCACTCTTTCTCACGAAAGAGCCGACGAGAGCCCATGTATTGTCCTTACAGCAAACAATAGCTCAGGAGAACTTCAATTCAGTAAGCTTTCGACACCATTCCAGGGCCTGTACGGCAGTTGTATGAGCAGTTATGACACTTGGATAATCTTTCAGCATGGTCGGATTCCAGAGGTAAGTCGTAAAAATGGCTATTATTGTTCTACCGGCCGACCAGAGCTTCGTTAGTGTTGTCGAGATAGATTTTTCCACAGAGAGAAAGCCGAAACAGACGTAGCTCTTTGGTGGTACTGTAGCGATCGAAGGTGCAGTATTTTGAAGTTCATCAACCCATGAAATTGTGACGTTGCCAAGTCGAGACAGAGATGAAAGTTGAGGTGGGTGACGGTTAGAGGCGTTGGAAGACCAGAAGATGACCCGAAGCCCGGCGGGCAAGCTAGCGGCATCGGTCCGTGGCTGCCAAGGACGGCCCTGAGAGGCCTTTGAGATGACTGCGTCAGCCTTTTGGTAGCATTACCGTTTGACTGCATTACAGTAGCCGTGGAGAAGTCGGGAGCCGGCTCTGTGGAACTCGGGGTGCAAAGCATGACGGACCAGCCCATGACAGCAAACACTAAATATCGCAGAACATTCCTACGATTCTTTCTATCAGCCTGTAGTACATTGGATTCGTTCAGGAGCCAGTGTAAGATGCCATCCACTACTTATTGGTGATTCACTGACACATTGATCAAGCTGATAAATTTCGTGAACATCTCAATCTGTTTTCCAAGATAGGAGCACTCGAGTCAGGATCTACACAAAGATTCCATGAGTTGTTTCGTTGACCCTTCATAATTGGACATGCGAGCTTTCCAGGACACTGGTGAAAATTTTCAAACCTGCGTCAAAGACGCATCGAGGTGCAATGTTTGGTTCACAACAGGCGCTCAATAGCGCTTCACTTCCTGCTGTTTGGGTCTCGGAATCATATCGACCAGTATTTGCATTGGAGAGCTTCCAGCGAGTCAATCACACACCGAATGAGTGTAGAAGGACCCTCGTACGTGCTTTCTGGTGCGATGGTGTCTGTGATTACTTATTCTTCGATTGAAGGTGGCTGTGACGACGGTGTGGCCAGAAAGCGAAGCCTTAGCACATACATTCGAATGTCTTATTGGGACATGATGCAGGATCCTCGCCTGGATAATAGCCTACTCTGGCATCATCGCCATGCTGACAAGCCGTCTCTCTTTGTCAGACATGATGTTGAGTTATTTCCTGCCGCATACTTCGGGTGGCTTTATGAGACACAATTTTCGTCATTGCGATTCAAGGTTTTTTGTACAGCTGCGACAGTGTATTAAATAATGGTTGGTGTCACCAGTAGGACGTAATGGCTGCGGCGCTTCAACACTATGTGTGCGGGAATCTCACATGGGCTGATCAATGACATGAATTGCCCTCAGCCTGCTTCACCGGCAAGCCTTAGGTAGTCATTGTCCCGACCTAATCAGGTTGTGCAACCCAGGATATCAACTTGTGTTCCTTGGGAAGCAAGGGGATTACTCATTCGCTGCCATTTGGCAGCCTCGTCTTTAGAAACGTACTTGTCGCCTGATTAATTTCCCTAAGACAGTTCATCTCTGCCCTTTCCTCGGAACTGTCTGCTCCCACATTGCAACATGCGGCTGATAGAACCAATCGCCGGAAATCCTTCTGATATGGCCATATAGTAGGTAGTTACAGAGATGAGTTTTACTTGCTCGCAGTTATTGAATGTTGTCCTAAGCTCTGGCAACGAGATACACTCTCAGTACTGGCGCGATGCTTTGAAACAGTGCGAAGTAAACCTCGAACGCCAACCACGAGCGGGCATTGGGTGTGCGGTTCATCCAGGACTTCGGGGCCAAGTTGGAAAAACTCATGGCTGAATATCAAGATGAGGAATCTACCGATACAAGCAGATTGCCTCGACCACTATGAAACCTTCGCAAAGAATTTCTTGAGCATGATGGCGCACCCTATCAACACATCGATGATGCGAGGTTTCTTATTTTAGATGGTCTAAGTGAGCGAAGACGAAATCCTAGAATGTAGGCTAATGAGACCTAATACTGGTCACTGCGTAGCTGGCTATCGGTGGAAGCTCTCTCACTAGCCCATCGATTTTTAACCCCTTGACTCGGATCACAAGATGGTTGGAGAGAATTTGACAAATTAAAGGTTTGGAACGACTGCAAACATTGCATCGCCAACTTCTCAAAGGTCAAAAGAAACACTGTCGAGGTCAATAAGGAAATAGTCGTTTTTTGGTTCAACATCATCATGACGTTTCGAAACGAATAACAGGGGCGCGAGAGTAAATATTAAGTGATACGTAGAATTTGAAATGACCATGCTATATGCAGACAGTCTCGCTTACGCGTACCATAAGCTTGATGATCTTGATGCTGTATTCTGGGTACCTGCGCAAGACTCATTCTTCATTCTCCAGGGATCCAACCGGGTCGCTGTTGATGTTCTCAAACTCTCCAATGCTCGCCCGTAGGCTTTCCGAGAGAAGTTGATCTTGGTTCTGACCTGGATGCATAAAACAAGTGAGGAACACCGCTCAGGTGGCATGATGATGATGCTGAAGTGATCAAATGGGTGCCAAATGGCTTCTCATCTTCGACAATATTGATACACACGACGCACTTGATAATTTCTGGTCTGCATCTAAGCATGGGGCAATTCTTATCAACACCCGAGACGTCCTACTTGCTACTCTACCTATCGACACTGGCCTTGAGGTTGATGAGTTCGGGGTCGATAACGGACCGGAGTTTTTACTCCGGCTAGCAGAAAACGGATCGCAAAAAAAAGGGAGACCAGCAGTGAAAACGAGGCTGCTCGATAATTCTCAATTCCGCTAGGCGGCTTACCGCTAGTTTTGAACCAAATGGCGGCTCTGATCAATGCTAGAAGGTGCTCCATGGAGGATTTCCAAGCCATATACATCAAGCATGAGCAGCGCTTCCATAAGGAGTAGAAGAGCGGATGGAAATATCTAGGATACCAGCAATCCCTCGGCACGGTATTCGAGACTTTCCTTTGGAAATCTCGGGACAGATGCAGGACCTTGCCTTGGAGCGTTAAGCTTCCTCCCCGAAGACTCAGTGCCTTCGGAGTTGTTCATGGTTGCGGATCCCGCAGATTACCTGATTCGCTTGCCTTTTGTGAAGATGAGTTTAAGTGAGTAACAAAGACCGATGCGACTTCAAATGGCTAATGATTCATAGTCTTTGGAGCTGGCACACCATGCCTTGGTGTTAAAAAAAAAAAAAGCATTGAGAAGCATACATTCCGCATCCACCGTTTGGTGCAATCAGAGTACCGAGCACGAATGGATGATCGTCCAAGAGCAGTTTGATGCCGCGACCAAACTACTGGTGCGAAGGTTCCCTGGTGAGCGAGAGAACAAGCATGACGATGAGGAATGGATCTTGTGTGGGAAATACATCCCGCAGGTCCTCACCCTCTCCAAGAACTACGTCGATTCGCAGACCAAATCGAGACCATTGAAGACTAGCATGAACTTCATTAATCTCCTTGTGAACGCCGCAAAGTATGAAGATCTATCTGTCTTACCTTCCAACTTAACCTTTAGAAGGCTTACTGTTTGACAGGGGCATACACGACAACGATATCACAAACCCGGTGGTCGGGTAACTCGACACTGCCGATCTTGCTTACAACCATTTCTCGAAAGAAGAGCAAGACAGATTGACATGGGCACATTAATAGTCGTTGAAGTGCATGTATATCACATTTGTATCCTAGGTCTGAGAGGAAAATGACCCAAGGTCTCGAGATTCAGCTTGAGATGCTTGAATACAATGACCTGCTCTTAGCCCTCTTATGCAGCTGGCTTGGTATGGCAGTCGCTGCCCGGGAGCGGTATAAAGAGGGCCTTGATCTGCTGCTGAAAGGTAACAAGGTCCTTCAAAGCCCGGCCGGCAAGATTCGGACTCAAATGATGGTCTGGAGTTTCAACACTCCAAGAAACTACTACACTGCATGGGTAGGTTGGAAGAGGCAGATGATCTCTTGACCAAAGCACTGGCGGCGGCGGAGGAATCGGGAGGATGTTATCAGCTCGCATAGTAAGCAACCCCGATCAAAGAGCCCCAAGAAGTTCGCTGCGTTGACATCTGCTAGAGCTCATCTCCATTTGCCTCGCTTCGGGCGAGGATGAAAAGGCGCAATGACGCCGAGTACCGTGTCAACATTACCAGGAATATCCTCGAAACGTTGCTGCTCGTTTTAGCTGGCTGAGCTAGTACCGCAAATATCGCGCCGGTGATGGGGCCATGGAACAAGGTCGTTCAAGACGCCGAGTAAGCATCACATCTCAGGGCCTCTTTGCAAAATTTAATTAAGTTGTGTAGAAATGAGACGGAGCGAGCTGCAACTATCGGTGAACTTGTGAAAGTACCTGTTGGTATTCTTTGCCGATGCATTCACGCCTACTCAAAGCTCTCTCATAAGACCCTACGCGGAAAGAGGAATCGGAGTATCAACGGTAGGAGGCAAGACGAATACGCTCACAATACCAGGCAATCACGGTGATTTGAATGATGAGAGTGAACGGACTTTTGATAGGCTCGTGAAGATGGATGATCGTTAGGAAGATGCAAGTCTGGTTCTTTACTCCTCCACCAGTCTCTTTTTGCTAAATTACCAGGTGAGAAGCATATGCTTCATCACACATCTCTGATGGGAAATAGCATTGGGAAGTTTGCTGAGGGGTCCCATCTTTGTTGAGCATAGCTGGCAGAACCATACCTGGCAGAACAATTTCGGAGACCCTCAAGCAACTCGCAATAGATGAAGTGCTACTACGAAATTAGGACTGCTTTCATGAGTCTCTAAAAGAGATAAAAGGTCCAAATGAACAAAATTCTCTATCGATGAAAATTGAAGGAAAGCCCAAACTGCACAGTGAACATTGGGGGCGGGCTTGCCGACCTGGAGCCACCTATCCTGCCTAAGGGAGACTCGAGATAGCGCCGCAAGAATCATGCCCGAGAGCTGCCTGAGTCATTACATCTCATTATCGAAGAAGGCATCGTTACCTGCTTTCACTTTTCGTGAAAAAGGATCTAGGCTTATGCCGAAGTCCCTCTGAAGAGACCAAGTTGTGGGCGCCAAGTGTGCTGCTCGTTAATAAGCTCATCTCAACAACCCATGCGTTAGCATCATGTCGGGGTCACACGCCTCAATGCCTCAGGACTTTCAGGAGAGTCCTACCAGCAGCATAGTGTCTGGGTACGGCGGAGATGACGCATGGGATAGACCTGAAAACCGGATCCGGGGCAGTGCCGCTGACACGGCTTTGAGGGAGGGCATCAGGGGACATGCGAGTCGTAGTACAATTCCAATACTCCCATACTCGCATCCTGCGAGCAAGTTCGCACCGGCATCGCGAATAACGCGATAGGGTCCTGCGGAGTTCATCCGCTTCATGCTCAAGCGCATGCGGGCGAGAGCCTGGGCCTACGTGTACACCATTTTGATCGATCGTCCTCCATGAACCGCGCTCTCGCGGGAGGATCGAGTCGATGATAATCCAGACAATTGCGGGCCCGGAATCGGAGAACACGAGATCAGAACAAGACTGCTGCAACAGACGGATCTAGGTTCCAAGCCAGCTTCTCCGGGTCAGAGCGGAGCATCTTAGGGTACTCATTGCGACCTGAGCTGCAAGTGTCACATCTGATGGATGGGAGATATCTGGCTTCGGTACCTAGCATTAGCTTGGGCTTGTCGTATCCTCGGATACATCTAAATCCCTTGTGTCGGAGGCAGTCATATGCATTTTTCTGCCAAACCCGTGCTTGGTACTTAGTCGGCTGGAGATAGATCATTGTGACATGACCCACCCTGCGACCCAGCTGTCAAGCTCAATAGTGTGACATGAGTCGGTGATTTAGATGATAGTAAGAGGGGATCGGCGGCGAGAAGAGCCATCAAGACTCCTGAAAGCCCCTCGCAAGGCCCTCTTGCTGAACTCAGATTTCTTGCCAGCTAGAAGTTAAGATTATAGACTGAGTTTGAAGTAGTGTTTGGTATGATACCGTTTGCTGATTGTTGCGAGCATCACACAGAGACGCTTGACCTCTTCACCAGCCAGTGACCAGCCCCATTGATGTAAGATGACCCTTGCTTCGTGAAGGAAGCTTAAACAAGTGACTTGGCGCAAAGCTTGGCGTAAATTATGGGGATTGACTCGAGATCCCTCAGGAGGCTGACTTGTGGCTTGTGAAAAAGTCTGTGTCAGCGACGATCATGCAGGTGGGTAGGGTTGGTGCTTCAAGGGGGCATGAAAGCCGTTTTGAGGGCCGAGACCCGTGCCAATGTCCAGCTTTGCCCGTTTCACCAAGACATGGCATTGCAGTGTCAGATTCCGAGCGACAGCCACTGCACCAAAGAGGAGGAGCAAAACAATTCGAGGTTTCTTGGCGACGCTAACGCGAACCGCGAGACCCAGGCCAAGCGAGGGGTGTTCAGGCGAGGCTGGCTGTTAGCCCACGTCATTCCCGTCTCGCAAGAAGCCCCGTCGACACCAGACAGCGCTGACGGGCGTGGGAGGTTCAGACCGCCGATGATACGAGGAGCGGAACGAGTCGAACTGGGGGCGAGTCAATCCGGGTATGGAAAGTCGATGCCGAGTCTGTGAGCATTGAGTAAGCAGAGGAGTTGAGTTGGAGAATGTGCCGAGTTCCGAGACTGCCGGGAGGTAAATAATGGGCCAGGGGTTGGGAGCTTCCAGTTGTGTGGGTGGCTCAAAGAGAAGGAGTGCGAGGCAGGTCCTCAGCCTCGCTGGAAGGAGGACGTTGAGCCAAGAATGAGATGGGCTGACAACGGGAAGATAAATGCGAGATGCTTGACCTCTTTAAGCTTGAACTGGGGAGCGAAATATGATTGAATAGGGATTTTCAGTAGAATGAATCAACGACAGGTGATCTGTAAACATAATCGTACGATTTCGACGTGGGAAGACGGCTTGGATGGGCTCATGGAATGCTTCTTGGCTGGGAGGTGTGAGCGTCTGACACGCTGCGCAGAGGGGAAGACATGGAGGCAGATAGACTCTGGACCAAGAACGTGGTGTCATTGGACCAGACCTGCACATGGCTTAGACCACCCGCGGGAGCCATCGAAAGCCATCAACAGCCATCTGATGGAATCAGGGAGGGACAGGGACGGGAACAGGGGAAGGGTGAGACGAGGGAGGATGGCAGGATGATGGATGGTCACGTTGCTTGGGTGTGAACCTTGCTCGGGCGATAGGTGGGTTGGCACGGTTGAACGGATCAAGACAGGAAGACAGGTTGACAGGTGTTGATTTTGGGCGGGCTTGTGTATCAAGCTAGCATGGCGTTCTGTGGTGTAAGTTGTACGTAGTAAGGGTTCGAAGTGCGGGCTGGCAGAGAGCGAGCGTGCGGAAGGTTTCATAACGGGGGGACGGGGGTAAAGTGTGGATGAAGGGCCGATGTGCTGGGATGACAAGTTTGGACATTTGCGGGTGATGCACGGGCCAAGACGACCAAAGGAGGAAAGACAAAGGGGCCTGTCCCTGCTGCTTCGGTCGACAGGCGCAGGAGGTTACTGGAGCCTGGAGGCGGCTTGGGGGGGACCTGCCGCACCCTCAACGCATGTGTAACTGATGTCCCCTGCCGCCAAGCCCGAAAGAGACTAGCGGTGGTGTGGGGGGACCCCTGGGCCCTGGGTCCTGGTACCTTCCCACCTGTCCCTCCGTTCTTTATTTTCTGTGCCTTCTTTGCCGGTGTTGTCTTACCTGACGTTACCGGGGGAAGGTAGTCTGCAATGTAGGCTGGAAAATGGAAAGGATTCCCCAGATCGTAGTTAGACGAAAGGAGAGTTTGGCGAGATAGCTACCTTATTAGGCACCTTATGTAGGCAGTCGATACCGTAGGGAAGTAACCTTTATTCTACCTTAAGCAAGAGACGGTGAAGAATGTTCGGACACAGAACTCTACTTACCTAGCACTCCTAGGTAGACTGCATGTGCACCATCCTCGGGGAGGCCCTTGGGGCCGATGGTTTTTCGTGAGGGGAGCTCTAATTCTCTGGATGGCCAATGGCTTCCCGTTGTTGCGTTGCAGAGTCGTAATTCGCAGAAAAGGATAAATGAGGATGGTGAAGCTTGGCCTCACATCATTCTCGAACCTTTTTAAAGCATCATTCCCTATCATCTTCCTTGCGAGAGGGGAGCCAATGACTAGTATGCCCCCTGCTAGCCACATGCTGGGCAGCTGGGCAGACACTCGAGATAAAAAAGAGCTCATCGTCAGTGGCCGGATTGCTCTACAGTTGCATCGGTAGTGCATCGGTAGTACAGCGGCATGCAGCTGTAGCGCAGCTCGGTAGCACGATGCCATCACAAAAGAGGTTTTAATAGTGCCTTTGCCCTTGTGACAGTGTTCAAAAATGGTCCCCGTCGCTGTGCAACCAGCGAATCCTGCGTCACCAAATTCCAGCCACCGCGTCTTGTCGTGCTGCCCACCTCACCTGGTCGGCCATTTCCCTCACCACCGTTAAGCGCCCAGCAGCATGGGCCCGGCCGAAACGGGCCTGGCGTCCGTGTTCCAAAATTAAATTCAGCCAGTCAGCGGCCGCCGTTGCGTCTCCCGTCACCTTCCCATCTGTCCACTTTGAGATCCGTTCCTCTAGGCGGGCGGCAAGGAAGAGGGAGGTGGTGGCCACTTGACCGTCAATCTGTGCCATGTGGTGCGGCGTGCTCGACACAACGTCGCTGAGAGGAAGTGGACAGCGACATGCCGACCGCATCATCATTCGTGCATACCTGCCTTACCTTGCCATGCCATGCTGTCCGAATGGCCCATGGCGGAGACAGGCCATGCGGGATGCGGACGCGGATATGAGGACCTCGACTCGTCATCCTCGCTTGGTCGTTTTCCTTTCTTCCCTTTGTTAACCCTTTCCCTCCATCCACATTCCATCCTCCCAACAGTCTGGTAACCTATTGCCATTTACGGTCTCCATGTCGTTGGTTGCAAACTTCCAACAACACAAAGCTAAGCGCAACCGCCATAACCTTCTTGCAGACGCCAGCACCAGCAAAACGACCCTTGTTCGTCGCATCCGCTGTGTAGCGTAGCGCAATAGCGCATTTAAGTTGGAGCCGCATTTCACAAAGGGGGCAAAGGTGCGAGAGAGAGAGAGAGGGAAAAAACGGCCCCTCCCCTGTTGCGACCGAAACGTCAGAATAGCCTCGGGGCCCTCTCGTCAAAGCGCCTCTAACAGAAGTCGTCTCAACTCCGCCCACCGCTTGTCGCACCTGGTCCTGCCGTCCGATCAGTCTCGCCTCTCGGATCGGACTGATACAGATCCCTCCAACTGCGAAACCCCTCCAACGTCTGATCTACCGAATCGTCCAGTCCATCATCACCAGACCCCTTGTCCCGTCCTGGACAGTGGACAGTTCGCCCCCCCGGCCACAAAATCGCACATTTCACAATTCACATCCTGCGCGGATGAACAGCACCCTTTTCTACGGCTATTGACGAGGTTTCATGGACACCTGACATCCGAAAGATTAGTCCCGACATCATCGCCAACCCGTCCATCCTGCACCATACCGCACCATCGTCAAGCCCTCTCCACCACTTTTCGTTGCCGGATCCAAGCCTATCCATCCGACAGCACCAGGCTCCCCTGCTCATCCCGGACCTTTTCCAAAGAATCGATTCCCCGCCCTGTGCAATCCTGGTCAGTCGAACTTCACGCGTGCTTAGTCCACAGACACCATCGCTCGACCTCGACTGCCGTCCCGACTCGGCTCGTCTCTTTATGACTTTCCCCCCACCCGCCGAAAGCTTCGTCTCGACTTCTTGCACCTCCTCTCCTTCACCCTCATTTCTCTTTTCTTCTTCTTCCTCTTCGTTGTTTCCCGCCTGGGTCGAAGAGTCAAAAGTCAATTCCCGAGCCCTTGCGACCAACGAGATTCCTTCTTTTCCTTCGCTGCTGGCTCAGATCATTCTTTTTAAATTTCCAACTTTGCTTGGCTGGAGTCTTTATTTCGCTTCTTTTGCTCGTTCGACTGCACCACATTAGGTATTATAAGAGACGTTTTAATACGGGGGTCGAATAGGAAAGAGATTGGAAACACCAGAGTTTGGCATCGATACATCGTGGCTATCAGGATTTGCTGGGATTCATTGCTTCACCCTTACCCGACGCCCACCCGAGCCGTTACCGATTCCCAAGGCCCAACCCCAACCGCCAACTCGTCGGTATTGTCGCAGGTCGACACCCTAATACAGCTACGAATAGGAGGACAATTGAAATCGATTCAAAATGGCGGGCGACCTGACCTTCGGGGTTCTGGTCAAGAAGCAGTTCACTGCTCAGAAGTTGACCTTTCATTTCCTTTTCTGGACATTTCACTTTGGCATTTTCGCCTATGGATGGTAAATTTCCATTCGCACACCGCGTCCATTCACCAGTCAATTCTAACTAGCTCCTAGGTGGAAGCAGGCAAACGACGCTAGGCTGGCTGGTCTGAACACTCTGCAGTACTCGGTCTGGATATCAAGAGGTGCCGGTTTGGTTCTCAGTGTCGACGGAATGCTTATCCTGCTTCCGGTCTGCCGAACGGTCATGCGATGGATCCGACCTAAGCTTCGCTTTCTCCCACTCGATGAAAACCTCTGGTTGCACAGGCAGCTAGCGTACTCTATGCTCGGCTTCACCATCTTGCACACCTCTGCTCACTACATCAAGTAAGTCTCAGCTCATGCGGCACGGATCTCACTCGCTAACATGCGCAGCTTCTTCAACGTCGAGAGAACGCAAATTCGTCCAGTCACGGCTATCCAGATTCATTACACCCAGGCAGGCGGTGTGACCGGCCATGTCATGCTGTTCTGCATGCTTCTGATGTACACCACTGCACATGCCCGCATTCGCCAGCAATCATTCGAGACGTTCTGGTACACTCACCACCTCTTCATTCCCTTCTTTCTGGGACTATACACCCACACCACTGGCTGTTTCGTGCGTGACACCGCCTTACCGTACTCTCCATTTGCCGGAAAGGACTACTGGGACCACTGCATTGGCTATCTCGGCTGGAGATGGGAGCTTTGGACTGGAGCTTTCTACCTGATGGAGCGTACATACCGTGAGGTCCGTGCCCGCCGCCGCACTAAGATCACCCGTGTTGTTCGCCACCCATACGGTAAGTCTCTTTCGTGCCACCAATTTTGATCATGATACTAACCGAACTCCAGATGTCGTTGAGCTGCAGTTCAACAAGCCTTCGTTCAAGTACAAGGCTGGCCAGTGGCTCTTCCTCCAAGTGCCGTCCCTCTCCAACTATCAATGGCATCCCTTCACCATTACCTCATGCCCGTTCGATCCTTATATCTCGGTTCACGTCCGCCAGGTCGGCGACTTCACTCGGGCTCTTGGTGACGCTGTTGGTGCTGGTTCGGCCCAGGCAAAGCTTTACGACGGCGTTGACCCCATGGGAATGTATGAGGTTGCTCTGCAGAACGGCCAGCAAATGCCTGACCTCCGTATTGATGGTCCGTACGGTGCTCCCGCCGAAGACGTTTTCGAAAACGAAATTGCCGTCCTCATTGGTACTGGCATTGGCGTCACTCCCTGGGCTTCTATTCTCAAGAATATCTGGCATCTGCGCAATAGCCCGAACCCTCCAACCCGTCTTCGCCGTGTCGAGTTTATCTGGGTCTGCAAGGACACCGGCTCCTTTGAATGGTTCCAGACTCTGCTGTCATCGCTCGAAGAGCAGTCCAACGAGGCAGCTCGTGTTCCTGGCAGTTCTGGTGTTGAGTTCTTGAAGATTCACACCTATCTTACCCAAAAGTTAGACATGGACACAACCCAGAACATTGTGCTCAACTCGGTTGGATCCGACTACGACCCCCTGACTGAGCTCAAGTCCCGCACAAACTTTGGCAGACCCAACTTCTCCAAGCTTTTCACGACCATGCGTGATGGTATTTTGGACAGAACATACCTTAACGGCTTGGAAGGCAGCATGCGCACGACTGTCGGTGTCTACTTTTGCGGTCCCTCGGTAGCTGGTAAGCATCGTGCTCTCGTCTGTCTAATGATATTGGCTAACAAATCATGTAGCTCGCGACATCAAGCAGGCTTGCAAGGATGCCGATGTTCGAGAGGTCAACTTCAGATTCTGGAAGGAACACTTTTAAGTGGCGAGATAGCTGAGATATTGAAAAGGCGAAGTCCAAAAACAAAGGAGCCTTGGCGAAAGCTTTTGAGTTCTATAAGTGGAGGAGAACCTCATACCAGGGGATGACATCTACACCTACCGCAAGCTTCCTAGGAGTAGAATGTTGGGAGGCACTCCAAGAGGACAGCTCACTGAATGGCGGCGAGCGGGACGGCGTTGGCTGGAATGCATTAAGACACCCTCTGAGCGATGTGTATCATGTCACCTCTTTTGCCGCCATCCGCGCCCTCGCCCTACTATTTCTTGACGATGGGCGTGGGTGACAGGCGTTCATTGTTCTCTCATATTCATACAAAGTCCATATATCACTTTATTTTCCAGCTATGGCAACTGGTTCTAGTTTCAGGTTCAAAAATTTACATGATCTAGAAGAAACAGTGTCACGGGCCTACGGGAGACGTAATTAATAACATGATTTCATTCGATCTTGTATGCCTAAGCCACTGGTGCGAACCGCTGTCATGAGATGACGTGAACGCCACTAGCCAGTACGGGTCATATCAGCGGTGGGCGACTGATGACGGCAACACTTTGAACAGGGGCATGCTCGTACATTGTACGGACGAAATTGCAGAGAGCATTAAGCAGCAGGGAAGAGCTAGGACGGAGTGTTCTTTCCAGCCAGGCTTCCACCGGAGTGCGTCCGTCCACGACTCGCATCTTTCCAAGGTCCGGATTCGCCGTCTGCTATTGTCGAGTCTGGACTCGACTGGTTTTCATTGGGTCGGGGCCACTCAATGGTGTGTGCATAGTGGCATAAACTTCCCAGTGGTCTTTGTGGTTGGAGGAAAAAGTTCACTATGACTACCGAGTGGAGAAGAGAAGAGGGTTTGCATTTCCTGTGATGTGGTAGGTGTGGTACGTGCAGGACCTGGTGTTGGTGGTTGCATTTCAAACCGTTGATGTTTTAAGTTTCTTCTGGACTTTGGTGGTTGCGTGGCTTGTTGTGGGGCTGGCTGTTGGAAGTCAGCTGAAGTTCGGTCCCGCTGTCGGTGTATGTATGTCTATGGTGTGGTATGGTGTGGTTTGATATGATCTGGTTTAGAGAGAGGTTCCAATGATTGCGTTGGTGTCTGAATCTTGGGACGGACGGGAATCTCCAGTCTGTTCTGGTTGCTCTCTCAGCTTTGCCACTTTGTGATATTTTCCTATGAGATCTCTTATCTTGTAGACAGTGACTGCCGATAAAGGGAGGAAGGGGTGAGAAGGTTTACCGTTTGGGAAAGCTGGGGACGGCGGCTATGACAGGAGGATAGGATGTGACGGAAGTTTTGGCTGAACGGGCCCTCGCCTGGCGCTTAGTCGTGAGTGCTGAGCCAACATGGAACGGTCATTGATTATCAGTGGTGTGCTGTTCTTGGTGCCGCGAGTCGTTCGGGAGGCGGGGCGGACTGGTGGACGGGAGAGATAACGTTATACGGATGGTGTCCGGGTCGGTGGAGCTCGGACGGATTCCGGTCGGTCATGGCCGTACCTTTATCCCGTTTCTCACCAACACGTCATTAGGTGTTCGCAGTAATTTGGCTTTGCCTAAATGCTGAAAAATATAAACACCATGTTAGCTCAAGGTACTGTTTTTTGTTGTGTGTTTTGGACGGTTTGCCTAGATTGATTGACTTAATTTTCTGATGCTGAGATGAAGATTTTTGGTGGTTTCGGCGGTTTAGGTAAGACGAGATTCCTGTGCACGAGATGAGACATGGTCCATATATGGACGACGCCTTGTGAGAGCGAGTTTGCGTGGTTAAAGAATGAATGGAAGTTTTGGGAACTGTAGAGAACTTTTTGACTGCGTTTGCACTTGGAGTTTTGTAGACATGTTCAGCCAATTTTTGCAGGCGTCCAGGTTGGGATCTCGAGAACATATCTCAAGAAAATTATCAGCAACTGAGCCTTTTGCTATAAAAAGAATCAGGACCACCCTAGGAGAGATGATTTAAATATGAAATACAAACCGACTCTTTGACTTGTTGAGCTTTACTATAAATAACATGTTCTCATCGCCTAGATTTTTAAGTCCGAAGCCCAATACATTTCGTCTTAGGACGTGATTTCAATTCGTCAAAACGAGACCTGGTTTAGGAAAAGGGAATGAGGTGTTGAAATGATGCCCCGTAGGTTTCGAAGAGGCTTCTTCTACGATGTGTTGCACATTTTGTTTGCCTAGATGCGGGGATATGAAGTCTAGTGCGACATGGCTGGGGAGGTGATTCCGGCTACTTAAAACGAAATCCCGTCTGGGAAATGGGAACGTGGACGCCAGGGGTGTTCTTGAGGTCTCGGAGAGGCTTCTTTTACTGCTAATGCCTCCCTGTGCTCGATAATTGACGGCTGTGAGATGGAAAAGGGCACGGATCAGCAAAGGGTATCAAAAAGCCACATCTATGAATTATTATCTCGCTCTCAGGCACATTCGGGACGTCGATGTTTGAGAAAGAGACGGAGGGTACAGAGTGTAGGTAGTACAGGCATGATGGATAAGGGCTCGCTAGCTTTGGTGGCGAGTTGAAGGATATCAAATCAGGTTGTCCGAGCCGATTCCAGAGATCGAAAGATGGTGCGACTTGAGTAGAAATGCTATTGAATGGCCTGAGTGAGTTCTAGAAATTACACAAGCTTGAGTCTAGTTGTGACGGATATAAGGTTCTCTCTAGTGAGACTGTGTGAAAATGGTCGTACTACACAAAGACCAGCATGCATGGAAGTAGAATTAAGGCATCGCTGACACGCTCATCACTAGTACTTTTCGAATTATGCTTGTTTGAATTTGTTTTAATTACATGCGTTCGAAATGAAGCGAGATATGAAGAAGTGTTGAGACAACTTAGCTATGATCTGAACAAGATTTTTTAGTATAAGTTCAGTCCTTTTGAAACTATTCATTGTACACAAATGCCAGAAAGCATCGAGGCAGCCCTGGAACATCACTGGCATTACTGGTATCAATCCACCGCTCGTTACTAAGGTAGTCCTTGTTGTGTAGTGCTTATTTGTGATAAGTACGTTGGAGCCGAAGCAAAGCGGGAGATTGTGGAAGTGTTGAGACAGCTCGACAATTGGCTGGAAGAAACTTTCGATTGCGGGGTCATCTGAGCCATCTTGACTGTTCTGTCTTGTCGTCACAATCCTGGTTTGGGAGATGTGGTTCCCAATCCTTCTCGTTTACATTCTACTTATACTCTGTCCTTTGTGGCCTTCTTTGACTAGTCCCCTTTCCCCGCCTCCTCTGCACAACAGAACGATAACAGAACGACAACAGAACGACAACAGAAATATTGTCAATAGCCTTTAAAGCGTCCTGTTCGTCGTCTATAAAATTTTGGACAGTACTGAAGGTATTTCATGAGTCGGACATACTGAACCAGCTTCTATGCACTTCTCTATTCCCCTTCCATCTTAGAAGACCATATCCTCCATCCAACCCCTTGGCTAGAGCTTCCTCGCAAAACACCTCAACCTCACATAGCTTATCATCTCCCCATCCCCAGGAATCCTACAAACGTGCCTCAACACCTCCACAATCTCCCTCACAGCCTCCTCCCTCTGCCCGCCCTCCTCGGGGAGGGCATACAACAGCTCCTTGCCCATCAACCGAACCCAGCCCTCCACGCCGCCCTTATCCGCCGTCGTCGGCCTCCACTCCCTCTCCACCTTTTCAACTTTCCAACCGCCGACTTCCTCTTCCAGAACGTGCTTCAGCCAGTCTTCGTCCGGGAAGAACCAGGGGTCCACCTCGACCGCCTTTGCTATCCCGACGCGCCGCGCGACGGCCATGACGATGGCCGTGCGCATCTCGGCTACGTTGCCTAGCCCCCCCATCTCTAGGGTGAAGGTGCCGCCGGGGAGGAGGGCGTCGCGGACGGCGGTGAAGACGGGGATGTGTGATCCTGGGGGGCGAAGGATCCAATGGAGGGCTGCGTTGGAGAAGGCTTTTGTGAAGGTTGGGGTGTGGAGGGAGGGAGTTTGGGAGGTTGTGATTTTTGTTGCGTCGAGGACTGCGGCGGGAAATGTCCAGTTAGTTCACAGAGTATTTACCAACGTAGTTCTGTGGGTGAATGGAGGAAGTATGATTCACCTTCGAACTCGCAGTTTGAGAGGCCTGCGACTTGGACGGCCTTCTTCGCGGCGGAGATCATGGCGGGGGAGGCGTCGATGCCATGGAGGGAACCTTTGCCTTGGGAGAGGACCTTGCCGAACTCGACGTCGAGGACACCATCTATGCCAATCATCAGACCAGAATCGCAAATCGGTCATACCGCCGTCTAGATACCCGATGGATGCGTTTAGGGGCAGGGACTCACCACCGCAGCCGACGTCGAGGATAACATCGTCCTTTTGCACATCGAGCCACTGAACCACCTTTGTTGCCAACTTGGGAACGAAAGAGGCAGAGTGTTGGTAGGCCTGGATATTGTGTCAGTTCGAATTTGGTGACGACGAGTGGTACGTCTGTGTGAGAGTCAGCTTGGCTCACCTCGGATGACCACTTATCCTCTTCTTGTCCGGTCATGGTTGTTCGGAAGACGACCTTAATCTTGATGATTTGTTTGAAAGTGTATGTTTGGGATGGAATTGATTTCTTTGTGGCTGCTGCTACTTTATATAACTTTCTCTTGTCTCTGACTTACACGCAATCTCACGTTTAAGTGGGATGAGGGAAGTTGGAAGGATGCGATGACCGTCCGAGATCGGACCTGCTCGACGGCCGCACACTGCCCCACATCACACCCCCCCCGACTAACTTTCACGGCACGGGAATCCAACGTGCAATGGAACAGCCGCACTTATATCCGGAATTCAGTTTGGAGGGCCTACGACTGGTTTCATCCAATGGTATAATTTACATTATACGTCGGGCGCGAAATCGGCGCAGGACGATGACATTCTCTTGTCTCAATGTAGTACACACATATCCTCAGCTAACTACAGTCTCCAGTCCCGAAACCTAGTCAATGTCCAACAGCTTGTACTTGTCGTCACCCAAAGCATCCTCTACCCTCTTCATGAGTGACAGGACCTTCTCCTCCTCTAATCTCCTACCCACGACCTGGACGCCGACGGGCAGGCCGTGCATGTCCTTGGCATCGTACAGCTTGTACGCACCGTACGCCACGCCATTGAGCTTCTTGATGTTGAAGTCCGCGGGGAGCTGATCCAGGTTCTTGTCCACGTGTGTTACGGGGAGGACGCCGGCGGTGTAGTCGAGCTAGGTAATCCGATTAGACTCTAGATGCTGTGATGTACCCTTAATTCAAGAAGCAAGGGGAACTCACCAGGTTGAAGAGGAAAGTGTAGCCGCAGCTGCTGCACGCATCCTTCATCCCGTCATGCGGCACGGCAGGCGTCGCATTCGGCGGCGTGATCAAAAAGTCCACGTCCGTTGCGTTCCACCAGTCGAACCACTTGTTCCGGTACGCCTCCCGCTTGGCGACCAACTTCCAGTTCTCAAACGCCGTCTGCGGCCGCCAGTCCCTGACGAGACCCGCCCAGATGTCGTCGCGGCGGATGTACTTGACCCACAGGTAGTACAGGTACCTCAGCGGGCTCGCGAGGTTCATCAGGAACTTCATCTGCGCGGCGCCCGGGTCGTTCCACTCGCCCGTGCGGAAAAAGGTGCTGAACATCTGGCACCCATCGGCGTTGAGCGCCAGCGCCGCGATCTTGAGCCCCTCGTACGGCGATGGCGGGTCAATTTCGACGATCTCGTGGCCCTCGTTGCGCAGCGCGTTCTCGACCAACTCCAGCGCGCGCCGGCACGCCGGGCTGGGATCGACGACCCCGTCGGTGCGCATGACGCCGACGCGGAGCTTCTTCTTCTCGAGCCACGCCGTTTCCGTCTCAGCCCTCCACTCGAGCGGGTGGACGCTGTAGTCATACGTCCACGGCTTCATGCCGACCACCGCGCGCGTGAAATACCGCAGGTCGTCCAGCGTCCGCGTCATGGGGCTGTAGACGGACGGCACGCCCTCCTGCCCGGGCATGCTCGTGCAGAAGCCTAGCTTGGGCCACCGGCCCGTGGAGCAGCGCAGGCTGTAGCAACCGGAAAAGTGCGCGGGGGCCCTCACGCTGCCCGCGACGTCGCTGCCGATGCCGATTCGGCCGCCCATGGCGAGGAGGGCGCTCTCGCCGCCGGTGGAGCCGCCGGGGGAGTACCGTGCGTTGTGCGGGTTTGTGCAGCGGCCCCAGACGTCGTTTGTGGACTCGAAGCTGAGAAGGGTGATGGGTAGGTTGGTCTTCACGTAGGGGACCGCGCCGGCGTCCTTGAGGAGGCGGACGACGGGCCCGTCGAGGGCTGTCTTGTTGCCGACGAAGCTGCTGAAGCCAACAGTGGTGTCGTAGCCGCCCACGACGATAGTGTCTTTGAGGCTCACGGGGATGCCAGCTAAGGGGCCCTTCATGTTGATGGAGCCATCCTCGACCCACTTCTCGGCGGACTCAATCATGACCTCGGTCAGGCAGTTTGTGCGCTCATGGGCCTTGAGGGCGACCTTGCCGTAGGTCTTGAGGATGTCGATTGGCTTCAGGACGGTCTTGTGGACATCTTGCACGAGCTCCTCGACGGGCCTGTCCAGGATCTGGCGGTCTTGCGCTGTAAAGTGGCCTACGTACGTTGTGAGACGGTGGATTCTGTCCGCGCGTTCAGACTGCTTGAATTTGCTGGGGTTTCCGTGTTAGTGACAAGGGTCTTCAGTTATTTTGATAGGCACGGGTGGGATGTCAGACCAGTCACGACGGTGTTGGAGATAGTCGAACGGATAGACCATCTTGATGTGATGAGTATGTGCGGACCGGGGTTGCTACTACTATGAAAAAAAGATGAACCAAGCCTGGATTCTGTGAAGCTCACGACGTCAGGTGAGAAGAGTTTGGGAGGGTTGCAAGATAATTATAAGATGAGAGATTGGGACTTATCAAGGGAGGAGAGAGACAGTGTTGGGGTCAAGGTACTTACACGCTCGGTCACGGGTAGCCGGCGAAGTCGCGGGGAAGCCCCACTCCCCTTATCGGCCGCTGGGGTAAAAGGGCGTAAGGCGCGCAATACAGAGCACCTTGCCTACCTAAATACTTGCCACCTTATCTTTGGCCCGCTGATATCCGCCTGAAACTTCCCTGCTGGGCAAGTAAAGGCGTCGGTGAGCTGATGGACACAAATAACACCACGGCTTCCCCGCTTGTTGTTCCAAGGTGAGCCGAGATGCAGTCCAGCGGCCGCGGTCAAAGGGGCTGCGTTTGCATGTTTCATTACCAAATCGATTGATTACTCTTGCTTGGTCTTACGGAATCTGCAGGTACCTCTATGGGTGGCAGGGCTCGTGGCTTACCCCGGTTTACGCCATAAGGTAGTGTCAGTCGAGCTTGCGTGCCTGGCATTGCTGACAGCCGTTAGGTTTCGTGAGAGGTGAATTCATCTTGAACACGAATGGAAGCTTTTCATGATCAATTTGTTTCCAAATGCCCAAATGCCGCAATTAAAATGTACCCCTGCTAATTGAGGCCGCTCACAAAGCCGGCATTCTTTCGTCTCTGTAGTGACCCGCAATCAAGAACGCCAACTCGAGCGCCTGCTTCTCGTTGAGTCTCGGGTCGCAGAAACTCGTGTAGTTGGTCGACAAATCATCCTCATCCAAGCCCTCGCTACCACCTAGACACTCCGTCACAGCATCGCCGGTGAGCTCGAGGTGGACGCCGCCCAGGTAGCTGCCCTGCTCCTTGTGGATGCGCAGTGTCTCCTGCAGCTCCTCAAAGATGTCGCGGAAGCGCCGCGTCTTGATACCGCTGTCCGTCGACAGCGTATTTCCGTGCATGGGGTCACACTGCCAGACCACGCAGCGGTGGTACTCGCTGTCCTCCACGGCGCGGATGTGCGCTGGCAGCAGCGAGCGCACCTTGGCGGCGCCGTAACGGGTGATGAGGGTGATCTTGCCGGGCTCCTTGTCCGGGTTGAGGGCGCGCAGCAGGGCGAGCAGGTCGTCGACGGGAGTGGTGGGTCCGACCTTTATGCCGATGGGGTTGGCGATGCCGCGGAAGAACTCGACGTGGGCGCCATCGATCTGCCGGGTGCGGTCGCCGATCCAGAGGAAATGGGCCGAGGTGTCGTAGTATTCCTTCTTGGTCTCGGTGGGGCCGTTCCGGGAGCCGCCGTTGGTTGTGGGACGCGGAACCGGCGTCTCCAGCAGGCGGGTCAGCGGCTGCTCGTACTCGAGGAGCAGACCCTCGTGACTGGTGAAGAGGTCAACCGTGTCCAGCTTGTCGCTCCTGTCGGCGCCGATGGTGTGGAGGAAGCGGAGCATGTCTGTGAGAGAGAGGACTGCCTCGGAGTACTTTCTCTTCAGCTCGGGGTCCCTGGCATGGCCCAGACCCCAGTCCAGCGGCCTGTGGAGATCGGCGATGCCTGACGAGATGCATGCTCGGATGTAATTGAGGGTTGCTGAAGAATACTGGTAGGCCCTTGGTGCTGGTTAGTTCATTTGCTTCCGGTACCCATGATTTTTGCATGACTCACCTGACGAGTCTCTGCGGGTCAATTTCACGCTCGTCGACATGGAAGCCGTTTAAAATGTCTCCCCGGAATGAAGGCATCTCTACACCGTTGACCACTTCCGTAGGGCTCGATCTTGGCTTGGCATATTGGCCAGCCATACGGCCAATGCGCACCACCCGCTTGTCAGCACCCCAGACGAGAACCAGACTCATCTGCAGCAGCAGCTTAATCTTCGACTCAATTGCATTGGGCTCGCAGTAGTCGAAGAGCTCGGCGCAGTCACCGCCCTGGAGCAGGAAAGCCTCGCCGAGTGCCACATCACGGAGGTGCTGCTTGAGTGCGACAATCTCCTTTGGATGAACAATGGGAGGTAGACGTCCCAATTCTTTGACAGATTTTTTCAGGCCGGCTTCGTCCGGGTAGGCAGGAGCTTGCTTGATAGGTTTTGAGCGCCAGGAATCAGGCGACCATTCTGCGGAGGAAGACATGGTGTGATGTGCTAGCAGTGCTGGTCACCGTCGCGGGGGTGAGTTAAGACGAAACCTGGTGTCGATGGACGGTGAAGAGGTGCCGTGCCGACTTGTTGCCAGGAATAGCTCAATTAGGTAGAAGCTGGAGAAAAAGTGAACAATGGGTAACGTGAAGTGAGAATCAACAATGGCATTCGAAATTGATTCAAGCCATGAGAGGGAAAGCCCTGCTATATGTACCTTGGTGAGTCAACGCCAAACTGGCTCCTCAAAAGCGCATGGAACACAATGTGGTCAAATCTGGATACTCCGCTGTATTGAATAGACCGGTGGGTGGGATGAATGCGAGCAGAAAAATCCTTAACGGCAGGGCCTGCAACGCTGCTCGCTCAGACTGGCCAATGGAAACGGGAGGTATGACACGAGAGAGCAATTCAGGAACCAGATCATCCGCCAAACCCTGTGCTGCGCGTGTTTGTGTGTGTGTGTGTGCGCGCTATGCCGAGGTGTACCGACCTACCTCGACGCTCACCATCGGTGTATGTAAGGCAACCTCTTAGTGTACTGTCCGCTGAAAGATGAGCGAGAGCGAGCACACACCAGTGACACCACTCTCTCCACTTGGACCCCTCCCCGCCCCCCATCTAAACCTGCCCCACCACAAATTCGATTCCGATAGAGCTGCTTTTGCGCTGCATCTGCATCGTGCCCGACTTGACACAACATCACAGCTCTTAACCACACGAAAAACAGCCACCTCCTTCCACCCAAGTACTCCCCACGTCCTCGAACCGTCCGAACTCCTAATCGCCCATCCTTCCGCACACAATGTCTGAGAAGCAGCCCCCCACCGTCGTCGAGGGCGCCACTGCCGGTGATGTCGAGGAGGAGGTCCAACCCGCAAAGTCAGCCGAGGACCGCAAGGCGGCATCCGCCCTCGCCAGCCTCGATGCCGGTGGCGACGATTCAGGAAACACCCAGGTCGATGCCGAGGCCGCTCAGAAGGCAATCAAGGGTCTTGGCGGTGCCACCGCAGCCAAGAAGGAGGTGAAGAACGTCAAGGTCGATGCTGCCGATGTCGCGCTGCTGGTTAGTCACTTGTCTACTACACCGGAGGACGGACGGTCGAGAGATGGAATCCAAGTCATGGAAGAAATACTTTTAGAATGGCGGGACTGGCGGTATATGAGTAGGAATGGAATGCTAACGGGCACATAGGTTGACGAATTGGAGCTCACCAAGCCCAAGGCAACGGAACTGCTCAAGGCCAACGACGGAGATGCGGTCAAGGCGATGAAAGCGTACCTGCGCTCATGAATGATCGGGACGATTGAATGCTGGGATGGTTATAGACTTCGATATAAAGTTTGAGGTTATATTTGCCGAGGCCCAGGATTATACACATTACTCAATGGTTCGCTACCTCGCATCGGTTCAGGTTCTTGCCGCGGCAGTGCTAACGTTCAGGCTCCTAGATCAGATGACCCAAAGTCTCGAGCTTCAAATAGAATTGGACGCCTTTCCTCCCAACCTGGCGTGCAGGAGAACTAATTTTCACTTCTACCAAGTATGCGTCCTCTCAGCGTGACTCAACTTGGCCCGGAATCGGCCCTTTGTAGCTTCGACAGCTCAAAAAGGAAAGTCGGCTTTTTGCTGCCACTGTTGAATACACGAGGCTAAATAAAACTTGAGGCCACCCATTTCGATTCAGTGATCTCGCAAAATAGCTCTAGTCCCCTCTGGCATTGGGCATGATATCCTCCATCTTTAGGCACTTAGGCTCCCATAAGTCCGTCTCATCGCCCATCCAAATCGGACTCCGCCCCGGCATCCCACGCCCAGGCGGCCCGGTGTGGTTCCCGCCGGACCCAGGTCTCCGCCCCCGATACGGCGGCGGCGGCGGCCGGCCATAGCCAGGCTCCGTACCGTTCCCCGGCCCATGCTCCGGCGGCGGCCTCGGTCTCCTGCCACCCCACGTGGACCTCAGCATCGGCCACATGGGAATATAGCACCGCTCATCCCACCCGCACACCTCCCGGCACCTGATGAACTCTCCTTCCCAACCAACCCATGCCCGCAGCCGCCTTACCCCGTCCGCCCACTTCTCGCTAGCAGCCTTCAGTTCCGACGTCTTCCCTTGCTCGAGGTCGTACCATGCCCTCTCAACACCGAACCCGACCTCCAGCAACACCCCGCAGATCCCGCCCATGACCTCCTCCACTGCATCCCTCAAATCCCGCTCCCGCACACTCAGCGGCAGGTCCACCATTAACCTAGTATACCGATACCGACACCTCGAGTAGGTCTCTGCAAACAGCTCGCCCCTGGCGTCCCACGTCGCCCCGCCAATCTCGTGCGGATACTCCAGGAAAGAGACCAAGAACATGTGGCTCTGCCCACGCAACTTGTACAGCCACTCCTGCACCTCCGTCGCGTTGCCCCAGTCCTCATCGAACCTCGCGCCCTCCTCCATTACCATCAGATGCCCGGCCGTCCGCTGCACAATCTCCCCCATGGCATTCACCCACTCCATCCCGCTGCAGCCCCCCTCGCCGACAAGCGCGTCGCGCAGCATCACCTCCGTCTCCCACCTCATCCCCGCCGCCTGCGACGCCGTCACATTCCCCAGGTGATGGTACCTTCTTCTCCTCCCCAGCGCCCCCAACGCCGCGCTCCGATTGCCAACGCTCTCCCCGCCAGCCCAGTACCCTTCCTCAGTAAGGTTCAGCCTCTGACGCTCTTCCTCGACAGTCGTACCCCAGAACCGACTCGAGTACCAGCTCGTGATCCCGCACCCCAGGACCTTTGCCCTCGTCTCTCCCTTTCCCTGGCCGAAACCGTTCGATCCATAGTGCCACGTTGCCGAGGCAAACCAGCCCCAACCCTGAGCCTGCAGAAACGGCTCCCGCTCAGCAGGACCCATGATCCCGCGCCAGTTGGGCGGCATCGGCGGACGTGAAGGGCTCACGGGACGATCCGTCAACGTTGGCTGAGGTGGGAGCGGGTATACCGACGTCGGCTCCTCCTCTTCATTACGCACACGTCCGCCTCCTTCTCTCGCAGCCCCTCCAACCTTGTCCCTCACATCCAGAACCTCATCCCCAGCCCGCTTTCCCCCATCACCCCCATCACCCTCCCTCATCTGCGGCGCCGTAACATTCCCGCGACTGACCAACCTAATACTCCCACCCCCGAAATCGCACCATATCAGCTCAAACCCCGCATTCATCCTCACGACTCCCTCAAACCCCCACCCGTGCCCTCGCAACCCCTTTTCCAACAACCAGTCGCACAGTCCCATGGCCCTCTCGTACTCGGGCTCGAGACCACGCCGCGGCCCGCCCCCCGAGTCCGGGCCCGAGACGTTGCCGTACAGGTGCAGCATCTGCGTGTCCAGCTGCCCGAACCCCATCAGCGACGCGGACTCGCCGTCAAAGTAGAGCGCCTTAACGGGCCGCGTCGTCTGGTACGTGAGCATGAAGCTCTGGCGGGTGCTGCCCATGATGCCGTAGGCCATTTCTCTGTTTGGGAATAACCATCCGTTGTTAGCTCACCGGGCCTGTCCAGGGCATTTCTACAGGTATCACAATGACACGCACACATCGCGCCCCTTCTCTATTTCATTCACAGGTCCTTAGAAGATCCCAAGGAATCCATCACAGAGCAAAAACCAAGAACGGTGAAAAAGAATGTGCTGTAAAACTCACATATCAAAGGCAAGCCACTCTGGACTCGGTACATCCTCCTCATCCATCCTCCCGTGATAAAACAGCGTAAACGCCGGAATCTCCACCGCCGCCATCGTGTGCCCGTTTGGAAACACCGTGTTGCTCCACTGCTGCAGCAGGCCGTACGCCGACGCGAACAGGTGCGGCGCCGGCGACGAGTAATTCAGCCTCGCGTACCATGACGAACCGGCGGGATTCACTGAGGGCGTCGTCGTCGTCGTCGTTGACCGGAAAGATGAAAAAGACTCGGCATTCTCTGGGGATGCCGGATACAACGAATCCGATGATGATGACGATGAAGATAATGATGGCCCCATGGGCTTTTGCATATCGGCCTCCGCTGCAGCCGCGACGGCTGCGCAACGGGCCGTTAGCACGAGTGACGCCGTCAAGGCTCCCAGCGAACGCATCTTTACTGGCAATGAAACAATGTAGACAGAACTCAGGAAGGGGAGAGGGGGGGGGGGGGAAACCAAAAACAAAAGTCTAGAGAATCATCTTCGCCAGTATCCGAGTGGTATCAAAGCTTCGGTCTCATGTGTGTCAGACGGATCTTCCTTATCAATCCATGTCTCTTCCCCCCGAGTCAAGTCAAGCCCCCCGGAAATTGGTTGGTCCAATCAAAAGAACGCGCGGCCAATATGCGTCACCTTGCCAGATACGGACAAGGGTCCGGTCTGGGCATCCTCAAAACCGCAAATAACACCAACTGGACGGACATCATGATATCGGGAAGGCGATAATCGGAGTTAAAAAGCCCGTTCAAATTGTGTTCCTCAGACAATCGACGCTGCCCTCGCAGCCAGCGTATGATTTGATGTACAACCAATCTAATAACCTAAACACCGTATCCAGCCTTCGGATCCCGTATCCCATATCCGTGTGAACGCCGTGTCTAAAACCAATCTCGCCGCATCTCGGCCGAGGCCTGAATCGAGAAACCAAACCATTTGCACAAATAATCCATGTCTAGCGCCAGGCCTTGGCCAACGGGCTCCCAATTTTGGGAGCAAACTGCAAGCTCTTCCTGCGAGCCGCCATCAGGCGCTGCATCACACCCTCGTCCTTATCTCTGTTGAGGATGCCCTCGCCCATCTGGGCAAAGGTATTTTGCTTAGGAGGACAGGTCTGCATGAGCAGAGTCTTGGTAGGGGAAGAGTCGTAGTCGGTCATCCCGGAAGGCGTCTCTGCAGCATAGCGAGCAAGAGCCTCAGGCGCAGGTGTGACGGGAACGGGAGAGATCAGGCCCTGCCAGTCATCCTCGTCGTCCTCGGCCTCATCCGAAGGGGTATGCATCCACACCGTGCTATCACGTCGGTTCATGGGCGTGTTGGGCGCAGTCTTGGCATCGCGACCAGCCTTGACGGGTGTGGGAACAAGCATGCCATTCTGGTTCGCGAGCGCTGTGGGCTCCATGCTCTTGCGACGGCGCGCGCCTCCTCGGGGAACCATGGAGGTGTCGATGTAGTAGGGTGCCTCGTCGAGCCACTCGTTCTCCCGCTCACAACTGTGCAAAAGGTTAGCCAAACATCATTCAAAGGATCAGAGGACACCTACTCAAGAACCCAGCTCACACCGACACATTGCACGACACCGTTTGACTCTCTGACCTTCTCCATTGTGCGCTTGCCACCATCCTTGAAGACAACGTGAGTAATGCCAATCTTTGAGGCATCCGAGTTGCCCGTGGCACTTGGGTTCCAGGTCCAGGTCTTGACGCATCGGGCTGCCATCTGGCCGAGAAGCTCGACGAAAATGCCACTAGCGTCCGCACCCTCAGTCGTGTGCACATCCACGAAAACGACAGCTCCGCGGAGGAGACCCGGGTTGAGGTCTCGGCGTGGAGTGCGCGCCGGTGTTCCGAGAGTCGACCAGACATCAGACTTGGCCGGAGTGACGGGAGCTGAGCCAAAGTCGTCATCGTTCTGCCCCTCTTGCTCTTCCTCATTCTTCTGGCTCTTGCCGGGCGAGTAGGAGATGACAGTAGCACTCCTGTTCAGGCTTGGACGGCTGACTGGTAGTCGGGAAATGCTAGCCGCACGCTTCTTCTTGGGACGAGGAGTTGACTCGTCTGCAGGCTTGAGAGGAACCTTGGAAACGGTGGAGAACTCCCGCGCCAGAACACGGTTGGGAGTCACCGGCGGAACAAACGCATCACCACCGAACATAGCAGGGTCAACGGGCATGTCGTTCTCGTCGCCGTATTCTTGGCTTGCCTCTGATAGAGTATCATCAAAGCTGTTGGAAGTGTTGACAATCTCCTCAAGCTCCTCAGGTTCCATCAGAGACATCTCATTGGCCTCAGCCGCCAAGGCCATATCTTCTTCGGTGACCATGAGGTCGTCAAACTCGGGATCTTCAGCAGCGGCGGAAATCTCGGCCTCAATGGCAGCCTCGATTTCATTCTGGGCATCCATGTCGGCGCGGACCGTCATCTCATCTTCGAAATAGGTACTTCGGAGGGGAGATACCTCTGTGCGGGGGGTGGCAGCACCTGAGATGAGACCCTCGGGTGCCTGGGCAAGCGAGCGTCCAGGGGTGACAGGTCGTCTGGGTGTCTTTGAAGGGCTAGCAGCAGACCAAGCGTTGAGCTGGTTTGCCAAGGGAGTGAAGCCAACACTTGAAACCCTAGACTTGACGATGCTTCGTCGAGAGTTGGCGGGGGTCGGGGTGGCCGGGACCAAGTTGTGGGCTGACGAGACTCTGGGGCTGTTGGCGAGTTCATCGTCGGAGTCGGACTCCATGTTGCTGTAAGGGTCCATATCCTTTTGTCGAAGGCCAAAAATGCCGATAGGCGCATTTAGAGTGAGCTGAGGTGCGACCTCGGCCTGCAGACTCTCTGCAGCTTGAGGCTGGAAGTAGGGTTCGTCGTCGACCATCATAGGCTCTCCGTCCGAACTCGAGCCATTCTCATTAGCTTCGTCAACGAAGACATCATTCTCTGCGGGCTTATCCAACTGTTGAATATGGTCGGCCTCTTCAGCCAGCTTTGGCTCTTCAGTTGGGGGGGCCTCAAGAACAGGCATGTTCTTCTTAAGAACTGGGTCGGCATGTCTCGGCAGGACAGCTGAGAGGCGGCCAGGGAACTGCATTGGCTCCTCCAAACGGATGGACTCGTTGAGCATGGCCTCTGCGACCTCATCCAACTCGTCATCTTCCTCCTCAGCATGGCCATCCGATTCTTCGGCCATGAGTTTCTCGGAAGATCGCTTGACAGGGCGCAGAGCGGTGGGCGTCGACAGCAACAGAGGCTTTGTGGCGGGAGATCGCATCTCCTCTAGTCGCTCCATGGGCTTTGCAGCTACCATACCCTTGATGGGTGACAATGGTCGTTTAGCTGGTGACTGAAGCAGAGAGGCCTTGAAGTTGGAAACCTTCTTCTCACCCTCGTTGGTCGAGGGCAGAGCAAAGGGCTTAATGGCGGACTGGGGACGCTTGGCAGGCGACTGAAGCAGAGACGACTTGAAGGACGATGCGATATCACTCTCGCCACTCGGCTGCATAGATGCCGCAGGCTTCAGAGACACTCCATCGGCGCGCTTCGCTGGAGACTTCATCGAGTCCCGGTAAGGCGAGTTGGGCAGTCTCTTGGCAGGCGAGGCCAGAGCATTTGTGACCTCATCCTCTTGCGTCGTAGGCTGGGTGGAGTTTTCGTCGTCATGAAATTGCTCTGAGTCGGAGGTCTTGTCGGCGGGTAGAAGGTTGAGCTTCTTGGATGACCCGAGGGCACCAGTGGGCGGCTTTGTCGGGCTCTTCATCATGGGCCGCGGGGGAGTATCCGGACCAGCCAGCTCATCATCGGAGCAGTCGCGAGGCATGGGAACCTGAGTAACCTTCTTAGGGCTCAGAGGAGTCTTCTCTGTCTTCGTGGTCGAGGAGGCGGTGGCAGCCTTGGTAGATCGAGGTGCCTTGGGGACGGGGGGCTTTCGCATGGGTCTGGCCTTGAGACCAGTGGTGGCTGTGGGCTTCTCGGCCGTCTTCTTGCTTGCGTCAGGAGCGATGTTTTCCTTCTCGGGTTCTTGGAATGTTACCGTCTTCTTGACGGCGGGCTTTGCTGCTGTGACTGGTGCTGCGCGTGTACGCGTCGTCTTCTTGACCGGCTCCGCTTCCTTCGTAGTAGCTTCTTCGGCTACCACCTTTCTGGGCCGGCCACGGGTGGGCTTTGCTGGCTCATCTTTGGTAACTGGAGGCAGTGTGCCGGAAACCTGGCGGGCAGCAGCTCGTGCACGGGTTGCCCGGCCAGGAACACCACTTGATATAGATGAAGCCGGTGCCGGTGCCGGTGCCGCGGGCGCCTCTGTCTTCTTGGGGCGGCCTCTTGCAGCTCTTGTGGTACGAGGTGCGGACTCTGATTGTTGTGGTTCTTCGCTGTGTTCTTCCTCCTCAACATCGTCGGCTCGGGTCTTTCTCTTTGCTGAGGTCGATTGCGTCGGTGCAGAGACACTGGCTTTGGCCTTGGCCGCAGCGGTCACGATCTTGGTAGCTCTAGCGTTCGTCGTAGTATCGGCAGTCTTTGCAGCTCTGGAGCGCGTGATACGCTTAGGGGGCGATTGAGGCTCCATCATGTGTGTGGAAGTTGAGGGTGGGTGCACGGAAAAGAAAAAGGAGTAGAATGGGTGGTGGTGTGTGCTGGTGGATTAGTACAATGTAGTTGTCGAGAGTATGTTGACGTTTATTTACATGATGCTGTGATGGTTGAACTGGAAGCTCGAAAGTCAGGGAAGAGCAGGCGGAGGGTTTTGTTGATATGGAGCTTCGCGTAACTGCCGTTGTCATGCCAACGCTCAAAGGATCCCACCTTCGGAACGCCGCTGCCCTTTCCCGGAAGAAATTGGAACCGTCTGGTGAGCCCTCGACACCTGGCAGCCGGACAACTGCCAGCCGACCACCACTCTCTCTACCTTGGTGCGCAAACAACGTTGCTGAGACCAAGTCCGATCCTGGTCTGCGACAGCGCGTCATCGAGCTAACTACTGGGTCTTCCGTCACGCCGTTGTCACCTCTGGCAAACAGCAAACTGCCCTTCACCTGCATTGTTGATAAACAACGATTTGATTTATGCGGTGGCCAACGGCATCCCCTCAGCGACCTGGATTTCAACACCTGCGATGCTTGTCTGCTACACGAAACAGATTCCGGGCTGTCGAAAGACAGGCACAATAGAAACCACAAGGTGAACTGATCCACTATGGTAATCTCTACGGGTCCCTTTGACAGTGTCCAGATGGCTGCAGTCTGGCTAGTCGAGAGGTTGAGACAAGCATTCGCTTTCTTTCTCAAAACTCCTCATGCTTGCTCCTAGTTGAATCCAATGGCGTATCGACGGTCTTCTGACATCGAAGGGGGCTTTTGAAAAGGTTTTCGTAGAGTTTTCTTTGCTGGAACATCTTAGCCCGCGCACAATCTTTAATCGCGCCTGATCAAGAACGACATGCCCGTCTTCGTTCCGTGTTGACGTATCCAAAGAGATATTGGCCAACGGAGAGCGTCTGTCTCCCCCGCACTCATCTGCAACTTAGAATAGTAGGTTTTCTATTCTTGCTTGTCCCTCCTGACAAGGCATACCCTAGACACAGGCACGTTATCCCGCACCACCATTCGCTAATGCAGCGTGGCGGCACCTTCTGACAGCATGGGCCATGGGGTCCTTAAGCAAAACTCCGGTGGCTAGTGGCTAGTGGTGGCTGGCTCGGGATCGACCCTCGGGAGGCTCATGCAGGCCGTAGGGCAAACCGAGGCTCACTAGACAAATACAGCACAGTTGCAACCCTGAGGCTGTGCAGACTAGACTGCGTATGCGCTCGGCTAGGAAAGGGCTCGGGCAGATTCCAAGATCCGCATGCGCATCCGTACGATATCGTTCCATGCTTCCCGAACGACTTCCATCGGCGTTACGTTGCCGTGCGTCCTGGTGGCCGGCAGCGGTGTCGGCAAGAAGCAGCAGAGACAGCCGCAATAGCGCATTGGAGGAGTCAGTAATGGGGATGGCGCAGGCACACACATACAGCAACGCCAACACATCACACCAACGCCAACCGTAGCATCCGCCTGTTCCGTTGCCGCCGATCGATTTCAGGCACCGTTCTTGGCCCTGCTGTGTCGACACATGCCTCGTCTCACCCACACAAGTCCGTCGTTGCCATTCGCTCACAACTGGATGGCGGGGGAGTTCAAGAGGCAGGAATGTCGTATTGTGTACGATGGCATGTCGAGGAACTGCGGTCAGTCGGCACGGTTGGAAGAAATGTCACACATTGTCCGGATTAGGGCAAACAATGGCAGGGAACTAATTATCAAACGCCTCGGGGGGCTTGCGCGTGATGGCAACCAAGCAAGGGCTTAAGTCTGACAATCGGGCACGAGCACAGCACATGCACGAGCACACGACAGCATGGCGACGTATCCGTACTTTGCGGACAGAAGATGCCACACCAAATGACCAGGCTCCATCTCATAAAACGCCGCACCCGAGACTGTGGAACCCGCCGCTTCAGCAATGCGGCGCTTGACCTCATCGCTCCCTACATACAATGTAGTAGGCCACCGTGCTCTTTCGCCCTTCTCTCTCTATCTGGACTAATTTCTCACAGGGTTTGTTGTCTCCTTGCATCATTCGGACCTTCTCCTTTCATCTCCCCGTCGGCATCTTGAACCGAATTTCGCTCCATCTTATGGATGCGCGGTACGAATTTGGGACACTCTTTTCTTCTCGTCTTCGGGACCCGCGTGTCCCTCCGACTCCACGTTGTTTCCACTGTCCGGTGAGCCTCTGACGGCCCCAGAAAAAGAGGCCGCCTGTTTCTTTTACAAATTCCCTCTTTGGGCACCAGCCAAGACTCCTTTGGATCCTGACCTCACATCATCACTAGCCAACCCGGGCGATCCGGATCCTCCCATTCGCTCCATAGCCACAATTTCCGCGTACTCATCTCCTCCCGCCTCAGCTGCCCAGGACGCCTTCGTCTCCCTCTCATTCGCCAGTCCACGTATGAAACTTTACCGCACACAGGGTCAGATCAGACATCACCTCAATCAGACCTTCCTCAAGCGGACTCCACACTGTCGTCGAATTCTCCGCTACGGCTATGCCCTGCCGTTGAGACAACATCTTTTTTATTAGCAGCTGGGCCACGCTCTCCTCGCTTGAGAACCCTGAGACTGCCCATCTGCCAATCTCGCAAACCTTGAGTTCTCATCCTCGCAGACATGGTCTGAAAAGGTCACTGGGAGCTCAACTCATCCTAACTCTCACCATTGACAACTCACTCACGCAACACTAACACCGACTTTGGACAAGACAGGAACTGAACCTCCCGTCAAATCGCATCGCTCCCCCATCAGCAACCAAGCATTGGCCAACAAGGGACTGTCTTGTAGCAAGAAGACCACGGCATCCTGGCGTCTCAGTCCGATTATAAGGGGACCGCGCTCGCATTCAAACTCTCCAACTCGACGTCATACCGACTGACACTGGGCGAAAACCTTCTTTAGCTCGACGGGTCCGTGGAAAACGCCGAAGCCTTTCATCCCCGTCAACTTGCCGCACCGCACAGCCGCTGGGCCATGCCCACAAGGTCGACAATCGCTGGATCTTATTACTACCAGTGGCCATCCGTCGCCCATCCCTACCGTCGTTTCCGATCCTTTTTTTTCTTAAACTTGGGTCTGGGTTATCCATATATCTTTCACGCCCAATCCTCTTTTTGATACCCCTTCAAGCCTCTCTCCTGCTCGCCCATTTCTAAAACCTTCATCTGGTTCACTGTCTCATTAACCCAGGACCAAAAGAAACTTGCACAAAATGATGCTCCCATCCGTGTTGGCAGTGGCTGCTGCTGTTGCCCCGGTGTGGGCAGTCGACCCCATAAAGCCAATGGCGGCCGGGCTCGTCATGGAGGCCCTGGACCCCCGCGCCCTTCCCGATTCTCCCTCGGGAGGCTATGCACCCGCGATCGTCGACTGCCCGTCAGCCCGTCCCACCATCCGGTCCGCATCAGCCCTATCGCCGAACGAGACATCATGGCTCACCCGCCGCCGCAACGTCACAATCGAACCCATGCGCGAGTTCCTAACCCGGGCCAGCATTCCCAACTTCGACGCCGGCGCCTATATCGACCGAGTCAAGTCCTCCTCATCTCAACTGCCCAACATTGCCCTCGCCGTGTCAGGAGGCGGTTATCGCGCACTCATGAATGGCGCCGGCTTCCTCGCTGCCGCAGACAGCCGAACTCCTAATTCGACATCGGCCGGCCAGATCGGCGGCCTTCTGCAATCCGCCACTTACCTCGCCGGTCTTTCCGGCGGCGGGTGGCTCGTCGGCTCCATCTTCACTAACAACTTCTCTACCGTGGTCGATCTGCAGCGTGGCTCAAAGGGGTCCGCTGTCTGGAAATTTGACCGATCCATCTTCTCAGGCCCCAAGGAATCCGGCCTCTCCATCCTCAACACCGCCGAGTATTGGAGAGACATTGCCAAGCAAGTCGACGCCAAGGACCAGGGCTTCGAGGTCTCTATCACGGACTATTGGGGCCGCGCCCTCTCTTATCAGCTCGTCAACGCCACCGACGGCGGTCCCGCCTACACCTTCTCCTCCATCGCCGACGAGCCCGACTTCCAGTCCGGCCAGCAGCCCTTCCCCATCCTCGTCTCCGACGGCCGCGCCCCCGGCGAGCACATCATCTCCCTCAACGCCACAGTCTACGAGTTCAACCCCTTTGAGCTCGGCACCTGGGACAACACCGCCTACGGCTTCGCGCCCCTCCGCTACCTCGCCTCCAACTTCTCCGCAGGCCGCGTCCCGGACAACGGCTCCTGCGTCCGTGGCTTCGACCAGGCTGGCTTCGTTATGGGCACCTCGTCCTCCCTCTTCAACCAGTTCATACTCCAGAACCTTACCTCTGCCGGCCTCCCCGACTTCATCCAGAGTGCCTTGACGAGCATCCTCAACGCCCTGGACAAGGACAACAACGACATTGCGCAATACGTGCCCAACCCCTTCTTCGGCTACAACCCGCGCACAAACGTCAATGCAAACCAGAAACAGCTCTCACTCGTCGACGGCGGCGAGGATCTCCAAAACATCCCCCTCCACCCCCTGATCCAGCCCAACCGCGCCGTGGACGTCATCTTCGCCGTCGACTCCTCCGCTGACACGAACTACAACTGGCCCAATGGCACCGCCCTCCGCGCAACCTACGACCGCGTCGCAGAGCCCATTGCAAACGGCACCCTCTTCCCCCCCGTCCCGGATGCAAACACCTTCATCAACCTGGGCCTCAACCGCCGCCCAACCTTTTTCGGCTGCAACGCCTCAAACTTCACCCTCTCCGGCAACCAGCGCGTCCCCCCGCTGGTCGTCTACCTCCCCAACTCGCCCTACGTCGCGCACTCCAACGTCTCCACCTTTGATCCCAGCTACGAGCTCGACCAGCGCGACGCCATCATCCAAAACGGCTACGACTCGGCCACCCAGGGCAACGCGACGCTCGACGCCCAGTGGCCCGTCTGCGTCGCCTGCGCCGTGCTCTCGCGCAGCTTGACTCGCGCCCGCGAGACCGTGCCGGACGCCTGTACGCAGTGCTTCTCGCGGTACTGCTGGAACGGCACGCTCGACACCCGGGAGGTGGACTACAACCCCACCTTGGCTATTGGCAGCATCGAGGCGAACAGTGCCGGGGCAAGGACGGGCGTCAGCCTGGTGGCTGGCTTTGCGAGTGCGGTGGCGGCGGCGCTAATGCTGTCGATTTGATTCTGTTATGAAACAAGAGTTTTTTTGTCGCATTAACGGCCTTTTTGTAAACATCATGGGGGTTAGTACGAAAGTCCCATTTTACCATTGATGCTCCCTTGAGAGTAGGAAAACAGGATACTGCACTGGAGTTGGTCAGCATCTTGATCACGGACATTTTTACGACATGTGGAAAAAGAAGATGAACGAGGTGAAGCAAGACTTGCAGTCTCGACTGGACATCTCGGAGGGACGCGAGAGACAGATATGAGAGAGAGAGAGAGAGAGAGAGAGAGAGAAAGAGGGATAGAAGAAGTGCATAGTCTTTAAAAACCGAATCTGGTATATCCACTAATGCAAAGTTCCTTCATATAACATTGCTGCGTCAAAGCTGCATGAATGCCATTGAAAAACCACCATTCCTTTGCTCCTCCCATGAAACTTCCCACACCGAGCACACTCCTCGCTAACCGTGGTTGATGTGAAAATAATATTTAATGACTCTCTGACTCCGACCGTTCGCCTCCCAGACCCAACGAGGAGGGTATGAATGATGCAATGTCGTGAAAATCAGTCATTAACGCGTAAAAGCAGGCCCGGTTGAAGGCGCTGAGACAAACAGGGATTTCGGCGTAGGCCGGGGGGAGTCTGGGGGGGAATAGGCAAGCGCAAATCCGTCTCACACCCTGTCTACTCCGTGGCCGCGTCGCCCCTTGGTGTCGTCCTTCGTTCAGGGAAGGTCCCAAAACAAGAGGACTAAGAGAAACTGGTAAAAACGTATAATACGGCGGCAAAGCACCGCCAGGTTATCTTGGCGCCCCTTTTCAAGCGACCTAGCTTCTCGTCTCACGGCTGTTGGATGTGACCAGAAGCCTATCTTGATGGTCGAAAAGGGCCGTCGACCCTCACGTCCTTGACCCCCTCGGGCATCATTCTCAGCCACTCGGTCCAGTTGTCAATATCGATCGGTTCGTCTCCTATCCGGAATGACAGAACCAATTGTTGACCCTCTGTGCTAAACGGAAGGCTCGTCCTCAAGGGACCGATGTTGAGGGGTGCGAGAAGAATCGAGGGTAGTCGAGCATTTCCGGACATTTGCATGTGGAGTGGAGACGGAAAGCTCGTAATTGTTTCCTTTTCAGGATTCCTATCCTGAACAAGAGAAGGATAGTTGGACAGCAGCTTTGAGTGAAGCTCTGCAGCGGAGAAGGGGCTCGTAAATCGTTGGGAGGCGCGCGTCTTGAGGTGCTCGGTGAGAACTTTGGTAAACGTGCAGCGGTCCAGAGCATCGAAATGCTCCTCGGATACAGCAGCGGCCACTAATTCCAAGACACCTTGTTGGCGGTGCATCTTGGAAGATGGAAAGAATGCGGCATCCATTACAATCAAGGTGTCTGAACAGGCCTCCTCAAGCACTTGTTGAATACCACTCCACCTGATTGTTTCGGCCTTGTCTTTGTCTTTGGAGCTGGAAACGGTCAGCATCAAGCCCTTCAAGAACGCCGCTTCAGAATTACTTACCTGGCAAGGACCATCTCCCGGTTGCCATCAAGGTAAGAATGGCCGTTGTAATAGACTATCTTCAGGACGTCCCGTTGATCACGATCCTCGACAAAATCGGTGATCTTGCGCGAAAGCCATCTCCACGGGCTTTTGCAGACCTCTGACGCAGACGGAATGGTAGTAATTGAGAACGTATACCGGTAATACTGGTCAAAGACTTCACCCAACTCTTTGACGGAACTTCCAACACTAAAATCAGGATCATCCTGCCAATACAGTAATAAGGCCTGTGCACTAGAGTAGCGGCTTCGACTGGGGGTAGACAGAAGTCTCGAGACGTTGGTCTGTAAGTCAGATTTAAGACTTTCTATGCCAGGCAAGACCGGGGGCTTGTCGAGCCTAGGGCCGGTCGGAAGTGGCGTGCGAATCCGGGATTCGCTCAGTCGGTGACCACCAGGAGGCGTCGGGGAGTCTATTTCCATCTCCTCGGGGTCCTGTGTGAACATTGACTTCACGTTGTTGCTAGTCATGGCCGGCGCTGGGCTGAGTGGTCGCTGACCAGCCATGGACGGGGCAATATCCTGGATGCTGGGACTGTGAGACCTGTGATATTTCCTGACAGCATCCTCCCAGGTCATGTTGTGATGGCTTGGATGGCACTTGGCAAGGGTAGGATTGTCAGCAGGGGTGAGCACTTTTGACAATGACAATGTGTGGAGAGCCACGGGGAACTTACTGCAACTCTCCTTCGGCGACAATCGTTGCAGGCACCCAGCTTTCTGATGAGTGCGGCTTTCTCTCTCTGTTGCTGGGACAAAGGACCGGTTCGCCTCCTGCTCGCGCGGACCCGGTTAGAGACGTCGGAGCCATCCTTTACATGGAATATGGATGTTAAGTTAGGAGAGGTGTCGGCACTGTACGATGTGTTGCTTGTGTCCACGGACATATTGGTGGCAGCGGAGGCCGCCGTGGCCTGAGTTGAGATGGACGAGTTGGTGTCCTTCCTCAGCGGAGGAGAAGCCGATTGACCGGGGGTGGGGGGAGGTTGCTGTGACTGGTGCTGAGGAGTCGTCTGCTGCTGCTGCTGATGCTGCGGTGGCAAAGACTGCTGTTGTTGGAGCGGAGACTGTTGCGACTGAGGCAGCTCATGATGCGACATTGAAGGTGAGCCAGTTTGGGGCCTGTTGCCAGACTCCTCGCTGCCGTTCTTCGGAGGCGCCTCCAACAGACTCGGAGCCGGATGCATGCTTGCAAGTTGTGTTGTCTTGTTCCCTTTGTCACAGCAGCAACTACCCTTGACCCATTCTCGGTGTGTGTTGGAGTAAGGTACTTGTATGTGGCGGAGAAGGAGAGAGAGAAAGAAGGTCAAGAAGAAAGGGTGGCAAGTGGGATTTCCGCGCCCCTTCTCTTCTCACACACTCGGCTCTGTCTGGTTGTCGCGGCTTTTCTTTGAAGTTGGGCAGATTGTGTGACGGTGCCCCACCGAGATTCACCGACGCGAGAGAGCGAACAGAGAAAAGTGAGGGGTAAAAGAAACGGGTCCTCGGAGGCGGGGAGCAGCCAAACAGAGAATGCGCCGAGGGCAAAAGATGTCAATTGAGACCCGGAAACCGGCAGAAACCACCTCAGGGACGGCCGAGAATAAAAGAAGGACAAGCAGACTTGGTTTCGGTGGACGGCCGTCTCAATTCGAGGTGTGTGAAGGTGGGAGGATCAGGGCCGAGGCCAATGTGCACGAATAAAAATAAGGTCGGTCGGTCAGGATTTAAGGGTACGTGCACCGAGCACCGGAGAGGGAAAGAGCGAAGAAAGCACGGGCCAGGACCCCGGTAAGGCACGGTGCTGGGGATGAGATCGGGAGGTGAGGTGGTACTGGTCGCTCAAGATGTCGTTGCGTGGATTGGATGTTGTGGGAGGAGAAAGGTGACGAGGTACTTCTGGCAAAGTACCGGTCAGTCCAGGCCGGGATGGGGACGGAAGCGGGTGAAGGGACGGGGAAATCTAGCGTGGGTGGAAAGAGAGACATACATACAGTCTGGATGGACGGATGATACTCTGTTGACCGGCCCGGTGCAACTAACGTCTCTCAACTATCCTGCAGCGAGACACACGGAAACAAATACGGCGGTTGAAAAGCACTAGCTGGTGTCGTCGATTGAGGTGAAGTGACACGAGTGACTTGACTTGCAAAGGTGCAGCGCAATGTGGGAGGGAGAGACGTAAGGACCCTGCGACAGGGATCGTGGATGTTGTGGATTTTGGGTTCAGAGAGTTCGATGCTTGGGCTTTCGTGCTTTTGTGCTGAGTGATGAGTGATCCAGCCTCCAGGTGAGAGTTCTGACTTTTATCGAGCGGGTCTGGGTCCGGGTCCGGGTTTCGGTCTGACCTTTTTGTTGCTGCTTCTACTGCCGCTGCTGAGCGTTTTCGCTCTGGGCTTCTGACACTCTGAAGCCGTCTTTCTCTCTATATTCCATTCGCCGAGTACTAGACAGGATGCAGTTGGAATTGCGCGTCGCTTGGATATCTCCGGCCTTTGCTCAGCTTGCTAAGAAAGAGAGTTAGACATAGAGAGAGAGAGACAGACAGACAGAGAGAACGAGCCAAGAAACATGACAAGGTAGGTAGGTAAAGAAATCTCCGCAGAGTCGAGTCCCCGGTCCTCAGGTTCTCTGAGTCGTTGCACTGGCAGATGTGGATATCTCAGATGACCGGGTTCCTCTTCTTTTCCAGCATCACGCTTCATGAAAGTCTCCATCCATAGATAAGTATGAACATCATGATATTTTCTTCTTCACAAAAGTATTCCACTCACCTCAAATCTCCGTTGCACATTGGGCGACTACATACATCCATGCGAGATTCAATGCAATGTAAGATGCGAGGTATGAATGGCTCAATCGTTGTCGGGCAGATGGATGTAGGTAAAATGCACTTGCAAGTTGGCAAAAGGATGGGAATGAAAAAGAAACCATGACAGAGCGCGTGAGCAATGGGTACAAGCAAGCAGTCGTCGGGTAGAGAGAGGGTAGAGAGGCAGAGAGGCAGAGAAACAGAGAAACAGAGAGAGAGAGAGAGGCGTGTTGTAGGTCGCACGACACAGCCCAGCCAAGCCCAGTCTAAAGCAGCTTCGGCCGGGCCAGCCCACCTCACCTGCTACCTCGTGGTGCAAGTTTGTCTACATCTCCATCTGCATCTGCATCTGCATTCAATGTATCACGTACCTCGTCTCCTTCATGGTTGTTGTTCTACCTTCCCTGCCTTGGGCTCATTGCCGAGGTGACCTGAACTCAACCCAATTGGGGGAACTGCGATCACTACCTACCTGGGTACATCTCGGAAAGGAAGCCGCACCCGCACTTGCACCAGCCACTGCACACACCAATGTTCTTTCCATGCTGGATCCAAGCACGATCCATCATCGAAAGTCGCCAACCTCACTTGTCAGGCTCTGCGGAGCGCTTGACCCGGCACCGTTTAATTTTTTTTTAATCCTTGGAGGGGGAAGGAGGGGGAAACAGCACCTGGCACGTCAAAGAAGGGTCCCGTCCAGGGGGTGTGACCTTTCACCTCCACACGCGCACGTACCAGATTCTGCAAAAGGTGGGAAGGTACGGAGTACGAGGTAAGTAGGATGGACCACGGGCAGTTTCCTGCGCCGCGGCGGGGTTACCTTCCCTACCATCCAAGAACACAAGGTCCTCCGTGCCGCCATTTTGGCAAGGAAGTGACTTTGTCCGACGGTGAACCACCATGGGACGGGGGACCTGTCTCGGGTTGGCAGGTGAGAGGAAATACGACGGTTGCTCTTGCCGCCAAACCGCCGCTCTTTGCTCCGAACTTCTTTTTCCATCGGCGTTTTCTCGTCTTGTCTCGTCCGCCCAGGTACCTTGGCCAGCCGGTTCTGTCTCTTCCCCCTTCTCCCCGCGATCCACTTTAGATCTTAACGAGATGCTTGAATCGAGTAGAATTATGGGGGCCTAGATGAAGCCTACCAGACTCCCAGCCATCACCGCAACAGCGTGTCCGCACCGTCAGCACTCTCAAGGTATGTATACCGACCGTGGGAACCAGCGTTGCATGAGATCGGAAAGGCCAGGGAGTGGGATTTCGAGGACATTGAAAGCTCCATTTTTCTAGGCACATACGCAAACGGATAATTTCTCGCAGTCCGGTCTGGCATGGCCGCGACTTAGACCCGAAAAGTCGACAAATACGCACGATATTGAAAGACAGACAGGCATTCTCGCAGGATGCGCAGCCCAGTCCACCTCATAAAGCGCAGCCCAGCCCAGCTCAGCCCGTCAGATCAGTCGTGCGGCCCGGTCGATGATCTTCAACAACCCAACATGCTCACCGACCGAGGAATGGTGTGAACGTCTATTCTCGGTGTCTCGGCTGGGGGGCGTCCAGCCATGTCCCGTCTGCTTGGCATATGCGGCTTGACTACGGAGAAGCTCGGAAACAAATGACAGCTGAGGAGATCCAAATCTTCGTTGACCTCTGGCGCTGCATTCACCCACCTCGCAAGACTTTATGCCCTTCCATACAACTAGAATTTTAGTTGCCTGCCTGCCGTGCCTATTCAGTGCCTGACTGATCGAAGCGGAGGACGGTATCAACACATGCGCATCCACAGAGCAAATCATGGACGAGAACAGCAATGAGGAAGCAGCTCTGGCGATGCAACGCCAATAGCCCTGGCAAAGATGTACATGTCATGCGCACCACGTGGACCCTGTCCTGTCCCTGTCACCGTCTCCTTCACTTTGCGGCGTGTGCTGTGCGCTGTGCCTCCTCGTCTCATGGTTTCGTCCCGCCCGCCCGCTCCCTGCTCTTCCGCCCACCGAGTAACGAGATCGGGTAGCTGAGTTGCTTGCTCACCTTCGGGCTGCAACTGTAAGTCTCCAGCAAGTTGCAACTGGCCACCAAAGACTTTGGTGCACTTCCAATGGAAATAAGCGGGGGCTGTCAACCTTCACAGCCGTGGGCCAATGGCTCGGTTCCTCTTCTAATTATCCATACCTATTCTAGAGTCGGACATCAACAGCCCAATTCAAAGAGGACAAAATGATTCATTCTAACCTTTAGACTCGAGATCGGAAGTCAATGTCGTTACGCAATACCTCAACACCTCATTGGTCTATCACCTATGGATGTGCAAAGTTGGACTGGAAGTCGATTTCTGGCTTGGGCTGGCTGGCATCCTTACCCTTCTCCAACCTTGTGGTGGCCCTCAACACCTATCCGACTCGCCCACGATATCCGCACCCGTTACGTGCTGCCTACGAGCCGGTCACAACCATTTCCTTGCTGCCCCACGAACAGCAACCGAATGCTGCGACCATCCATCCTCTCGCTCCCTTCGCCCACCCTTTTTTTTTTTAACCAATGGTGCCCTGGCTTCACCGGAAAATACCGCCAGCCTCACCGCAACTCCCTTTCCGATAGGTCTCCGCTCATCCCCCCACACTAGCACTCGAGTCTTTCTTTCTTTTGACCTTATTCACGAATCATCATTCACCTCGCAATCCCGCTGCATCTGCACTTCCCCTCGAACGAGATGAAGGCCGCAATGCTTTTGTCTGCTAAGATGGCCATGCGATGCAACTGCCCAAGTTTAAACATGCTCCCCCATGTCAGGTTTGCTGGTTGCAAGGATCACGGATGAAAGACGCTGGTGTTCATCGCGTCTTGGATTCTTGAGATGCCTTAGCTGGCAAAGGCGGCAAGTGCTAAAGTCCTATTTCGACTTACCAGCCACCTTTTGCAAGTTACATCGTGGCTATGCCTCCATTGTATGTATCAACGTCGCAACTTCGGCAATCCCATTGACAAAGGACCGACGTCGGGACACCATTCAGCCTGCAAATCTCCACTCCTACGGGATGCCTGTATTCGTCCTTCCAGACTTTCCCGCTAAGTCGGCGACATGGCACGGTCAAGGTGTGTGTCTGTGATTAGCGGCATATGCACGAAAGACGTGCGTACATACTGTTGGGATTCGCGCTTCAGATAGCCGTCGCGCCGTCTGGTCTTGTTTTCCTGCATGGCATGTGCAGGAAAAACAACATCAACACTCGCAGCCAAATCTCTCTTAGCTATGGATGTTTTTTCGCCGGCCCAGACTTCGAAAATTACCTTCTGAATCCCTCGCTTTGAAGCACCCCAACCAGGGCGATTGTTTGCACATCATCAGGATCGGACCGAAACACTTTTGTCCAAGGCGCCTGCCGTCCTTGCACAACATGGAAAAAGAGGGTGGCGGGAGCGGGCAGCGGATGCCACATCTCCTCTCTTGTCGGGACCCGGTGAGCTCAATGTCCCCACCCCTCTGGACTCATCACTTGTCTCGGTCTGCATTTCTCCGGCCATTGATGATGCGACCAGGGACGGGGTCAGAACTTCACTGGCTGGCTTCGAAAACATCTGCCCATCACCGAAGATTGGGCAACGAGACAATAGGTCAAATCCCGCGCGGTGAAGGAACGGCAGGATGGTAGACGGTGGTTCCACCTGCGGCCAGTGGATTGGCCAGCCTCCGTTATCGCTCTATTCCGCTTTTGGATTGGCTCGGGAACCTGCCGCCGACCGAGGCCGCTCCAGCGAGGTGTGACAATGGGCGGCAACGCGGGCGCGAACGGCCTCTGAGGCGGTCGGCGCCCGGCGTCTAGCCGACTTGATGGACCACGCCTTCAGCCTCAGTCACCTGGCACACCTTGACCGGAGGGATGTGCTTCGGAACGTCAGACAAGCCTCGGCAGTTGCTGCACAATGCGGGACTCTTAATTATACAGTTACCCGCCTTTGCTAGCTGGTGCGGAGATGACACAGTGGCTCGCGAACCAACTAGTCGGTGAATCGTTGTCACTAGCCTAGTAGGTTTGCGGCTCTAACTCACCTGACCGAATCTGCAGTCCCGGCCCGTAGTCGTCTGCTTACCTACGTTAGAGCGGACGCCACTCTCAACGTTGACTAAATCACAAGAGCATTTTGTCGGTTGCTCGTGATATTCACGGCAATCTGCCCTTGTGATGTTCTAGTGACTTACCTTACGTTGCCCAATTTGCCAGTGTTGCTTCTGAATCTAGTTCACGGCTGTTTCTATCTACGGGAACCCCCGTGCCATCAGCTAGCTTCATGCACTGCGTGATCTTTTCTACGATGCATAGATGACGAAGGCGCGGTGCTTCCATTTCACATGTAACAGTATGCAATGGTCCAAATGACACCTCGTGCTGTTTCCTGTTTTGTGTAGGGCCATTCTCATGTGTACAGGGCGAGAAATTACATCAAGATGAGAATACCCCACGCCCAACTTACTCACTTGATTCCCTTTCAGATACATGATACATGATGCATCATTTCGCATATCCAAAACCAATAACCCTATATCAATCCTTGTTTATACCCACCAGTAGCCAGAATGGTTCATCTGTGGTTTACAATAACTAGCTCATTATTGTTCTACGCCATGATCAGAGTTGATTGATGCTACACGATGGCTCACCTGTGGGAACCATTGGCTGTCTTATTTCCCCACTCTTTGTCTTTGATGATATATGTCTGACCGACTTTCTTTCTAGTAACCTATTTTCTTATTGTGTCGTTCAAATTTCTCGTTCTCTGGATTTACAACGTACGGCTTTTGATTTCTCCCAAGGGTAAAGTGGGACGAAATCATGTTTAAAACCCTTAGATAATTGGATGAAATCTTATATTGTTCCTATTATATTTATATTCAAGTCAGGCACGCAAATATAGTATCTTGGCCCGCGAGGGAGAATAGTCCGATGGTAAGCTAAAAGTTTTTTTGGAATTCTCCTGTCCTTTCTTGTAACTTGTTTGCAGGTTGGCCGTGAGACGTCACTAAGAACTGAAGGAAAGAATAGAAGGATTGCTATGAGTGTACGGTTCATAATGAGATCACAATGGTAATTTAATATCGATAATGTATCGATAATGTAGGCATGATGATGACTGCTGCTCAAGTCCCACGGGTGTGACACGTTGTTCCCCTCTATTCTTGATGCTTGTTCCCAACTTGACAGGCTCCGTCAATTTTCTTGCCACTATCCAGTCTTGTTAGTCGTCAATAATTCTTTGTGTTACAGGTAATGTTTGAGAGTATACTTGGATAATATACCACAGGATAGGAACCTTGAGCGACAGGGATACAACCGATATTCTGTCTTATCACATTAGCCACAGTCGCTCTTGCTGGTAGCAACAGAAAAGTCAGCTCGTTTGAATTGATTCCCGCATGCAGCCGCGGCCACTCTTTGGTATAACACGGCCATGATGATTCTTGAAAAGCGCGGTGTCGGCCAGGGAGCAAGCACACGGGAAGTATATTTCCAAGACAGGTTTGCAGCCCGACCAGTATGACCGTAAAATGCCTCTCATAGCCCCTTCCCAGCTTCTTGCGCCATATCCAGAAAGTCGGGACGTGGTACTAGTCTGATACGGAGAACAAGCTGGG